TTTTTTTTCTTAAAGATTACATTATAGTTATATTTGTGCATTTATGTCGATGTTATGTGCTCTTAAAGTATATTTGCGTATGTGTTTGTGTGATTTTTACCTTACTTGCAAATAAACATCTACCAACAAGTACACATTTTAACTTAAGCATAGTAATTTGCATCTCGGTACGATTTTATTTATGACAGACCTACTTTCTCTCAAAATTATACAAAATCAGCACAGTGATACTGCATTGTGCGCGTCACACCTTGTTTCGAAGAATTTCACACGAAAGAAACGTTACCGTAAGTAATCCGTGATAACAATACTCTAAAAGTAACAAACAAGTATAAAATATACAGAGAAATAGTTTTTGAAATAAAATAATTTTCATTCTTTTTTTTTCCACGAAAAAAATTGCAAATTTTAAAAGAAAAATGCCGGTCCTCTAAAGGTTAATCCGTGTTTTTCAGTCGACACATGCGACGACCGATTTTACATTTTATGAAACGGTTTTTGCGGCAGGTGCGGATCGGAGCAGGATGGGACGACTTAAGGATTTTGCGCAAGCGAGCAAAAGAAATGAGATCGCGATGTAGACCACGTCCTCGTCCTCGTCCTCGTAAGTGCCGAGGAAAAATACCCCGGAACGGCGGTGTACCTCCTCCTCGGCGCGAAACGATCGAGGTATGTTTCTTCAATCTGATCGATCGATATCACGTGTAATCTACGCGTGACTGCATGTCGCGGTGACGCGCGATCGCCGGTTTCGCTCACGCTCCCGCGATTTCTCTCGGTATTCATGGCGTTAACACGTTCGACGCCGCGATGCACTCCGGATCGCGTCTGCGAGAACCGAGGAACTTACATGCGCCCGACGGGACCAAGTAATATCAGATTCGATTTTTCTTACGCTCTCGTTTGATTCGCATTCCGCAGGTCACTCATGCAATTTTACACGGTATAAAATTAATCGCGTCCCGCGTATTTCATTACACACGGACACAATGTCGTCGACGGTGAACCGTCGGACTCGCGTGAAACTAATCTCCTCTACACGTACGTCGTTGAGATATCCGTCAGAAATATTATGAAAAATTCAACAGATAATTCTAATCCCTCTCGATAGGCGTGAGACAATAGAAAAGATGCATCATGCCGACAAAGTCCTCAACCGACACGTTCTCAACCGAACGTGTTGAGCCTGCAAACGTGCCTCGCAACGGAACGGAATATTGAAAGTACTGAGAGAAATAACAGACACCCGATAAATAATAATAATAATAATGCACTAATATTTATATTCGCGTATTCACAATATAGATACAATCGATACTTGTACAATGTAGTCCTAACTACAATATTAACAAATATTCGTTTACCACGAGATTCTCGGTTGATAGGCAAATGACTTAAGTTTCCGTCGTGTCTCGCAGGCACATGTAATAATTACTTTGAGAAAATGAGCGGGGAAATTGACACTCTCTCACGCATACACACGTACCCACATACCCACACACACACACACACACGCACACACACGCAATTCCTTTCGCTCTCTCACTCGATAAAATCGCTCAATACGTACAAAAGCCGTGCTATAGAATGTACATGTGCGTTCACGGTGGCCGCGCGAGCGAAAAGGCCCGCGGCCTTTCGTCGCCGATAATAATGTACAAAAATACGCGCGCTTATTCGCGCGCGCAACGGAATGACTAAAAGACCCTAATGACGTCCGAAAATCGACCGGCGGCGGCGATACGCAACGACGTTGTGGATACTTCCGCGACTTTTACGCGGCTTCAAGAACCGGCTCGTTACGTCGCCTTTCGCTAGACATTTCGAACGTGCCTGGCATACCGACCCCACCGCGCGGTGCGCGTTTCTTCGTGCTAACTGAGCGACGCGACGTCGCCTCTTTCTCTCTCTTTCTCTCCCCCCCCCCTTTGCCCCTTGCCGTTCATGCAACGCAATTTTCCAAGCGCGACTATTTTATTATTCGTCGTTCCCTTGCAATAACGACGAAGGACGAAACATATGCCGCGTCGCGTTCAACAGGTTTTATTTACACGAGTCTCGCGTATGTGGCGGCGATTTTAAAATATGTATCTACTCAGAGTCCACTCGCGAATAAACATCGCCTGTCACCGGGAACGTTAATTGACGTTCTGTCAACACACTGCGGGGAACCGACGGTGCGTGTAAAGAGCACGAAACATCGGACAATCTTCGGTCGTCACGCGACGACTTGGTGCATCGTCGCGCTCGTTAATTTCGTTTCGTTAATTCTAGTAAGGCTAAACACGTCAATCCTCTTGTGTTTTCGTTCGTTTGCACGAGGGCGCGGACAAATGACGCGTGATCTATCTGTTACCGCATTCGGATTCGATAGTATTCACGTATAGTCGTATATCCATTTTCGGAGACTTCCTCTCTCTCTCTCTCTCTCTCTCTCTCTCTCTCTCTCTCTCGTTCTCTCGTTCTCTCGTTCTCTCGCTCTCTCGCTGCTCTCCCTGAGTTCTTTCACCGCCGCCGTTGAAAGTATCGTGAAACTACTGAAACGTCCACACGTAACTCCCGCTGCCAGGCTCGTTTTTTATCACAAAATGCGCGCGTCGGCGCCGGACACGTCGTTTCCCTTAAAGGTAATTTCAGTCCTTTTGGTCGTTCACGCCAACACATACCGCCACGTCGCGCAGTGGCGAGGTACTTCCGCGTATAAAAAGTGAAAATCAGACGCGCTTGAAAGGATACGTATGGTAATGGGGACGAGAGATAGTGTTTATCACTACCGCTACCGCTGTTACGGTGCGCGTCGGCTCGATGTGCGAGGTCACACTCTTTATAAACGGCAAAGTGTGCCTCGAACATTCTCCGAGATACATTCGGAGAGTGTCCCTATCGAGAATTATGAGCCGCGGCTGACGTAAACAGTTACGCACGCCTCGCGGTTGTCCTGTCGGAACGCCGCGACGGGATCATTACGGTAAATTACCACTACCGTTTTGCATTTCGTAATCTCGAAATAAGCGCATAATTATACGAGCCGCTGCCCCGCTTCCTCTTCGCGTGACGATGCGACGAGGATGCTGCGCCGAAAATGTGCGCACACTTTGCCGCCTTTTAAACACACTTGGTTTCGCATCTCACCGCGTGCTTCCGTGCACGAACAATCATTCGCGCTTTCCCCAAGTAAACAATCCTCTTCGCAAACGTGTCTCTCTCTCTCTCTCTCTCTCTCTCTCTCTCTCTCTCTCTCTCTCTCTCTCTCTCTCTCTCATTCTCGAATGTCGCGACAATTATAATTACGAGTCGCGTGGCGTACGTATATACATACGTATATGCGATTCTCGAGATGGAATATTTACAGCAACGTATATAAATAAATGCAAGTCTATCGTTCGATTCGTAGAGACGGCAGTGAAAAATGCTCTCGAGCGACGGGAGCGCGTGTCGCGTCGCTGTGAATGGCTTTGATAAATCGCCACGACTCGACGTTCGCCTTACATGCATATTTACAAGTGCGGTTCACGTGGCGCGACGAATACTCTCTTTTGTACTCTAGACTCGTGAACGGCGCGCTCCTCCTCGCCGAGCGACCGGCGCGAAAGGTATAGCTTCACTTATAGACAGTCGCGTTAATTAATTGTATATTTGTACAGTGCGATACAATACGTACACTCATATCCGCTCATCCGAATTGAAAATACGTAAAAGGAAGACTCTCTGTTACTTGGTACTCGAACTTAACGTGAAATCGTTAGCGAAAGAACGTCCGATTCGCGACAGCGTCGACGCGGCGCTTCGCACGCTTCCTCCTCCTCCTCGGTCTCCTTCCCTAAATATATTCGACTTATCGTGCCGCATGATGTTCTCCTCCGTTCACTGCCGTTCCAACGATACACGAGGTGCAAGATCATCACAGCAACGAGTTTAGGACGGAAACAGGATACATTCCGGTAGGTTAGGCCGAACTCAAAAGTTCTCTGCAACAACAATGGGTTTTGAGGTGAGGTATGGGCCGCGGCGGCAGGCGCGAGGCAGGCTTGTGTTTCTACGCTCGTTTCTTGCGTGTATGTTTGTGCGCGCGTAAGAGGTCTCTAATCGTCGCGAACACCGGTTAGACAGGAAGCACACGAAATCAATTATAGCATTTGCGTCTTTAAGAACGGACTATTCAGCGGTGAGCAATTATTTGTCATTATCTTGTCGAGAACTGCCGGGGATCGTTATCTATTTTCAGCAAACGAGCACGGTATCACTCATGTGAGGATGGGGACATAACGAGCGAAATCAAAATTACGCGCTCACTACTCGATAGTTACGTGTTGGCCGGTAATGTGAGCAACAATAACGCGCGTACGAATGAAAAAGTACAACATCGAATTGGCAACGAATGCTAGCCGCATTCCGGAAATATTATTTCTATAACATATGTATTTCTATACATGTAAGAGAGACGAAGCGTGCGCGATTCCAACGAGTCTGTTCGCCCGGCGAGCATTCCTCGCGTTTAATACGAAAGGGGTATACTTACGTCGAAAGTTCTCTCCCTAGTAAACCAGATCCGACTAATCCAGTACGCGATCGACTCCTATTTAGTTGCGCTCTCCTTTCCGCTGTAAAATTAAAACAGGATTGAGCTCGTTACTCGATATCGTTCGACGATTGCGGAACTGGCGTGCGCGTGCTGACGGAACGAGATGTTAGAGTATTTCGAAATGGGAATGTCCGCCTTTACACAGGAGAATGTTAGGGAGCTGCATTCGATCTTACATAACTTACTACAAAAACAGAGGCACGCGCCAAATTTGTACTTTATTGGCTTGCTAACGCTGTTTATCCTGAAAGAGCGTGGAATAATGCAAAATGGTAAAACGACACAAAACATTGAATACATCAAGGAAGACAACAGAGACAAGCGAGTAACTTGTATACATTTAATTGCAGATATACATATGTTTAAATACAAAAACAGTCTATAATACATTAAAAAAAAAAAAAAAAAAATACTTTTTATTGCTTTATGTCACATTTAAAACTTGGAATCGAAACGAAGATATAAATTAGCAATCATGATTTGACCATTCTGCATTCCACGGAACATGGATTGTAAAAGAAAAAAGAAAAAAAAAAAATTTGGTATCTTACATAACATCGCAGTATAATGTATATCACTATCAGTAAAAGTTGCCGCAAAATTGTATATTCACCTAAAATTATTATTATTGAAATTTACAGTCTGCATATGATCGAAACGGCTCGATAGAGACATCTCGATTTGACTTTACTCCTCCATCTTACTATTATATTTCACAATGATTTCTGCACAATTATCTTATACTAAGTAGTATACATTTACATGTGTCAAATCCAAAGAACGTTCAAACATTGAAATTTCCGTTAAATATATTCTTGACTGGAACATCCGATGCATTTAAATAAAATATCATATGTGTGAATATGTCGCAAGATCACAGATCAACAGGTGTTGCATCACAGTTTTCAGTCTTAATAGCTGCAGGTATATAACAAATTCAGCACAAGCATTGAGCAACTAAATTTAGGAATCGTTTAGCAGAAATCATTTGCATGACGTACATTCCGCCGATAACGTTGAGAAAACGATAGAAAATTCGAACGACGATTTCTTCTAAAATTTGCGCTCTAACGCGTTTCTTACGGTGCATTTATGCAACAATATGACTAATACGAAAATATATATCTCTCTTTTCCGTTTACTCTCAGCCAATCTCCGAATTTTCAACAACAATTTTATACTTGATCACAATAATTATATTCCGATACTTTTAGGCTTTTGCCAAAACTTCCAGTTCTTTTTCCGCGACTTACGCTTCGACGCTTTAAATTGATTATAATTGCTTCTTTTACTTAGAATGCTCGCATCTAAAAGACATTGCTCCTGTGTACTCAATAACTTCTCGGACGCTTCGTCGAACGAGTCGTTCAGACTTTTCGCAACAATAATAGAATTACTCGACTTCACTCTGTACAGTGACGCTTGACTACAGTCTGACAGCAACGCAACTCCACTCATCTCAATCGACGTATTCGAGTTTAAGGATTTAGGCTTGCCAAATTGTATGTTTGAGTTTTCGTCCTTGAACCACGTCAGGTTCTCGTAGTTCTTCGATCTGAGGAGCTTGATCGGAGTGGAGGCTCGTTTGTTCAACTTGGTAAAAATATTGTCGACCGACTTTGACATTTCTGCGTTTGCGTTGTCATTCATATTTGAATCTGAGCAGTTCACAACCGGAGGCATACTACTGTTCATACTAGACGGACTTTGCGCGCAGCTGTGTGACTTGCGGCGCTTCAGATTCGCCCGCATACGTCTGCGATTCGATATGGCGCGGCGCACTATGCTGTTCCGCTTGTGTATTTTACTGACGACAACGCGTCTCTGTTTGACCGGACTGAGTATACGCGTTTCATTGAGAAGCAAAACGTTCTCGTCGACACACATATTCGGGTCCGTCTTATCGGCGATGCATCTAGACTCGAGATTCGCGAATGTCTTTAGCGAGACGTTTCTCTTCGGCGTCTCGTCATCGTCTACCGGTAGCGTCGTGAAATACGCACGATTACAGTTACTACACTGCCTTCTCTTCTGAAAGTATGTGATTCTAGACATGTGCTTCGTTAGTTTGGGCGTCTTCTTAGCCTCATTTATCAACATTTGCTTATAAAGTTCTTGATTTTCCTCCGGCGTGAAGTAGCTCATAGAATCGCTCGTAGTAGTACGTACTCTCGCAATTCTCTGGAATACGTCGCGTTGTGCTATTCCGCGAGGCGTTACATTAACAGACTTCAATTTAGTGGACTCGTATAAATTACTACCAAGTATATATCGCTGAGTAGCTTGCTCCTTCTTCGCCATTTGCCTCCAGATGTACGTGGCCTTATAGAACTTACCACCAGCTACACGCGTCGGTCGCTTGCGTCGTTGGTCCGGTCGACTGAAGGCGGATCCAGTTTGCAGGGCCTCCATCAGACTATCCATGACACCTTCCTGCGTCTCGTGTGCATTCATGTCGACTAGCGCGCGTTTACGAGCGGCTCGCGCCGCCTTTTCCGCTTCTGCTTTCTCACGCGCTTCCCTTGCCCGTCTCTGCTTCTCCTCGCCCTCCTTTAGCTTCAATATTTCCCTCTGCGATTGCTGCGAGAAAACACAATTGCCGTGTTGAATGAGGCTCCGACAAAGTCACGCTGTATATTATTACATTTCATGTTCATGCGTATTTACCGTGAAATCATCCTTGAATGTTTTAATATCGCCAAAGAATTCTTCGATGATGTACTTCTGCTTGTCAAAGGAGAAGAATTCGGAGATTTCAGTGTACAGACTATCCATATTCTTGAACATATTCTGCAAGACCTCGTAGGATTCTCTAGCTTTCTTCGCGAACGGCTATCAAGAGTGATCTGGTCAAGGAAATATCTCTCTATAATGCGGTCGATTATCGACTACGTCAAAGATTTGCAAAGGATACTTTCATCACGTCTATAAATAAGTCGTCGTCACACTGCGGAACCTTGGCGTTCGCGAGATCTTGCTCGAGATTGCGGATGTTGGCTTCCATCTGACGCAGAGTTCGCTGGACGTTGTCCAAAGACACCCGACTTGCGCGATCCACATGAGCCAGTTCCTCGACGAAACTAAGACACTCCGGGAACTTCATTTCTATCGTATCTACCAAATAGTGCATGAGGGTCTGCTTGTTGTCGACGTCCTTAGTACCAGTCAGCTGGAAATAGATGCGATTCATCACAGACCTGGTCACTGTAGAAGCCCGACGGTAATACCGGCGAATCATCATACCGCGCATACCTTCGTGAGGAAGTTGATCTCGAAGCCGAACGCCTGTCCGTTTCTAGAGCCGGAATTCATGTAATTCCCAAGTAATAAAATCAGCTCGAGGATCCGTGCGAATTTTTTGCTATTCTTCACTTCTTCACACGCCGCTGTAGCCGCCACTATGTCAGGCTTCACATCTTGCACTAGCTCCTCGTATCGCAACATGAAGCTCAAAGATCTCAATCTCGGCATTAGCCTCTTTATAGTAGATATCTGTAATATTGCATTAATATCCATGCATTTCACTACGCCCACTACGATTAACCTGAGAGACATATAGCGAGGAGCGAGTGAAAAGTATATATATATATTACCGCAACACAAAACTGTTCCGCCTCGGTCAAGTTGTCGTATTGATCCTGGTAGAGCTGTAACTTGGTCAACTGATCCGGCGGTGGTAAATATTGAATTAATCCTTGCAATATATTGTCCGAGATGACTGGTCCCTCGCATCTGAGCAAGCACGTTTTCACGTCCGCGTAAGGCATGTGCTTCAGTGTTCCACCGAGGAGTATCGAGATATTTTGCGCCGCTTTGCTGTCCAAAACTTTGAGATCCTTCACTTTCTTCGTTGAAGCTGACCTACGTGAAAGAAGTAATAATTAGCATCTCACGTGTGCACGACATAAAGAATACGAGGACTAAAGAGTCATTATGCTACGAATAAGCAATTACTTATCGACCACATCGTCCATTTTCTTTCCACTTGGTTTCGACGAAAACTTCTGCACGAGACCGTCCAGTATCTCCGGACTGGCCAGTCTGTCTTCTTGCACTTTCATCCAGAATGATTTTTCCGTCAGTTTATGAGGCAAAATCTGAAACAGCATACATCTCGACATAGTAGAAAATGTGCTGTATCTCAAGAAGCAATTAACGTGTCCAATCGAAGATCACGTCTTCAGTCGATAACAATAACTTTATCGAAGTAATCGCACACATACCGCTTTCCAGTTCGCCCTTTTCAGTCGACTGTCCACTTCCCACTTCTTCTTCGGCTTTAGGCCAGGAGGCAAGGCGAGTGTTGGCGGTGGAATTGGCGAGAACGCAGCCCCCATCATCGGTGGCGGTGGTGGACCCATTCCTGGCATAGGCGGTGGCGCAGGTGCGCCAGGCATGGGTGGAGGCGGAGGACCTCTCGATCCAGGCATAGGTGGTGGAGGTGGACACGTGAGCATCGGCGGTGGAAGCGGTACGCCGCCACCGGGAAGAGGAGGAGGTGGTGGAGGCGGTGGTCCACCCATTCCAGGAAGCGGCGGCGGCGGCGGCGGCGGCGGCGGCGGCGGTGGGCCCGCAGTAGTTCTCTGTGTATTTCAAATGTGATGAAACATAATGCATATTAGGGCACGGGAGATGAGCGTACGACTAAAAGATTTCATCTGTACTACGTGCGTCGTATACTTACGGGACCACCGGTCGGCCTCGCTCCTCCGATTCCCTGTTCCAATTCCTTGATTTTATTTTCCGCATGCTGAAGCTTCGCCTCGGCCTCTTGCCTGCTGGCGATGGCTTCCTCCAACTTTTGAGTTATCTCCATCAGCCGTCGCTCTTCCTCGGCTCGTGACTTCTCGACTAGGTTATCGATCAACGGCTGCACGTCAATCTGAAAGCGCTTAGTCGCGCTAAAATCCGGATCACAGCCAGAACGATGTAGCACTATTTGTGATATACATTCCTCGATAAGCTTGTAATAGGCCGGCCTGCAAAGAAAGATCAAAGAAGAGATCGTTAATCAACAAGCAAATAAGAAAGTACTTGTGTTTTTATCGATAAAACCGCATAGTGGTTCAAATTGATGACGCGCGATTGTACGCACTCACCGCACTAGAACGTCATCTCTGATAAATAAAAGGTGTTGGAATATAGATAGGAGATACGGCTCGGCGGAGGTGTCCAGCACTATGTGTTTCAGCACCTCGAAGCAATCGTTCATATCATCCAATTCTAACCGCACGTTGTCAAATCTCTGTACAAATTCCTCGTAGTCTTCCTCCTTGTGATCGTTGAAGATCTTCAAATGTGTCGCCAGGTCCTCCGATTCGTCTTTCTCCAGAGTCTCGAGAATATTGGCCAGACCGACTCGCATCACCTCGTTCCTCAGGTGTAAGCGAAAGTCTAGATCCTCGGCAGACGATATTATCGAGTTGATAAGTTGAAGGCACACTACCTACGGCGGAACATTCCATTTTGTAAAAAAAAACGAACGACATCCCCGCCCCCCTCAGCTGTAGAAATTGCGTCGCGCGCGACCGAGAGGCGGAATATTGAGTAGCGAAACGAAACGTACCCTTAAGTTTTCATTCTTCTTGTTCATCAATCCCTGCACAATCGGTAGGAATCTCTCGCGACCTTTGAACTCGCCGTTCATAGTGATCGCGTCCAAAACCTTCTTGTGACTGTCACTCGAGATGAGACAGACCGCGCCGAGTAACTTGACGGCCTCGGACATTACGGACGGTTTCGTCGGCTCCAACGATCTGGCCACGATGGTGAGAGCCTCGTGATGGGCCAACATCTCCTTGATACCAACGGTATTATTCATAATGGCCTTTAAGCAGCGAATGCATTCGTACTGTATTCGCTCGTATCGGTTGTCGCTAAGGGAACAGGAATGATTTCTCATCAGTAAGGAATAACGCGGCTGTCGTGACGGATTCTCTCTCGTGAGCGGCACGCAGCGTAATGTGCATCATGCAGAAACTCAACATACGCCGTAACAGCTAAGTCACGAGATTACGTGTGTGTCTCGTGTCTCGTAACCGAGCGGCATACACGCGTACGTAGATTAAACGATTAAACTCTCTGCGACAATGTAAGAGAACAGATCGTTACGAAAGTAATATACGTTTACCAGGCCAAGAGTAACTCTAAGTAAAAATGCGCTCTACTGTACTAAGCGGTTAGATACGAACGTAATCGAGATCGAGAGATCGCTAAACAAAAAACGTCGAGAAGCGAGTAGTATTTTAGCGTGGATTACCTATCGTAATATATGAAGGCACTGCAATAGAACAAGATCAACGTTAGATTCAATGCGTAGTACAACGTGTAACTGGAATCTTAAACGCTACGCTTCGGCACTCTCGCAGCTCGCGAAAGGCACCACTTACTTTCGATAACACTCGTTGAGCGTAGCCAAGACCTGCTTGAGTCCCTTCGTGCCGAACTCCTGCACCCAGCTGAGCGGATTGTTGGTGAGCGCAATCCTCAGGGACTCGATGCAGCTGTAGATCTTGTTGACGCTGAGATCGGGCTGCGCCAGATACTGTATGTAGTCGGCCGGTTTGTCGAATTTCGACCGGTTCTCCTGTATGCTGCCCTTGTAATGCAGCACCAGCATCTCCTTCTTCTTCGAGTCCGATTGCTGGCGCAACGGCTCCTTCTTCTCCTCCGTTAGGTTCATATTCGCCTGCGAAGAACACGCAACACGACGGTGATTACATCGGCGTGATCGGCACCGACGACCTCGATCGACCTCGTCAGCTCTCTCGCGCGCACAAGTGCAGTGTAAGTACTTGTGGATCGATCACTGTGCTCACCAGCATTTCCTCGAACTTGTCGTTCACCGTCTCCTCGTCCATCCGCTCGATGATGGAACGCTGCTGCTCGATCTCGTTGATATCGTCGCCGGAATGGGGCCGGGGCATGGTGTTGCTGCCCGAGTTGTTGCGCATCCCGCCCCCGCGGCCGGATTTTTTCGGCCGGCCGAACCATGTGTCCAACTGCAACAATGAATCCTCGTTTCAATTCGTCTCAATTCGTGATAACCGTCGTAGTCTAGACTATAGCTCGTGCTGCGATCGCGCGGGTATACCGCGCGATCTCGATTCGAGACCAAAGAAATTTGTCCCCGAGTAGGGCGGGGGGGAGGGGGGTTTCCTCCGCGCGCGAGAGCAACGCTCTGCGCTAACGCGAGTTTCAAACGGCCGCTGCCGCGATCTAATGCAAATTTCATCGAGCCGAGATCGCTCCGATAAACTACATTCCCCGATAACTGGGGAGTCCCATTGTACGTCGTTTCTCCTCGGGCGCGAGGTAACGCGTGCGCGCCAAGTCGGCGTCTCTCGCTCTCCTCGTCGTGGCGCTCGCGGTCGCCGCCGCACGCCTAGAAGGTGAGTACAGGGTCGAATTTCTTTCTCCCCGCGAGTCCCCGACTCCTGGCCGTGGCAGGAGTAATTATCCTCGGCTACGTTTACCGCAAGGTAGCTGAACGCGCGTACATCCGCGACGAGAGACGCCAAGTCCGAGACGGCGCGCGAAGCCACATCGCGAAGTTTTCGCCACGTCGCCCGTGGGGGAGGGGGGGGCTTGCGCCGTGCTTCAGCAAATCCGCAGGGAGGAGCGCTAACCGAGCTAACTCGGCTAGGCTCGACGGATTACCGTAATAGGCAGACGAACGTGACGCGCGCGCGCGCTCGAAATTAATAATCGTCATTAGCGATTCTCGGATCGTGCGAACGTTGGATAATGGAATTGAGTAACGACGAGCGCGCGCGCGCGCGCGCTCTTAGAAACTCTTTTCGCTACTAAGACGCTGTTGGAAAAGCGCTCTTAGAAGCGCTTTTCCAACAGCGTCTTAGTTGGGTAACGCGCTGCGAACACGTCGCGCGGCTCGTCATGATCGCCGGATGGAGACACCTGCGCGGGCGACTCGCGATTCTTTCGCGTCGAAACTCGAGAGACTTTGTCCTCCCATTCGGAGCAGCCTTCGATGCTGCACGGTCGAATGCTTCGTCGTATCGACTTCGCGGTGACAATGTCAGTTAGACTTCGCGACGTCATCGTGCGAGACTTCGAATTGCCGCTTTCCTGTGCGACTGACCACTGCAAGAACCAGAAACAATCGAGAATGACTGTCCGGCAGATCGAGAAACTTGCCGATTAACGCGATGCCAATTAGCGGCATCTACGGACTTGAGAGCTACCCGCTAATAATCGACACGCCAGGAGTCGACACGCGCGAGGCCGGAGAGGCTCTCTCGCGCACAAAGTGCACTCGAGGCGAGTCGAGATTCGCGAAGCGCTTCTTGCTTTCTCGGCCGGGCGTTAACAGAGTTAGCGGTCTCGATTCGACTCGAGACGCCCGCGAGGAAGAGATTGTAACGTGGGACTCATGCGAGAGGGCTTACCCAGTCCGTGATCATAGCGGGGTGGCTCGTTCGTCGCGATGACACCTCGAAAGGAATCGTTCGACTCGCGTGACTCGCGAATGACTCACGTCACGACGTGGACACGCGGCGCTCGACACTCGGGCCCGCGAGGTCGCGAGTCCAAGCCGTCGAAGAGGGTTCGGAACGCGGACGCACCTTTTATTTTTAGGCAGTGTCACGCGACGAAAAAAGGCGCGCGACACTCAATCGCGCCGCGTCTCCCGCTCTTCCGTCGACTTTTCCGTCGATCGCGCGTCGCGTCGTCGGGACGTCGTCGAGATGGGAAGCGTCATCCGGCTCCACCGGCCGCCGCCGCCGCCGCCGTCGCCGCCGCCGCGTGAAGGAGCTTTTATTGGCGATCACGCGCGCACGTCGTGTCTTTTACTCCTCTCGAAGCCTGACGGAAGCGCAGCCTGACGTTTCCGTCCGTCGACGTCCTCTGAGCGACGGTTCTCTCTCTGTCTCTCTCTCTCTCTCTTGCGGAGACGCGAACTCGCGCGCCGCGGACGCGCGATTCATTCGGTAAATCGCGCACGTTGCAACGAACGCGACTTACCGTCCCGACGGAGGACACGAAGGAACGTTGACGGAGAATGAATACGCGGCAACAAACGCGTACGCCCGCGAGCGATCGACGTCTCGTCCGTCAGACGTGATTAGCGTGGGCGGGTGGCCGTCGAGTCGATAAGCCGTCGATGATCGTCGCGGCGACAGATGGAATCTCCGACGTTGGACAACATTCGGTGAAGCAATCGGCAGGTGCGAAGAGGATGACCGCGCTCTGTCGCGGAGAAATGGAAAGAGAGAAAATAATCAATTCGCGGGCGTTACTGCGGACGCGATAATAAATGACAGCGACGTGCCCTCAACACGAGAGAGAGAGAGAGAGAGAGAGAGAGAGAGAGAGAGAGAGAGAGAGAGAGAGAGAGAGAGAGAGAGAGAGAGAGAGAGAGAGAGAGAGAGCTACCAAGCGCGACCACACGGTTTGTAACATCTTGTGAAAATTATTCAGACTTGTACAACGGCGCATTTTACATTCTTAATGAAGCAACTTGAGCAAGACTAAAGAAATGGATAAATGCCTTCGCGACACGTTTAGTTTTGCGAGAACGTCATTTCCAATGGAAATAGACCGCGTTAATCGTCGGCGATTACAGAGTCAAATGTCCGATATGGTATCACTGATAATCCGGCTTTCCGGCTGATGTATCTCTCGTGATTAATAAAGGAATGTCTCGAGATAATTAAGCGAGATAATAAGTGTCCGCGATAAACACCATTTCGTCCGTTATCATCGCAATCTTCTCACCGGCGAAGCGTTCTCTTCACGACGAAGACTTTCCCGCTCTCAGCGCGAATGACGCAATCGGCAGACTCTCGCGCGAACTGTCAAAGGAGCGTTTAACTCGCTTCACGAACGGGAAGCTCGCGGTGAGCGAGAACTACACCCGATGAAGAACCGCGGCCGACTGGACTGGCCGGTGATTTCGTCGAATATGCCGCGCCAGTCCATGGCGCCTCGAATGCACGCGATATCCATCCCCTTCCTTCGTTGCGCGATCCGGTGAACCGGTGAACATTGCGCGTAAATTATACACCAGATTGAGTTAATTATTGCATCTTTGTCCGCGACGTGTCCGACACGATCCTCGACGACCGAAGAATTCGAGCGACGCGCGGCATTCCCTTCTAGAAGGGAAAATACGAACGAGGCGCGATCCCCCCCTCCGCTTTCCTCAATTAGCTCGATTAACGCATTAGAGAAAGAGAGAGAGAGAGAGAGAGAGAGAGAGGAAGAGAGAGAGAGAGAAGGAAAGTTATACCAGGTTACATAAAATAAATCGACTTGATTTTTTCCTAACAAATCTTCATTATTGCCGCGTTCTCATAAGCGGAATTTTGCAAAAGAGCAGAATCTTGCATTCCACTCGCTCGCGATAGTGTAGTAATTAAACTAAAAAATAAATTAAAATTAGAAAAATTAAATAATCGAAATAAAAAAATGGAAAATAAAAATAAAAAAATAAAAATAAAAAATAAATAGTATTATGTATTATATAAATTAAAATAATAATAGAAAATAGTAATTAAACGATCATCTCTTACTGCAACTTGTCATGATTTTTTTATCGCTATTATTAGCATTTATCTAAATTTTTTGCGTGCGACGATTACGTGCGTGTTTAGCGAGGTGCTCTTAAGAGCCGCTTCCTAGACGGCTTTTTTCACGGATTTCGCGCACAAGCGTTGCGCGGCAAAAGACGGAAATTATCTCTGATATAAACACAGTGGCGGCCGTAGCGGCACATTCGCGGTTGAATCCGCACGCGACGCGAAATTACCGCAATTGTAGAAAGTTTGTCGGCTAATCTGGACGACGAGCTTCTTTGATCCCTCGCGAAAGATTACTGTCACAGCTCGTGCGATCTCGTATTTTGTACCGTTCGTTTCTATACGACCCGAGACTGTCTCTCCCGACAGTTCCACGGATTGTTCCTCGTTTTTTCTTTCCGCGCCGCTCGTTTCGCGGTCGATTTCTCGCGGCGAAAATGTCATACTAATGTCATTTCCTCGCACACCTTTCCAACATCGTTCAATATCGTCTCGACGATATCGGGGGTCAAATACAATTCGGGATACTGCAGAGCGTTAATTTACCAAGCCGAGAGACTGCAGGAGAGACACGCGGGAAACCCGCGGCGGGCTCTCCTCGCGAATTCTCGACTCGATCACGCGAGATTGCAGCGAGAGGAAAGAGGAAGAGAAATCGGACTCGATCCAAATTCGCCGTAGGGATGCCGATTTTTTTTTCAAACAGATTTAAAGATCGATTCGAATCACGAAGAAAAAAATCGGTTTGTAAAGAATCGATTTCAGAAAATCGATTTGAATTGGTATGCATGTAAAGTGAACCACTCATTAAGGTATACTATCTGTCAAATTTCTACACTCTAAAGTAGACCTCGTTTAATTCATATAAAGTTTAATATGAATTACAGAAGTTAAACAGATGGTACTGTTTTGGTTGTGTTGTGTATGGCCACAACAAGATAGAGAAAGGTCTTTAAATCTTTATGCTGAGGATTTAATTAATTTGATTAAACATCAATCAAGGGTTTTTAAACGTTATTAAATAAGAAATTACGTTTACTATATGCATACTATATGCATATGGTGATTGGTTCGCGCGTTCCGTTCCGCTGAAAATTTTCGCCCATGGGGACATCGGCCTAAAGGCAACGTAATATGTATCGTGTAGTAGCGCCATCAAGTGAGTTCAAATATTACAACTAAAAAGAATTAAAAAAAAAAAAAAAAAAAAGAAAAACTATTATTAGTAAAAACTGACAAAATCGTGTTAAAGATTTTCAGAATTTACAGATCGATCCTTGAATCGATTCAGTGCCAGAAAATCGATTTGAAATCGATCTTTTAGGCTCCGATTAAATCGATTTAAAATCGGCATCCCTAGTTCGCCGGTAACGCGCGGAATTTCGGTGGCCTTTCGCGATTTCGTAATAAATCGATCGATGCCTCGTTACCTCGGCGTTACTTGCTCGCGCGTAAAGGTGCGTCCGCGTATATACATACATATACATATATATTACTCGCGCGCGCGCGCAGTCGGTACAGTTAGGCCGTAACATAAGATTAACATAACGGCATCCTGGTGGAATTAAAGAAACCAAAAGGAGAGAAGATCGCGTCGGACGTCCCGGCGAGCTCTTACGGTGTTCCTTCGTATCGTGCGACACGACGGAACCTCCCTCCCTCCCTCACTCTTCCTCCACGCTGATCGCTTATCAGGCTCACGAGCTCACCGGGCCTGAAATTTGTAAGAGAGGTGTGCCAATTCCAAAGGTTCCCCTGGTCCCCCTTGCGAACACGCGTCCGATGCCGGCCAGTGCGAGAGCCGCGTGTGAATCGAGCTCGATTCCGAGAGGACTAGGACCAGGATCACACACAGGAGGAGGTGTCCTCTGCATCGTCCTGTGACGTGTGATCTCCGTGTCGGCGATGTGCGCAAACGTTGCATGAGATCGGCATCCCCGATCGTCCTCAAGCATCACGCCAGCAGCGAGAAAATTCGCTAGAAAATATCCGCGGACTCGCCGACTTCAAACTCCAGTAATTTCCAATCACGATCGACGCTAGACGAATTTTTCACACGCCGTCCTAATTTCCCGCTAATTCTTGTCAACGGAATTTTCGCGACAAAGTGCACCGCACATACCGCGAGCTCAAGTCGAGCGAGGAACTTTCTCCCTTACTTACTGCTCTACCTTGCGTGCCCCCCCCCACCCCTGTGACACGTTACAATCTCAAATAGTGATTTATTCTTACTGTTGAAGTCAATCCCAATAAACAGCAACCCTCCTCCTCTCCCCGGCCCTCGAAAGCGAACGAGTTTTCGGCTCCTTTATCTCACTTTCATCCTCTTCCCGATCAAAGGAGATACATTTATTTTAGGGTCGTCGTCTTACGACGTCAGCGCTACGCAGGATGATCTATTTTAATTCTTCCGCTTCGCCTGCCCCGAAACTATCCTGCTGTACCAGGTAGCACGAAAACATCCTAGAATGAAAAGAGGCTCGGCCAGAGCTCGGCGGAGGAGCGATTATTTTCTTCTCTCTCACATCTCGGACATTTGCTTTCAGACTATCCCACAGCATCCGCCGCCCGCCACCGGCTGGCTTCTTCTCGCTCTCCGCCACGTCGACTGTGCATTCAATCCCGACCGAAAGGATAGACCAGTCGTCGTGAATCATGCGGATCCTTACGTATCTCGGAATGCGCCCGGTCGGCCTCCGTCACGGCTCCGAATAGACCAAGGTTTCGACAACTTCGATAAAAACACTCACGACATTTGTCAGCCATCATCATGTGTGTTGTCATGTGGGAGAGGCGAAGCGAGAAATATTTTGACGTCGCCAGCTTCTTGCTGGCGATAACAACATAGCCATCGATACCACGACGACGTAAAATAAACAGGCAATATGTCGAAGAGACATTAATGGCGCGCGCGCGCTGCGAAAGGCAGTTTCGCTCTCTACGAGCGTGTTTGTTCATTATTGATTTAATTTAATCAACGGATTTTCTCATCCGACCAAGGGTCGGTCGGCCCTTGCATCGCATTCGAGGGCTTCTGATTTCTCCCTCGGCGGTTTCGAGGCGATACAGCCAGCGATTTCGTCTCGTGCCATCTCTGCGAGCCCTCCAATGTGTACTTCGATGCGCTGAACGCGCTCTGGAGAGAGTATTTCGGTGGTCGCGAGGTTATTCTCGACGTTGACATACGGCACACGCCTTCGTCGTGGTGATCGCGTCGATTGATAATACGCATTTTCTCGAACCCCCCATGACCCGTCGCGACCATACTCGGCGCAAACTTGACACGAATTCGACGAGAAAGGGGAAGAGAGAGAGAGACAGAGGGGGACTCGAGACGAGCGATGTGTCCTCAGACATGCCGTCTTTAGCGCGCGTGGCATGCGTATATATATGGACGTTGGCGCTCGATAAGAAAGCATACACGCGCTGCCTTTTCCGATCCTTGCGCATTATCCTTGGCATTAAGGACCGTCGGTAGGGAACGGTCCAGATCGACGAGGCCCAGATGATTAAACGCGAGATCTAAAGATCCGGTTTCGCGCGTTAGCGTCGCGTATCGTGTCGCGTATTGTCACGCGGCGAATGAAGCGTGCATTACGGTACAACTGGCGTGAGAAAGAAAGGCGACGCGGCGGACACCGTCGTGTCTCGCGGACGCTATTTCGGGCGTCGAACCGTGCGTCGTCGCGGTGACGTTCGACAGCGCCAGCGTTCCGCCGTCGCATTCGACGAAGTCTCTCGCGGAGTTGCCGCGGATTCGCGTATTCGCGCTCTGCGCCGCGTATTTCGGCGTGCCGTCGCCTTACGTAACGCTCTACATACGCGGGACACAAACGACCACCTGTTCTACCACGCCGCCGCCGCCGCCGTTGAACGATCAGGGCGCAGCACGTTGGCGCGAACAGCGGGAGTGCGAGAAGCTTGCTCCGCGAGGCGAGGAGAAAAAAAATAATAACAATAAAATACATAAAAATAGTAAAAAAATAATAAAATATATAAAAAAAGGAGACAAACAGCCGCGACAAAAGGTGAACATCACACGGTTTGTCCCGTCGCGATTATATATCTCGCATTGCATAACGCATACCCTGATCCGTCCTTCCTTCCTCGCGTCGTTTCATCCAGACTTCCCGAGCGTGACACGCCAACGAAGGACCGCAGCCCTTTCCGCGAGAGTCTTCCGCGGGAGATGGGAACTAACCGGTGGTTTTAATTATTCCCGATTAACCGGAAGAAAAAAACGCACACGCGCGGCTACGGATGATATCATTTGAGCGAGCAGTCGGGCGATGACGCCAGCGGCCTGACCGACCTTCTACCGCGGGAGAGAGGAAGAGAGACACCGAAACGGTGTCACGCGAAATTCCATTAGGTATACACGCGGAGGCCGAATGCGCGCGAGTCCTCTCTTTCTCCCTTTTCTTTTTTTATTTTCCGCGGTTTCGACCTACGCGCGCGCGCTCGTCCGTCGCCAGACGAAGACGATGTCCGCGGCGCGGCCTGAGAGGTGGTGCGTCTTTGTCCTTGCGCGAGACGCGCAAGTCGATTTAGCACCTCCGCATCCTCGAGACGTTAGGAAACGTCCTCAGCTCGTTAGAAACGCCCGATATCTCTTGAAATTTCGCCGCTTCTCTGGTGTGTGACGCGTCACAGGCCGGCGCGACGTTGCGAGACTTGCGTGAGGGATTGGATGTCTCTCGGTGGTTTTATTCGCACGCGATACCCCCCGCGCCCGCTCGAACGAGGCCTCTCCTGTGTCACGCGAATTGCAATTCGAAAAATTCACGACCACGAGAAGGTGGGATCTCCCGGGCGTGTTGAGCCTCCCGTGCGGCGGCGGCGGCGATGCAGCGTTACTCTCGAATATCACGCGGATATATTGGACGTGCATTCGCATTTAAGCCTTTGTTGCACGTCTTTTTCCAACTGAATATAATTTTGTTACTCGGGGGTTTCTTTAGGGTAGGGTGAATACAAATCCAGGGTGAAAAATACGAATGAAAAATGGCGGACCCAATATGGCGCACGAATTTTCAAAATTAGCCGAATTCCCTGGAAATTTGTTATCTATCGGGTTTCCGAGGGGTTGCTAATTACAAATTCGTTATCGAACATTAGAAATGCCAGAGAGCTATGGCGGATGTATACAGCAAGGTTCGGTTGACACCGGTCGAGTTGCCCGCTTCTCAAGCGCAGTGTCAGCTTGTCTCATTTCTATAATTATGTTGGCCGTATGTGAGATCCGTCGTTTTGAATTTTGTATTTTTCACGCCGAATTTGTATTCAGCGACCCCAAGAACTCTCAGGATAATGATTCCGAAGTGTACGTTTACTTGCTTACTTGAAATTTCATGTAAACGAATTTATTCTCTAAAAACGACAGTTTTTAGTTCAGTATATGCTTATCAGCAAACAAATTACTTGTTTCAAGTGACTCTAAAAGTTGACGTATTAGAGGAACATTTTAATGATCCAACAATGCCAAATATGCTAAAGAAATGTGTGAAAATTTTAAATTATTGGAAAAACAGGCTCGGAGATGATAAGTGGCACTCTGTTGACGTTAACTCCGACCTTTCTTCAACGCGCGCTTACGCGATTATACGTTTGAGAACTCGGGAACGCAGCTTCGATTCTCGAGGATCGCTACCGACAGATGCACGATTTTTATCACACGCATCGTACACGTCACGCACCGACTATCTCGCGTCAAACCTCGCTCGCTATTCACCGTACGCTAAATGCTACATAATCGCGCGTATCGACAAGTGCGCGCGCGAGCGCAATCGCCCGGTTCCCGCACGCACAGCAGGCGCGCGCGCGTCCGATTCGTTCCTTCGCAGAGAGGAGAAAAAGGAAAAAGCGTGCGATTGAAATTACGAGGAGAATGTCGTAAAATCGTCAGACTCACGATCGCAGCGATAAAACTGAAGAATTTGCACTGCGCGGTGGACTTTGCACGCGCGCGGTGCGATGCGGAGCTCGAATTTGTGCTGCACCTAAGGTCAGTAACTGCGTATGCGTGCGTGCGTGCGTGCGTGCGTGCGTGCGTGCGTGCGTGCGTGCGTGCGTATGAATACGTGTGAATTCGTACGCGTTATCGAGTATCTACATGCGCTCGTATCGTTCTTTATCAGGCCGACTGTGTGCCGTACTCGTCGCAGTGATTCCCAAGTTCCATCTTTTTTTTTCTATTTTCTATTTTCACAGCGTCTCATGCGTCTCGTGAAACACGTAAATACGTCGCGATCAGACACGCATGCCTTCAGCATTGACATAATTTCTTTTTCTGCGATTCGACGCGACTCCTCGCCTCGGTCGCGCGGGTCGCGCTAAAAATAAGAGCGAAAGTGACGTGGTGAGTGTCGCAAAGGTGACGATATCGAAATTTAAAGAAGAGCCGTACGTTATATATCGCGGAAGAAACCGCGAGGCGGACACGGGCGATATTCAGCGCGAAACTTACGCGCGAAAGACGCGCGTGCGGAAATAAGAGAACCGCGCCGGCTACGGCGGAACGGAAAAATATCGTTTTACGTGAATGTTGAAACGGTGGCACTTTAAATGCTTGCGGTGTGTGTGCTTGCGCGCGACGTCGCCGGCACAAATACCACTGCGACAAACTGCGACAGATACGATAACACAGGAGGAAATCCGACGTTATGCCCACGTATTATACCCACCGCGTATCGTTATCGAATTCCTACTCGTTACATGTTTTATCTCTCACCGCGGGAGTGATGCGCACACTGTTATTTTCGCACTGAGAGTCTCTCGACACAGTGACGTTTCTTTACGCTAGAAAACGTTAACGAGGAAGAAATGTATGAGCTTTCTGAGTCACAAGACAATCACGAAATAATCGGGCTCCTGCAGTCGCACACTTCCGGCGACTTTGCAATTTTTTAGCAATACCTGTCCGGAGGGCCGAAGGGTCGATCCCTACCTTGCTGCCAGCATCGCTCATACGATACCAAGTCTGTCTCCTCTTGACAGCCGACATTTTTCACACTTTTCTGAATCACTCTTTCAAAATTTATTTCACAGTTACGTCATCCATGCGCATATTTTATTTCACGGATTTACTCGAGCAGCGACGCCATATCGCGGAATCAGCGTGCAGGTGACGTTCTCATTAATCGACGGTGCGATATGCGCGATAATGCACGCGAACTCGGAGAAGAGTGAAAACCCGTGAAGTCCGACCACGCCTCGGCGTTACTGGCAATGCGACTGTCGCACTGCCGAGCGAACGGTAAACAACTAATGCCGATTATCATCGCAAAACATATCAAGATAAGAGATAAGCAGCACACAGAGGTGTTCACATCAAGTTGAAATATATCGCTACGGCTGAAAACACTTAGAATTCGTTATTTGATATCTTGCCTTCCAAACTGGAAACAACAACAGACATTCCAGACTTGATTGATGACACTGCTACCATATGCAACTCTAAAGCGATTTAATTACTGCATCACAATGGCAGAGTGAGCTGTCTAATTTTTGGAATGGCTCTTGCTTCTGATCAGAGATCTCCAGAGAACTCTCAGTTCAACGCCTTGGACCACTATACAAACTTGCCATTGACTCAACTCTTGTCACACATTAAGATTTAACGACTCTACTTACAAAGCCAGCAGGCTTCTCCCTTCTGTTCGCCATGATCCTGTTCTCTAGATTTGTTATCTCCTCCGATGCATTTCTTTAATCTGTGAAAAGAACATAAAACAATTATTCACATATCAACAAGTTTTCTCAATAAATTAAGTTGAGTCTAGATCTAGTAAAAAAAAAACTCTGTATGGGGACACTGGCCTATATTCAGAACATGTAATTATGTTAGTGCGTTATTAACTAATCAGAAGGCATAATACGTGGCTTTTCATTAGTTAATAGCGCACTGACATAGTTACAAGCGTGTTCTGAATATGGGCCACTATGTTTAACGGGTGAAATATCAGTTTTTAAAAATGCTACATTTAGATGTAACAAGTGGTTTTGCTCCTTTTATCAAAGATTTATACAAGTATACGTTATACTCAAGAGCATCATGTTACAAACACACTGATTGAATCATAATATCACGTAAATCATTAGCATTCATCTAGTGGAATATAAGGATATTTGACACATATGATTTAATATTAACCTATTCTGTTTACATAGTTCACATCACGTCGACGACTACATAGAGAGATCTAGCCTTCCATTTTGCAACAATTTGATACTTTAATGCCACTTTTGCTCATATACGTGTTCAAGCGAGCAATTGAAATCACAGCAAGGCACGTTCGAGTTACATCTGAGAGCGAAAGGTTAGTTTGGAAATAGAGTCAAATTCTACATAATGAGAGTACCGACGAATGCCAATGTTGACAAGTGGCATCGGGCAGGAAAAAAATCGGCCTTGGACATGAGCGCGATCGAGAATCTCCAGGCCGAATCTGACGGCGATGCGACGTTTGTTAAATAAATCAATGCTCGCTCGGGCGAGCCGACACTCGCGCGACGAGCCGACGCCGATGGAGTCGACCGTCGCTCGCAATCGAGTCGATTTTTCTCGCCCGATGATCGCCAGAAGAAGGCTCTTCGAGTCTCGCGTTACCTGATTTTGTCGAGGCCTCTCTCGCTCGAATTCGCACACTTTTACGTGAGACAGACACTTCGCCGATATTCCTGCGTCGTTGTGCCACGGCGAAACGGCGAGGTCAGCGGCGCGGTTCGCGCGCGCTCGCGAATTAACGATGAAAACGATTGGACGACACGCGCGGATTCCTCGCACGAATTCCACCGACCTTTCTAAAGCGGCTGAAAAATGTCCGTTACATTCGCGCTCGTACTTGTTGCAACAATTCCGAATTGCGCGACGGACGCAGCGCGCGTGCGAGCGGAGCGACGCCAAGCAGCAGCAGCAGCAACGAACAGCGTCGCCAACGGACGAGAGCGAAAATCACGGCCCCCGATAAAGGCAGTCGCGCACAAATCACCGCAACGAGTCCAGTTTCACGAAATATAGATAAAACAGATGAGACAGACGTGGAGATGTCTCTCTCTAGCTTCGAATAACGTGGGATAGAAAATAAGAATAACGATAAGTTTTCCACCGAGGTAAATGAAAAGCAGAGAGAAACCTGAGAGCGGCGGCCAACACGGTATTTTCTGCGACAACGACTTTTCGCACTGGGAAAGGACGCCATCTGCATCCATTTGGAGATGGGAACTACAATGCTACATCCATTCTCATCTCATTCAGATCTCAGTGGTAAAATCTGTATGTGGTGGAAGTCCGTGCTACATCCACCTTCAGACGGTTTACGTCCGCGCTGCAATCACAGTTGCCATCAATCTCTATGCCAGACTATGTCCGGAGGTCTAAAAAGAGCAGGGGCGGAGGGGGGCGGGCGGAGCAGGAAAAATAAAAGTACGTATTAAATATTAAATCCTCGAATACATGTTGTCGTATCAAAGTCTCCTGTATATAATAAACGATTGGACACATTTAATTGCATTTGTTTAGCTTCTTTTATTTTCGAAATAAAAGAAGCCAAACAAATGCAATTAAATATTATTTATCATCATTGAATATTAGATGAAAAGTAGAAGAGTTCTTGCGGACAGCGGATAATCTAATATCAAATAAGAACGAGACAAAATTCGCATGGGATGAAATTTCACTCTTTAACGCTATCATGACCTTTAATTATTCTCCGAAAACGGCGTTACAACAACTTTGACACTCTGTACAATTAGTTGCTAATACATTTTCTAATCGTGCACATTCCTCTTCAATTAACATCAAGCTAACAAATGTCCGATGCTTCGACAGAGTAATTTTCTTTATTTTCAGTAATCAATAAATAGAGTGCATCAACGTCGCGTACAGTTGAAAGGCCTCCTCGCATTCCCTTCGTCGTTTCGAAACCTTCGAGAAAAGAAGAGACGCCCAAAGGCAAGTCTCTCTTGCTTCAACCGCCGCCGCTGCCGAGGCCCGCAACATTTACATCGCACCGATTATGTTGATCGCGTCGCGAGCGACGACACTTTTTACCCTTCGTATTATAATACTCGCACATTTCGTGTATTCGACCTCATTCCATCAACAGCAGCCGTGCGCGACGCGCTCGTCACTTCCGTCTCGTGTAATTGAAAGAAATATATCTCGTCGGTCCTCGAGATACTCAATCGGTATCGCGTCGGCATCGCGTTGATTAACCACACGGTCGAATCGCGAGTACCGACATTAGAAGCGTGAGCAAATGAAATCCGAAGGATTCCAGCAGTCGGGAAGCAGGACGCCGGCAGCGATACGTCACGTTTCCAGGTATGTGGAATCATTTATTATGCGGAAGGTCTCCGATAACGAGAGCGTACGTTTCACGAATTTTCCGGGAATAAGAAGTCGGAATTTCGCGCTCGGCATTCATAATCTGTCATCATCCGACTAGTAATCATGACTTTATGAATCTGCAATTACTCTCGTCAATCTCTCTCTGTCTGTCTAATTATTTATCGCGTTGTTGTATATAAGAGATATTGATCCAGACAGAGACGGATAACGGTCCATGAACGCGGATCTCTAATTCATTATGTTCTCAATCAAACATTTTGAATAATTCTCAACTGTGTGAGTATACCGGTCTTGTGTAGAATATTCAACGTCATACCGCTTCTTAGACTGCTTTTTTGTTTTCGGTCAGCGCTTCTTTCAAGTCTGTTTACTCTCGTTACGGGATCCAAATTTAAATGTCCATTCGTAAAAGAGTATTTTCGAGAGAGCACACAACCGTTGTCTCCGCTTCTTGTTGTCATTTTTTTTTTCGTCAGCTCTTTCAAGAGCTCCAAGTCCTATCTAGACTTTCAATGTCAATGAAGAAAGAAAACCGTAGCGAATATTCTCCCCACTCATCCCGACCAAACATTCTTTCTCTACCGCAGCTTACCAACCAGGAACGCTAAATTTTTGTTCCAGACGTTGCGGGAAGCAAGTTCGGCGGACGCGCATACCGCACCGGAGGGTTTGGTTCGGGCCAAGCAGAGCCGGTCGGAAGGTAAGGTTTACAAGTTTTGCTATACATTTGTGTTCAACCCTTTACGATCTTTGCCTTTGCAACTTGTTCCTCATCAGCTCTCTTGAAAGCTTCAAGTCTCATTTAAATTTTCAATGTTGGAACAAAAATATAAAGATAAAAATTCCGTTTCAAAATATTTCCGTATTTTCGATTCGTCCCGATCAAAGATATTCTCTCTTTATCGCAGGTTATCAATTGGGAAAATTACTTTTCTATTTCAGTTGTTGCGGAAAGCAACAACAATCCGGCAGATGCGGATGCCGCAGCGGAGGATCCGGTTCGGGCCAAGCAGAGTCGGTCAGAAGGTAAAGTTTACAAGTTTTGCTATACATTTGTGTTCAACCCTTTACGATCTTTGCCTTTGCAACTTGTTCCTCATCAGCTCTCTTGAAAGCTTCAAGTCTCATTTAAATTTTCAATGTTGGAACAAAAATTCCGTATCAAAATATATCCGTATTTTCGATTCGTCCCGATCAAAGATATTCTCTCTCTATCGCAGGTTATCAACTGAGAAAATTATTTTTCTGTTTCAGTTGTTGCGGAAAGCAACAGCAATCCGGCGGACGCGGATGCCGCACCGGAGGATCTGGTTCGGGCCAAGCAGAGTCGGCTTGAAGGTAAGTTTACAAGTTTACTATAGTCCTCTGTTTGACTCTTGGCGATCTAGAGCTGGGATATAATTTCCGGCTCGACTTGAATTACGATCGCAGAGGGTAAACCACTCTTTTATTCGCCCGCACTCGTTGGTCAAAATCTTGGTCTGTTGATCTGATGAGCAAATGTGAATTTTTTGTTACAGAGTTGAAGCGGAACGTGGCCGGCTCTGACTGCAAGTCGTTTCGGTGAGTCAAAATGAAAAGAGAAACAAAATTCTGCATGACGGATGTGGGACTGAAAAATATCGTTTGAGTCAATGCGAATTGCAAATAGATTCTTGCATGTGTGTATTTGTGACGTTTAATAAAATACATTGCTCGAAACAATCAGAGGATTACTTGATCGACAGCCTGCATCACATACGAGATTTAAAATACTGAATGATTCTCTTTTGATGTTCAGTTATCTCAATAAGAGATATTAATATGTACAAACGCGATACCGTCATCAGCTGCTTTATTTTTATTTTTCAAGCGGGCCGCAGAATTATTTAACGATTTAATTATTTGACAATATTCAATTGTCTGTGTAAAATATATTCATACGCATAAATGCCGATACCGTTGGCTACTTTTCTTTTATTTGCAAAACAGGCTGTAGAATTATTTGGCAATATTGTCCATTCATCACGATCCCTATTGTCTCGAGTAGCGTAGATAATGCGCGCAGAAATTGCGCCAGCGCACGCCGAGCTTGAGGTATTCTCGTTCGGCCCCCGATTGCAAGAAACTTTCTATCGCGGACTAACCCTTCGAACGGAATGTTCCCGAGAAACGCTCTTGAGATAATTGTAGTTATAAGCGAACCTGATCGATAGCAAATTTAACCTTCGATATCTCCTAAAGGGCTCAAGATATAGGAACGCTCTTTTGCAATATAGTTCTATATCAACCCTATATTGACCATAAAGCTCGACTCTCAATTCACAGTAGAAACGGAGATATTAACAGTACAAGTTAAAAACTTTAACCTTCGATATCTCTTAAACGGTTAAAAATATAGGAACGGGCCTTTGTCTCCTAAACGGCTCAAGATACATGAACACTCTTTTACCACAATATAGTCCTATATCTATCCTATTCTTACCATAAAGCTCGACTTTCAATTCCCAATAGAAACGGAGATATTAACAATTTGCGAGACCGTTCTTGTTAAGTACGCTATTATGGTTGTAGTACGGACATAAACCGCCTGAAAACGGATGTAGTATGTACTGCCAGTACATGTAGGTTTTACCGCCGAAACCTAAAATTAGATGCAGCATCGTAGTTCCCCTCTCAAAATGGATGCAGATGGCGCCCTTTGACAGTGCGGAAAGTGTCGGTGTCGCCGAAAACGCCGTGTTGGCCGCTCTCACGTTCCTCTCTGATGAAAAGTGATAGTGGCTGCGTTCAATAGAACAAAATGATCAGTGAGCGCTTAATGATTATTGTCTGTGATTGGAGCATTCTTTTAGATTCTTCATAGACCCAGAAGTATTTACCAATCAGGAGCGAGAATCACTGAGCATTCACTGATCACTTTGTTCTGCTGAACGCAGCCGGTTTCAATTCGGTTGAATAAAGCCGCTCGCGACCATGTTTGTGTGAATCGCGGGAGGTTATCGCTCGGTTTCGATTGGTCCCAGGATATGACCAATCAACGAGCGACGTTACGCTGCGATGACAACGATGACGACGACGACGTGTCCTCACACGCGTGACGACAGCGACGAGTAATATTGAAAAGCCGAAGGGAATGCGAGGCGAGCCGAGTCCTGCCGAAGCGTGTCCGTGACGTTATGCTGGAGCAGAAGAGATAAGACGGTGAAAAGAAGCGACAGCTCTGTTTCCTGGTGTGTCGAGAGAACTGTTTGCGAATTTTATCGAGCCACGCGTATCCCAAAATGTCGTACGCGTACCTCTTCAAGTATATCATTATTGGAGACACAGGTAAAAGTACTCGACGTACGATCGCGCGATGGCAACGATACCGAGACGAGTTCCTCGTCTCTCTAGCTTTCTGCGTCGTCTGCGACATGAGCCCATTGTTTTCATTTTCACGCATGTTGCGATACTTCCTATTTGCAAACGCCGAGAAAAAATATCGACGTTACGGGGACGAACACCTCGTTGCGAAGATCCCCCCTTTGTCCCGATGTCATATTCGTTGTTCTGAACTGTGTTGTTTGATACGAAAGTTTTCACATTCCTTCTGCTCAGCATCATTATCTCGATCTGTTGCTGCTTTGACAAAAGCGATCGCTGATTCAACAATGCGTGTTCAACTATATTCGATAAGCTCTCTCGTTGATTTCAGCGCTGGCGGCTATAAATAGCATATCATCGTGTCTTTTATAATGAAATTATTTATGTCACCGATAGATACGCACTTTGCATACTGCATTTATTAATATGCATGAAGATGTTTTAATTTTTTTTCTTTAAGTAATAACACCGATAGCTTGTGTCTTGCAAATGGAAATTATGTTAAATAATAGATATAAAATTAAATTAAATAAGCATAATATATTGTAAATTTATTACATGTATATAAATACTTGTAAACACTAAAGTAAGACACCAAGTGCACAAGTATAGAAGAGTCTTGTGTAATAGAATATAGACTACTTTTACCTCGGGACTCTACAGTCAAAAGTTATGACATGAGTGGAATAAACATTATGATATTATTTTTGCACAGGAGTTGGAAAATCCTGTCTTCTTCTTCAGTTTACGGATAAGAGATTTCAGCCAGTCCATGACTTGACAATAGGAGTTGAGTTTGGAGCTCGTATGATTACCATTGATAGCAAGCAAATTAAACTCCAGATATGGGATACTGTAATTATTTATTTCATAAATTTTGAACGTTAACATCTTACTTTGAATTATTACTAACAGTTATTAGTTAAAAGTCAATCTTCAGGTACAAATTCTTTACCATATTGATTAATCTCTGAATGAAAAAAAAAATATGTATATATATATATATATATATGTACATACACATGATGTATATCTTTTGTGTATTAACAATTTTATTTATTTAAATATTACATAAATATATAAATAAAATTTTGACTTGTGTATGTGTCTGACTGTCAATATCAATTTTTAATTTTCGTGACTCTACTTGTAGGCAGGTCAAGAGGCATTCCGTTCTATAACAAGGTCATATTACCGTGGAGCGGCTGGAGCTCTATTGGTATATGACATTACACGTAGGGAAACCTTTAGTCATCTTACAACTTGGCTTGAAGATGCAAGGCAACATTCAAATTCCAATATGGTTATCATGTTGATTGGTAACAAGAGCGACTTGGAAAACCGAAGAGAAGTCAGGAGAGAAGAAGGTGAAGCTTTTGCACGGGAACATGGTCTAGTCTTTATGGAGACCAGTGCCAAAACTGCAGCCAATGTAGAAGAAGCATTCATTAATACAGCAAAAGAGATATATGAAAAGATACAGGAAGGAGTCTTTGACATCAATAACGAGGTATGATATCTCCAATTACTTTGTGCATACCTTGCATACACGTGAGTAAAAAATTACTTAGACCTTACATAAATATAGCCATAACTTTGTAACATTATTCTTTATTAATATCAAAGTATTTTATAAGTATTATAAAATAATATATTTTATAAAATACATATGTCTTGCTGGTCTTGTATATCAACATGTGTGAGAGGTTAAAAAATAACAGGGGTACACAATTCTCCGATTGTTTTCCTCTATATCGCGTATTTCTATTATTTCATATATTTTTAATAATATTTATAAATGTCTAGGATTTGCAGTTAAAATTTTTTAAATATGAATATTAATAATTGCACAGGCAAATGGTATTAAGATTGGACCACAACATTCGCCGACAAGTCCCGGAGGTTTACCAGGTACTGGTGGACAAGGTAGTGCGCAAGGTGGTGGGTGCTGCTAGGGGCTGGGGCTTATCTGTCCACCGCTTCATCCTTCTGCGATCTGAATTGACCCTTTACTCCTGCTCTTCGTTTTAATCTGAACACTTTGTACAATTTAGTTGTGCGTATGCCGTATCATGAGGTAAATGACAATTGATGTATTTATTAGTTACAGTAATCTTATACACATCATAATACATAGGATTATTGTAAGACGAGAATGTTATACATCATTAAAATCGTACAAGGCATAATAAAGTCTTTATTTACAAAGTCGTAAAAGAATGAAATATATGAATAAAATTGCGCCATTTCTCAATATGTTCTTGGTAAATTTGATTCTTTTTTATAGCGACCAAATTATTGATTATTTTCGTTTTTTCGCATATCGATCAATAATTTTATTCTTTCAACATAAAATATTATTTTGTGTCGATAGCTGAATTCTCTTGATTCTTATTTGTAGAAGGTATTTTATGTTTATTTTTAATATGATGAATAATATAATTTAACTTTAATTATGTTGTAAATTTTAGCGAGCTTGTCTCCCACTTTATGCAGCACGACATGAGATCATTATGTTAAGTAATATTAATTATATCGAGAGTGATAAAGCGGGAAAGGACAGGCACTTCTATTTAAACTATTTTATATTCGTTTAATATATATTGTGTATCGTAATATAATGTGCACTAACGATCAAAATTCTATTCTATTAATAGTGGCTCACGGACGCTGATATATACATCAGTTAATCTGATTTTACATAAAAACATGATTTACACCTAATTACCTAAAACAACACTATATATATATATATGTATATGTATGTATGTATTGATATATAAGATGACAATTATATGAAACATATATTAATCAATACCATCGAGGGGGAGGCCTATTTAACCAGATTTATATTCTATATAAGGATACGCAATAGAGAAATATTATTATATTGCACATATTGACAATTGGTATCATTATTTATGGTACTTATTGTGGTATGTTCTCCTGAATATGGAGACATTATCGCGTGTTATGATAAAGAATGAATAAAAAAACAATTTTTACCATTTATATTATAGTAAAGCTATATATGACACAAAATCCATTAGTGTTATGTTTTAGACCATAGATAATGATACCGATACAGATATAGGCAGTGATAACGATTTAACCTGTGTTCCATCAAGATCCAAAAAGCTCATTGTATTTGAACGAATATTTTTTTCTTCATTTCAAGAATAACTACGGATAATGCAGAATTTACAAAAACACGAAATATATTCTAATATCTAGTAGTGCATGTTGTTATATTTATTAAAGGATTTGTCAGCTGTGGAGAGCAAGGAAATTATATATTAATACTAATGTTTCTCGGTACAATTACGAGGGAAGCGCATCTATAAGCATAACGATATTATAATTAGTACAAATTGGCTTCTTGAGCATTATTGTATAATCAAATGTTACAATATCTCCTATTATGAAGCCTACATCTTGATCATTGTACCAAAGAATGTGTCAGCATTGTTGTATACTTCTTTGCGCGTGCTTATATGTTGTAATAATTAAATCATATGCTTTCAGAAAATTACATTTAAATACATTTGATTTAACATATTCTAGCGATTGTTCTACGCACAGTCAAAGCTAATTGACGGCTTGTGATGTATTTTGTATGTATGAATGCGTTCGGCATTTCTTCAATCGGAAATATATATGTGCACATTACTTATTGTCCTTAATCCTAAGATACATCATGTAATGACGAGTCTTAAATTGTCAGGTGCGTGAGATGAACGACAATATATTAAACAGCTTGCTACAAAACTTGAAGTTGAAATCAAACATGTCAAATTAATCATTTTATCTCAAAGCATGTGTAGTGCTCGACTGTGTGCTATATTTTAATTATATATTTCACGGTACATTTCGAACGAAAAATTACATTTGGTTTCCACGAATATCAGATATAAAAGAAAAATATACAAATATGAAAGAAAAAAAAATATATATATATATATATATATTTTGCAATGACATTACCTCATTTGTAGTAAACAGCATTGCTTCGAGTAAATAGGAAACAAGGTCGTAGAATAAGTGCTTCAAAACAAATAAAGTATAAACAAGAACGATTTATTCGTTAAAAATAATATTTACATATATGTATATTTCGATGTTTATATCAAGTACTTGTCGACACGTTAAATAGGTCGGATAAATCGGATATCATCGCGAAAGAACGTTACCGCCAGTGGCAAGACTCTTTTCGTCGATGATCCCTAGAAAATACAGACATACCAAAGCGGCACCTTGTTCGGCCCATTTCTTATTTTTCTCCCTGGAAAAAAAAGACACACTATGAAGATGTGAAAGGAGAGAGAAAGAGAGAAAGAGAGAGAGAGAGAAACCAACATTCTCGAGTATAATTTACCAAAAAGAGGAACCATATTTCCTGCCATCGACGGTAACTACAGAACAGAACAGTTTGTCGTTTTTTCGAGTATCATATACTGGCATCTTTTTATGATGATCCTTGGTCCACTTGCATAATCTGGTTTTTGGCAGCTCTGAGTCTGTTGTATAACTGCTTCTCAAAAAGGCACAACGCATCAGAGCGACGTCTTCCTCGTCGTGCATTTTTCTCTTCTGAGAAATGCAATCGTCCTTTGTATCTTCGTCGAAGATCACTGGCGTCACTTGAAACCGACCCAACAAGCCTTTTTCTAGGAACTCTTTTCTCTTGGATCGGCAGTAGTCACCCAATCCCCACAAGTCACTGAAGAGAACATATTTATTAGAAAAAAGCAAGAAAAAGAGAAAAATAGGGTAAAGAAAAAGAAACAAACTCACCATATTTGTTCCAACGTTTGCGCGTCAAGGAACTTTCTGCCCAACGGAGAATCCTGCAGCTCCCTCAATATATTCTGTACACAATATTTCGTATTAGAAGGCGAATTGTCGTAATCGATAGCGTACTTTAAATACGATTTTATCACATCCTCCATCGGGAGCGGACCTTCCTTACGAAATACCGAGCAGTTCCATTCGGCTGCGCGAGCGAGCATCACACTACTGCAACCTGTTTCTTCTTTAAACCTGTAGAAACACATTAACAGTTTTACAAAATGAATCAGGATCAGTAAGGCAGCCTCAGCATTACCTGAATATATCGGAATGATTCTGTACATCTTTGGATCCACCATTCGCAATCACTGGTATCGACAATCTGTCAGAGATCAGCTTGAGAACATGGTTGCGATTCGAGTGTTGCGGTCTTTCGTCGATTGTGCGACCATGCACAGCGATGGCCTCGATACCAGTAGAGGTGAGGGTATCGCAAAGCTGAAAAGTCTCTTCCAGATTGGGTAGAATGCGTATTTTACAAGTGACTGGTATTGACACAGTTTCAATCAGCTTCCGCAAAATGCTGGTTGCTTGCTGTGGGTTGGTAAGGAGAGCAGCACCCATTCCCCCGAGTATGGAGAACTTTTTGGGGCAGCCCATATTAACGTCGATGCCAGCAACGTCCTTTTCCACCATACTAGCGACTTGGACGGCCCTTGTTGGATCCGAAGTGCCAATCTGGAGAACCACATTGTCTCGCTCACGGGAACAGGTACGAAACGCTACAGTGCGATCCGTCTTGTCGATATAATCGATAGTGCCTAGAACATCTGCAAGTAAAGCGACAAATAAGTAACTCGGACGAATAAATGAGAACCCAAAGACAGGTCAGAGCCAAGTTGCGTTAGATGACATGAGCTTAAGACTGCGAGAATAATTAAAAAAAAAATCGTACAAATTTCTTCGACTCGACCAATTCGCGTGAACACAGACCTCGCGGCCCTAATCACCGAAAGCAAGAAGAAACGACGATCTCTCTCACCGTTCTCTCGACGAATCGAACGAAGTAACTTCCAATCAATCAGTTCCTCAGTGTAAACAATGTCCGCGCCATAATCCAGGGCGAGTAGACGCATTGGAAGCGTGCCGATTCGCACCATCGGCGCCAGGATGAGCTTGTTTTCGTAATTCAATCTCTTTCTCATGGGTGTCGACTTCTCCTCTCCTCCATGCTGTCGTGTGTTCATCACGAAATTTGGACACATCACGTCTCGTGTAGACACCGACACGTGCGAATTCGCGTGCGAATCCAAAGTCCAAGACAGCTAAAAAGCGAATTTCCCTCGAGCACAATTCATCGTCCTTGTTTCGTCTCATTCATCATCCGGCTCGTCAGCATCACTGCTGTACCGCATGGTACAGGGACGTATGTACACGTGCACGCCTGTTGTCTCGTCACTGACCTCCCGAATTCTTATGGCTGACGCGCATAGAATGGCGATTGGTGTACCAATCAGCGCGTCATCACAAATGTATTATTTCCCGGAAAAGCGAAAGTGGATTGGCTACCGCGCGAGTCATTTCACTCTTCGAGTCGCGTCAGGTGTGTGTGTGCGCGCGTTTCAATCTTTTAAATCGTAATGAAACGCCGCGCAATGTAGGCTTCGTTCTACAGAGTCTCGCCGAATTCCTCGTTCTTCAGCGGGGCTCACTGCGTGCGGATTCCGGGTTCCCGTGGCCGTGACATTTCGAGATACTTCGAAATCGCCTCACCTCTTCGTCTACAATGCCACCTCGGTCAGCGCCATGCATTTCTGCTTCCGCCCGACTAGATTCGGGCTCCTGTTACAAGTGAGGAGGTAAGATGCGCAATTTCGTTCTAAAGTAATTCCAACGTACGATCGACGACGACTCGGCTCGGATGGGAAACTCCGTCGATCCTCCTCGAGCGGGAGATCACGGATCATCTCGACGAAAAGCAACGGGCTTCGCGATCAGGCGGTGATCATGGTGAACGCGGGCAGCGCGGTGGCGCATTTCGTGAAATTGCTGGTGACTGCGGTATGCATGAGATATCTCACCGAGCCTTACCGGGCGAAGGTCTTGCCAACTACGTGGTGTCTGAGTGCCTTCCGCATTCTCTTTATGCACTCGATCTTGGGAATTTTCAGATTCGGTAAGGCCAGTGCCCTGTTATTACGTACGTAAACGTACGTATTTACCTGTTGCTTCTGTTGCAAGAACAAACAAGTGTCTTATATCTAAGATATATCGATGAAATTAATTAGTCTCAGAGAGAGAATATGTATTTTTTATTTCAATTTATTCTCAATTTATTATGAATATTATCGTTGATTATTACTACTTTACGATCTCTTTCTAATCTTTCTTATTTATAAGTTATGTGTACTTATTTTGTTCACAAGTAATTCAAAGATACATATCTGTATCTTCCTTTGACGATCTTCTCTCTGCCATTATTTTCTTTGTTCAAAGCATAATAACTTATAGATATGGACCACCCAAGATTCCATGTCATAACTATGTAGGGGGTAGGAGGGGGTACAACAAGAAACCGTTGATACAAAATGACACATAGCCATACGTGGCATTTAATTTTTGTGTCTAAATCTCCAATGGAAGAGGAAGATGTTTTCTGTTTATCAGCATTACGGATTTACGGTAATTTATACAAATTATGTACTGTCGTTGGAACAAGTGAGGAACCATTTTGATGGGATAAGATTAATTGTATTGCAGATAACACTTGTAATTTGCTTAACATTTTATTTTTAGCCATGTTAAAAGGATTTGGATTTTCTACAGCTTCCAGTTTTTTATACAACTTGCAAATTGATATAGATATTTATATCTTCTCTCTTAATATCTCTCAAATATTTTTGAAGATAAATGATATTTTAAGATTTTATGCTATAAAACAGTGATTAAAGCTATTTGTACTATTAGATCATTTTATGCACAAATGGTTAGCAACTTTGAAATCTCCATGCACACATTTCAGTTAGAGTGTTCTTGCACACGCATTCGCAACAATGTAGGGTTTCTTACATCCGCTGTAAATTTCAATGAGCACCAATATATTTTTTAGAGTATTGTATATCTATGTAGTACAATATCTCTTACATGTTCCAACAAGTAACGATCTGATCTGATAGGTAGTATAATCGTGTGATCAAATTGCATTTCTTTGCAAACACTTTTCCTGTACAAATTATAGCACAGTTATAACATTGAATCTTGTAGTTGTTTCTAGTGTGTATGTTCAGGCTAAATGTGCTGTGTACATTGCTTACTATATACGTACTTTCTCACCTGTAACTGTAACATTATCTTAAATCTTTTCAGGAATCCCATTCACCTCGGCATCGACGGTTACGGCAAGATGTTTTCGCAGCTTTTACGACTGGTACTCCTATGGCATTGAGATTGTACCTCTGGCATTACTGACGTCTGGTATATTGAGTGCATATCAAATAGATGACAACATTCGTATGTTGTTATTGTTTCTCGGTACAATACCAATATTATTTCCGTTCGCTGTGAAACAGAAAGAAAGTCAAGTACGAAAATTCCGTCTTCTAACCGATATCGCCGTCGTGTTACAGATACTTGCCATCACGATACTCGGTTTGCAAAACGACAATTATAACGTAATCAGTCTAGTCGTCTCCTACACTTTTGCGCGTTTTTTTGTGGAAGAATTTTGTTATCGTTACAGCATACCGCACACTGATTTGACACAATATTGCATATGCTTTATCGAGGTGTTTACAGTTTCAACGCTTAAAGATTTGTAAGAAATGTGTTTCGATGTGATTATACAATGTATCATCTCTACTTCGAGTAGTTGCCCACTCGAGATTCAACGAATCATTTAGTTACCATTGTGAGGAAGAACGTCAATTTCTAAAACCGTACATGTCATTCATGCCACATTTATAATAACGATAAAATAAGAGAGTACTTGCAACAATTGTTCGATAAAGAACGGCACAACGTGCGTCAATAGGGTGGTTATTTTGTTATCGGCTTGCGAGCGAATATTTATGCTAGATTTTCATATAACAGTCTGCGTCAGTCAGAAAGTACTGCCGATTTTCAAAGTAAAATCTAAATTATAGTTTGTACGATAAAGACAGTGCCACACATCTTGTCTTTTTTTATACATTTTACTGTAGTAGTGAAGGAATGTTTGTAATTCTTTAACGATAAGACTTTAAAACGAATTTTACGCATTGTTATCAAGTCTTCACGGTGAAGAAATAACACGAAACTTTCTGGTATTTTTACCAATACTTTTCTAACGGTAAATTTATAGTGTGCGTGGCGTCTCTGACCTAACTCTTTTCGATATTTAACTTTTTATATCCGTTTTTGAAGGGAAAATGTTTGGTTGTCGGCCTACTGAAGGACAAGTATAATTAAGCGTGAAAGGCGTAATGTTTTCACAAGTAATAATGACAGATAATGGGGTCTATTCTCGGTAAATATGACGCGATACAAAACGCTTCGTTATCTGTTGTTTATCGCTTTGATGTGGCGGAGATGCGTTTATTGTATATCTAACGATGTGTGTCATTAAGATAATTATTGTATTATATAAGATAAAAACGATCAAATTGAATGATATTGCTGCTCAATCGCAGCAGTGATGATTTCACCAAAGTATCGCTTGAATTCTCGAATTTGCGTATACTAAAATTTATCTGCGATTGTATCGGGGCTTTAGCGTCGAACACGGACGATATCGGCATTTTGATACGCAATACGTGCGGTAGTCATTTTTCCCCAGAGGATTTTGCTATTGATTTATTTGAGATGTATCGCCTTTTAAAGATTGAAAAATATAAAATCTTTTTCTTATAGATATTGTATTATCTGTGCATCGCGTATATGCTCAAGGCAATCAGGAGATTGTGCTTCTACACACACACACTTGCATCATCTTTTCAATATTTAAAGTTTAAAATACTTCTCTCCCCTAGTATCTATATTAATCTTCAGTAAACATATTTATATTTATCCCTGCGTTTAATTCGGGCTGTAACTACTCGTTCAGTGTGAACTGATAAGTTTAAACAGCGTTTAAACTTATTTATTAGCACCAACACACGTACTTATTTCCTGTTGAATAGGTGTGCGACTCTCCCGTGTTGCCGAAAATTTCCCCGGCGCAAAATAACATGTCATCCGTCTCTGTCACAACCTCCACGTACCAGCGAGCGCTGCGTTACGCTAAAGCGAACTTGACCGCTATTAGCGTAACCCGCGCCTCGCCTATCCAACCGACGTATTTCTGAAAACGCGATGAAAAAATCCGACGAGCCGCCACGAGCTGTCGCATTTGCGAAACAGCGGAATCTAGTCGGGGTGATTTTAGAAACGACTCTGTCGTGTGTTTATTTATTCTTAGCATCTGTTTCTGGTATTCTCACGCTTCGACGTTATGCGTACGATCGGCGTTCGTTCGTTCGTTCCGCCAAACTACATGTCCAACTACACGCTCCTGTCCGGTACGAAGACGTAATGCTCCGAATTTTAACACGTTCGCGATATTCCCGCGTCTAAACGATAACAAACGAAACGTTCGTCTGTTCGTTTCCCTTATGTAATTCGGGATCTAAAGAACGAGCGGAGAAACTTGAAAACAACGATAAAACGAACGGACGAATCTTCGACAAATCCGATATTTGTCATCGATCACTAACATCGATCAAGCATGTTGCAACTGGTCGACGAGTCTTCAGCAACAGCGATGTCTTTCTTTTACGTCGCATAGCTCCGTTTATATTCACGTGTCAATTATAGAGGAAGCGCTTACATTTTCAAAATGTTCGCGCATGACGTAGAGTTAAGAATTATGTCTCACGGCGCGTTAATTTAGCACGAGCTAAATTGCCTCGCAAAATTTGGCACGATCGTGCAATAGCCATCGCGTTTACCTCGCTCGCCAAAGTGGATACACCGAAAATATGTGTAATAAGACTATTTAGCGTGCGTTACAGCCGTGAAATGTCCGGGGACCGCCAATTCTGCGAGCGATTTGTCGTCCCACGCGTGAAATGAAGGAATTAGATTAATTACGCTAATTAAAGATAAAGATCTTCGAGGAGCGCGGAGGTACTTTGCGAGAAGATGTTCCATACGTCTCAAGTGGCATATATCTCGCATGGAGATTCAAACTCCTCATATTTAAGAAAAGTTGTCACTTTTCAGCAACACATCTTCTTGCACCAAGTTTAAAGACCGACGTACTTTTTCGTCCGTTCACTTCGTCGTTGCTTTCAAGCTCGTTCTTCAGATCCCGAAAATTTATGTAAAACTCTTACAGATCTCGGTACAAAGGTAATCTGTATCGCGTCGAGTCGAAAATCGCTTTTGACTTATCTTCAGCAGTTCTCTCGAAGAATTTCTTCCTCATCTCTTTCCGTCACTCGGCACATGTAAATTGGACGATTGGAGGAACCGCCGCTGTATCGGGTGTAATCGTGCCGCAGGCGTTCCGCGCCCGCCGCGTTCCGTTCGCAGTTAGCCGCGATTAGTCACACAATCTAATCCTAATCGACGGGGAAAAGATGTCTCTGTGACCTATTTTTTCCTCGACTGGAAGAGGACTCTCTCTCTCTCTCTCTCTCTCCCCCCCTCCGCGAAACATGTCGATGAATCGTGTTCGCGCGTGGCGCGAGATGTCGGCGGCCCGAAATATATTTTTACACCGTTCTAGCTGCATGCTAGATAGAGTCGTGTTGTAACGGTTTGCAACTCACGGAACGCGTAGGCAGCCGGGCCTAAGAACGGCAATACGGCCCGCCACTGTCCTACTTCAAACTTGGAATATCACTCGATAAACGATTACAAGGGGACAGGAGGCGAGGCGGAGGGACGGAGCCCTCCGGCGCTTATCGGTGACTCCGAAATACGCGCGACTTGACGTTGTTATACCGATCTACTTTTGTCGCGTAATATAGATCTTAATTTCACGTACAATTAAGCTTTTACGCGCGCATACGTGCGTGACGAACGTTTATACCGTAACGAGATACAGGCCGGTGTGACACCCTGATGTCTCCTCGATGAGCCTCTTCGTTTTCTTCTCGCCTTCTCTCTCGCGCGCGTGAATTCATTCATGGATACCGCAAAGGCAGGCATGTATGTGCTAATTTCACGCCTTTCCCACGTGCATTGTCCGCCTGTGACGCCATAATCCGCCGGCACCTTGGAAATAACTTCCGTCGTCACCGCGATAGAACGCGCGAAACGTCATCGGCGTCGACGGATAATGAGGAATTGGAAGAGACGGCATTTCTCGACGGCTTTTCGCGGCCGCTTAATACGGAATACGGATATGTAGCGGATATGCGCGGGTGTGTAGCTGCGATTGGAAAAATCGATACGTAGGAACAGCGAGGACTATTTTTTGTACGACGTGGAAGAGCTCTCGACGAGAAGAAGAACGTCTGTCCTGAACTGTTCGCACGTCGAACATCGAGGCGGATCGAGGCAATTAATTAGAACGCGCGATATATACAACGCGCGTCGACCTTCGCGTGAAAGACGACGACGTGGAGAAGCCGTGCGCGGTATTCACTTATAACATATTTCATTTTTCGTCGGCGTGCTCTATTTTTGTGTCCACCGGCTTTCTAGCTGGTTTAGCAGACGCGCAGGAAGTCTTTATACCGGGACGGAAGAACCGATTCTCTCCAAGTGTCCGTCGTCCGTCGTCCGTCGTTCGTCACTCGCGCTTTGCCGAATACGGTGCGAAGGCCCGCTCACTCACAATCGACATGGTAAGATCGGTAGGAAGGTAAAGCCGCGGGTAGCTCTCTGTAGCTTGCTCGTTCGTCGAGGAATAAGAGCCGGGCGCCGATCGAATCGACTCCACGTGAGAAAGAAAGAACGAGCGAGTGTGTCACGCGTATCCGCGCGGATCACGTTATGTAAAAGCGTTATCTAAGAGAGCGCTTTCCGGAGAAAACGCTCCACGAAAGCGTTACTCGCGGAGGGCAACATCTCTTCGAGACCCTCGCGGCTCTCTTTCTCTCGCGTCGAGCTTTCGATCGCGAATTAGAGCGCGTCGCAGCCGACGAAACATTCGAAATGTCGGCGCGAACCTATCATCGGTCATCGAACGCCCGTAGGAGGAAGACGATCAGAAGGTGGCCGTGATGCGCAAGGCCTTCCAGATGTTCGACACGACGAAAAGCGGTTTCATCGACACCATGAAGATCTCGACGATCTTGAACACGATGGGCCAGCTGTTCGACGACGGCGAGCTCAACTCTCTGATCGAGGAGAACGATCCTGAGGGCTTGGGTAAGGTGAACTTCGACGGTTTCTGCAAGATCGCCGGTCGCTTCCTCGAGGAGGAGGACGCCGAGGCGATGCAGGAGGAGCTGAAGGAGGCGTTCCGAATGTACGATCGCGAGGGTAACGGATACATCACCACGGCGACGCTGAAGGAGATCTTGGCGGCGCTCGACGACAAACTCACCAGCTCCGATCTTGACGGGATTATCGCGGAGATCGACACCGACGGCTCCGGCACGGTGGACTTTGACGGTACGTAACATGTTGGTGCGACAAAGCGATGAAAGCAACAACGAAGACGCGATTGTGGGTTTAATTGACGACTCGATTCATTCGCAGAATTTATGGAGATGATGACCGGGGAATAAGCGTGCGTTCGGACGGTGGCAACGAGCGGTTACGACGAGTGCTACCGCAGGTTATCGCGTCGCGATCAATTCGCACTGGTCATGACCGCCCGGGAAAATCCGTAAACTTCTTTAATGAAATAATATTTGTATTTGCGCGCGCGCGAGAGAAAGAGAGAGAGAGAGAGAGAGAGAGAGAGAGAGAAAAAGATTGTCTTATTTATTGCGTTAATCCCAACTCGTTGGATGCCGGATTTCCGTCGGTAGGATTGGAGAAGAGTGCGCAGAGGAGGACGAGACGAGAAGAGAAGTCGATTGCGAGACATGTGCGTTTTAGAGCAATTTATTAATTGCATTTGCTACTTTGACACATCGATAAATCTTTTCTTGATCATTGAACGAAAAAAAAACAGTAAATAGTTTTCGACGGTGGCGTCGCCAGCGATTACGCGATGCCGCCGTCTAGTCTGGTAGGAACACATTACTGATAAAGCACCTCATTGGTGGGTTGTCCTTCGTGGTAAACGTAGACGGTCTGAATATGGACGTTGGGAACGAAGAGAGCGCCAGGGGTCAGCGGTCTGTTCAACGGGTAGCCGTAGGGTTTGCCGTCGAGAGAGACAGCACCGCCGATGATCTCGGAGATGTGCTTGCCCTGGTAGTATTCGTTCACTTGTCCCTCCTGTACCTTCTGTCCCTGACCGAAGATGTTCTGGTAGCCGCCGGCGTGGTACAGTCCGCTACCGTAATATCCTACGCCGTATCCTTGTGCTTGATGGCTCTGTCCTTGGTAGGTTCCTTGGTATTTGCCTTGCTGAACGTCGCCGTGTAAGCCGCTGTGTATCCCCTCGGTTTGTACTACATGTCTTGCGGTTTCTACTCCTGGCATTCTTCCTTGTACGTTTTGTACGCTTGGTACGCTAGTAGGCACTCCACCTTGGACTTTCTGTCCGACCTTGGCTTGTTCGCCGAGGTACTGGTACGGTACTTGTCCTTGTACTTGTCCTTGTTGTCCTTGATAGATTCCTTGGGTCTGGTATTGCTGTTGTCCTTGAACGTATTGCTGTTGTCCTTGTCCGTAGTACTGCTGACCCTGCATGCCGGTCTGCACGCCCTGCCATACGGTCTGGCCTTGGCCTTGGCCGACGTTGTATTGGGTGTGCGTGTATGGGTACTGTCCGTGTTGCTGAGTGTAGATGTTAGCATAGTGGTTTCTCACGACTGCGAAGGAAAAATAATTGATTCTTTTGGTCTCACTCGATAATAAACGATCTTGTTTCTTTGGCGTGGACAACAACGCACCTTGGCTTTGTTGCTGGCCAATGGGAAGGGTCTCAGGCACAACCTCCACGGTCGGTTTCGTACCGACTACCTTGGTGGTGTGTTGTTGGATCTGCTGAGGATAATTCTCAACATCAACTACTTGGTATTCGCTCTGCTGGTAGGTTTGGTATTGCTCTGGTACCACTGGTCCGTAGGGTACGTTTTGCTGTCCGGGCTGAGAGATCACAACCAACCACTGAAGCGGGTATCCTTCACGGTGACCTTTGGGAAGAGCCAACCTAGCTGGGAATCCGTAGACCTGGTGGGGCTGCGAGAACAGATATTTTATGTTTAGTTGCTTTAGTCGCCCTTCGAGATACCTTCATCGATCGGACTCTACGAATAAACACATGCGATCATCACCTCGGTGACGTAGAACGGTGCCTGAGAGCGAATAGCGTTGCCAACGCATTGCTTGATCTCCTGAACAGACGGGTAGTCGAAGCTCAGGCCTGGTGCCTGGTGGGAGTTCCTGGTGATGACGTTCTGTCCTTGCTGAACTGTACAGCGTAATGAAAAGAAAGAAAGTTTCAATCTGTTGAAGAAGAACCAGCCATTGCGCTTAGTCAAATCAGGAAACTTACGGTCAGTCACGAATTGATCGAGCTCAACGAATTGTTGTCTATGCTTAGAGATGCTGATAGGCTTGCCGTCGTAGTCGTACTTCGGTCCCAAGAAGACGCGGACAACGCAGCCAGGTATGTTTCTCTCGCTCTGAACGGTAACGGTGTATTCGTACGGTTTGTGATCCAACCTCTTAACCTGTCCTTGGACGTGCTGTTTCAAAGTCTCGGGCTGCTGTTGCTGGTGTTGCTGCTGCACATTATGAGGAGTAGCCTGGTCGAGGTCAACATAGTAGTCGTTGAAGAAGGTCATGAGCTGAGAGACTTGAACGTTCTGGATTTTGACGCCGTGCAACAGGACATCGTTGTATTGGTACGCGGGCAGAGAGTCCTGGTAACGTTGGAACAAACCGATGATCTTCTTGTAGAGTTGGTAGAAGGCAGGGTCGCGAACAGCGGTCTGTCCCAATTCGAGAACGGAGGGTGTGTAGTCGTAGATGTTTTGTACTTTGGGGGCGTTGCCGAAGAGTTGACGACCGATAGCTTGGAAGCTGCCATAGTACCTGTGATAGAAATATACGCGTCGTCGTAAATTCGATCATCACATTACTGACAACGAAATCAGCATGTCGCACGATATTCGATCTGGCGGCGAGGGGATTTACCTTGGGTTAATGCTGCGGCCGGTTCCCTCGATGATTTCTCCAAGAATGTTCAGACCTTGTGGCTGGTAGAGAGAGAGGAAAGCGCCCTGCGGGGTGAGAACGTGTCCGGAGTCGATAGCGTTGGTCAATCTTTGTTCGATGAGCTTTACGAGCTTGACGAGATGATTTGACTTCGTGGCAGAGAGCTGAAGGTATTCAGGGCGTCCAGGGAACTCGAGACCGTTCATGAATCGGAAGTGCGGCTGATACGGCGCCTTTACGTGAGTGTAGTCGGTGTCGTAGATCGGGCCGAGTCCAGCTCCAAGACGGCTCAGTTCGTAGCGAGCCAAAAGCTGTCGGTGGATGTAGTAGTAACGGGATCCTTGGCCGTTGTTATCTTCCTGCTCCTGGGAGATGCCTTGCTGTAGGTATTGCACCGGGGTCTGCTGAGGTCCGTGCTGGAATTGCGTTTAAAAGGATGTTAATGTGTAAGTGACGCGAGCGTACATTTCATCTCTCGGAATTTTTCGTTATCATGCGGCTTGCTAGATAGCACGAAACATATCGATATCGTTTCGAATGTGCTGAACACACCCCGGACAATCCCCCAGAACATTCTGGATGTAATTCGGGACGATTCTGCTACATCTTGTTGCACTAGCCAGACCATGATAATAAATCTAACAAACTGCTAAAATCACCTGCTGCAGCAAGTATCCAGCGAGATTCACCATGCCGTAGTAGTTGGCAAGGCCGATATCCTGCGTGAAATGGGAGAGCTGATGTTCACCATGGGGTAAATGCGAGCTGTAGTTCACCGGGATGACAACATAAGTCTGACCGTTTTGTACGTAAGTGTGTTGTCCGACGTTCTGGTGTTGTTGAGCGACAACGTCTTGAGCTTCCTGGATGATTCTAGAGTCGAAGTAGTAATGAGGAATGATCTCGTACAAAGGCGGCAGGATGATGCCCTGCATGTCCGGACGCTGGAGCACAGCTCCGATGAAGGCCTTGACGAATTGTTCCTCGTTGACGTGGACACGAGCCCATGCGGCGGTGTTCAAGAACGTCTGGTAGTTCTTAGCACCCAGCAAGATTCTATGCAAGAGAGCAACTTCCTTGCGGAGTTGGCTGACGGAGTTGGAGTAGACGGTGCCCTTGGGCTGAACCAAGCCAGCTCGTACAGCGCCGACATAGTACTTCACAAGGATCGGGTTTTCGAATTGATGATAGTTGTTCTCGATGTCATAGCTGGTGCCGAGGATATGCAGTTGTTCGTTCGGGATCGGTTGGGTGATCTGTTGCAACAGCAGAATGCAATCCTGCTGCTTCTTCAGGAGCTCTTGATCGGCTGGGGAAGAAGGAGAGAAAGAATAGAGAAAAATTTTTATCGTTCGTCCAGATATGATGATCTCTTCGGATCTCGTCCCGCAATTGTTCGGGATGTCCGTCGAGCGGAATAATAGCAGTTCTAACTGCGTGAACAAGCCGACTCGAGAGGAGAGATTCGGCAGAGACCGTGGTAATATTTCAAATGTTCCTCTAAGAGAATGAAGAGTCGAAACGAAGAAATTGATAGTTGAGTAGAACTTGACTCGATTTCGGGGGACAGAGTCCCGTTAAGGATTGCACACTTACCAGCTCGCTGTTTCGGCACTTGGGGTATAGCTGCCCCAAAAGCTGCTAGAGCCAATAGAACGACTGCGCACCTCATTGTTGATACAATGCTGTTTGCCGCATGCCGTCTGTTGGACCGGTGCGGTCTTTTATACCAAAATCTATATCGAACAAAAGCATTATCGGTAACCTGTTGACCTAATGTCGCCGTAAGATTTCGCCGTCTGCATGCGATACCCCGTGCTGTTTCGGATGGATCATTGCAACTCAGCGAAGGTTAAGCGACGATAATGATAGCACCGATTGAAGCGTGTCGTTGCATCACCAGTTACGGAATTTTTAATTTCGGTTTCGATTTACCATCTCTTTTCCTTCTCAGTTAATTCCATTTCGTTTCTATTAGAACATAGCTTCCTCATTCGATATCCTGATATTTCTCCCCCTGAAGTGAGTGAGTCGAAGTGATAAATTCCGTTATATTTGCATATAAATAATTCTTGATATATTATCCTGAAATGAAAAATAAATGAACTTTCAAATTAAACTTTCAAATTAAACAAGGGTCGTGCTTTTGCAATGAGATCTTTATATTTTTTTCTCTAGCCATCCTTTTTACCGTTATTTAAGGATATGAAACCACCATATATTTAATGACATAATTAATGATATAATTATCATGAAGCAATATATGAAAAGAGCGATGTGTACAAAGTCCTGCATAAGAAATCTGCATGAAGCAATACATGAAAAGAGAGACGTGTACAAAGTCCTGCATAAGAAATATCAAATAAAGAATTTATTTTTCATCTTCTCCTGCATTTCTTCACTCTCTTCGAGCTTTTCGTACGTCAACATTGATAACCATTATCTCGACCATTATCTCATGAACTACACTCTTATGTAATTTGCGGCATTTAATTTGTAATATATTGATTATTATATTTTAATTTTCTTTAAGAAGTACGAACTTTATTAATAAGATTTATTCAACACACTTCAGCAAATTTCCAGGAAAGAACCTGTAGTATGAGAAAATTGTTATTTTACTACTATGCAATTGCAATAAAATTATAACAAAAATAATATAATATTTATACATACTAATTTATATACAAAGCGTACAACATACTAGAGATAATAGATAATTAAAAGTAAAATCTTATTTTGAACTTGAATTGTACTTTTAAATCTAGCAATTGCATGAGAAAAATTATTTAATTAAAAATTTATTCTCTCACATATATTTTTATAATAGTGGGCGATATTAAATAAATTCATAAATAAACCACAATTTACATTATTATATTTTAAATTAAATTTTTCCATAGGATTATGTTAAGTTAACGTGCATACTAAAGATATTTGTATAGATAAATCATAAAAAAGTTTGAAGGCATCCTTATTGATATTTCCCAATAATTTGTCACATGATGTATAAATTTTAGATAGAAAAATATAATATCAACGAATGAATAAAACGAGAACTTAAAAATATAATAAAACTTTTTATAAAAAGATCAAAAGCTTATAGATCAAAAGCAATGCCAAGCGATCGGGTTATCTATGTATTCGCTTTACTTAAAACGATAAATATGATAATACTTGACGAGTCGTTGCAGGTGATTACATATTTATAGATATGTCTTGCGGTTATCGCAATGTTTGCTTCTCGTATGATTGGATTACGCTCTTGCAGTTGCGAAGGTATCAACGATATTGGCTAAACGCAAATATATCGCTCTGCAATAGCATCTCAATATATCCATATGGTTATAAACGTAACCTCAATCCAAATATATTCGCATAATTGTAAAAGAGAAATAATTGTTCAACAATTACTATAAATTTTCATGCGTTACTATTAGTAAAAGCTATTTACTAATTTTTCATTTAGTAACATACAAAAATTAAAACTTCATTTCTCTCGGATATCGCCGTACTCGACAAAGTATACATACAGCAGATTATCTCCCGTAAAAATCATGACAAAAAGTATTTTACAACTTGAAGTCTACAGTTTCCAGTTTATATATAGTTAAATTTTATTTATTTGTTAGATTTATTTATTTATAAATAGAATTTATAAATAGAATTATTTATTTATAAATAAAAAGTTTATTTATTTGTTAGAATACTGCACGAATAGAAATTGAAATTCATCAATGTTCAAATGATCAAATTTTATATGAAGTTTGTAAAGTTACGGCACGATAATAAAAAAAACATACGTAAAAGCGGTTAAAATTATTTGAAAGCACGAATCTCCATCCTCACAGGTTGCGATGCAATTTATTTTCTGCTGACTTATCAAATTATTAAAGCGAAAAGCATTTTTTGGCTTTGACTAATTATAGAAGGACTAATCGAGATTTATGACGTTCATTAGAAAATGAAAACAACGGTAAAATTATGACATTAAAATGATTAAAAACTAGAAACTTCAAGCTACAAAATATTTTTCGAACCGCCTCGATAGCATCGCTTTTACTGTAGTAGAAAGTGGTGACTCGTAGCGGAGATTTTGGAACTAAATTCTAAAAATAACGGGTCTAAATATACGCCTTTGATTAGACCCCTTATTTCTCAATATAACAGGGTCGGTAAAATCGATGATGGCTTAAATTTAAAGGTCAGCCATTGTGAAATTTGCTCGCAGTTTATTGGCAAGTTGTAAGCGTCAACTTCGGCTTACACGCGACTGTTAAGTTGTAAAAACCGAAATTAAAAGAGAAACGTGGTGAAAATCGAAATGGCTAAATTCTCCGCAACATTGTACAATCTCGTTCTCAGGCGAACGTCTACCTATACGTTGGCTATTTTAGTTACTGCGTTCATGTTTGAAAGAGGTTTTGATGTAGCAGCGGATAAAATATTCGATAGTATTAACAAAGGGGTAAATATAAATTACATTGATTTTATACTTCTGTATTTTATTCGACGTTTTTTAACCTGTGAGTTTAATGCTTTTAATGTTAAAAAGTTTGCTGATCAATATAAGGTTAGGTCTCGTTGAAAATTATTTTATGAAAACTTACATAATTGGCGAAAAAATATAATACAACACATGGAGCATTCGTAGTTAGATATTTTTATTATTAAATTATCATTATATTGCATGAAAATTACATGTTCCAATTCACATTCTGACAACTAAGAATGATATTGATTGCATAACAATCACATAATTCTTCTCTTTTCAGAAACAATGGAACGACATCAAGCATAAGTACGAGTAATGAATGGAATACTTTTGGGAGATTCTATGTTAGCTTTCCTTAATATATATGCCGCCTCCAGACATGTAAATAAATAAGAAATTCACAAATCGACATCAGAAAGTTCTTCATTTCTTCATAATATACTTATTGCGTACTCTATTGCATTAGAATTAATTTAACATACTCTCTTCTCTCTTTCTTTATCACTTCTCTCCTTTATATAGGTATAAAAGAAACATTCATTCTATGATTATAACAACACAGTACAAATGTTATTTGCATCACAAAGCAATATTATATACATAAACGATAGTCTTTTGTATTGCAAGCATCTTAAGTGTAAAATGTATCATATTTGAATATTAGACTTATTGTTAAACGTTGCTGATATTCTGCACAACGGGATCCAGAATGCGACCAGCAAAGAGTGTTTCACCTGTTGGCACATCGACAATGGCAAAGATAAATGGTCTATTTGCAACGAAAGTTTGTGCCATTCCCATGAGGGGTATAACTGTGAGTTCTGCAAAATAAATAGGCATAACGTTGAAAACAGTCCATAAACAAGGATATGTTAAAAGGAATCTTACAAATTATACCCAAGAATATTACCTGTCACGGCAGCAGCAATCGTTCCTTCTTCGTCGACTTGTATCTTAGCATTTTGTATTATATTTCCTACTCGCATGTAATTATTATGCATGATGCCCGTGAAATTTGCTGCTGCAGTGAAAATGTCTAGTACACCCATCTAAAACGAAAGAATGTATTTTTAACGAATATTATTATACATTACACACAAGGGTTAACGATAGTTAAAATTAATAATATTAATAAAATTGGTAATAGCTATTATAATATTAACGATAATAACGAGTTAGTTACGACGTAAACAGAAGAAATAGACCGTTCCATAAGTTTAATTGACAGCTACTCACTTGCATCAAGGGTGTGCGCAAATCCAGTTTGCTTTCGACACTAAATTTCGGAATGAAAACCGAAATCTCGGTTTCCACGAGGCTGGCCAGCAGCGTTTTCATCGGCACATATGACAGATCTTTAGTGAGAATCTGAAGATACGGATCGGTGTTCTCATGAGCCGGGAGGAACAACAACATAGCCGTCCTGCCGTCCTGAAATGCCGATAAGATAATACCTTTTTGGGGAAACGCATGTTTCGCGGGGTGAATAACGCATGGATCAGGATCCCTTACCGAATACGGGAGCTCCACTATTTCGGTGTCGAGAGAAGCTATGTAAGCATACCGATACTTGGAGGTGTTCTCCATCATGGGGACGTTGTGACAGCCACGTTGAGGCACGTTGAAACATCGCATACGTGTTGCGTCTTTATCGAAGGACTTCAACCAACGTCCTTTGAAGTACAAGGCTGAGGTCAATAGCAACTGGGTGTCAGCGTCAAGGGTGCCTGAAACGATGACATGTGATGGGATCTCTACGAGCGGGGAGTCGGTGTCCCTATGTCTCCTTGAAATTGAGTAGACAAGCTTCCGCTCTAACACGACCATCCGAAATTCCCCGTCTAAAGGAAAGTACTTTCCGCTATTCTCGATAGAACTTGGGTGTCAATTACCAGGCTGCACGATTGAATTGATATTGTTCCGGGTGGCATCGCTAACCCAATTGTTGATTGTCTGCGCCGCACCGTTTGCATCTGCGAAATTTAACTGCTGGATATTGGTATCGTAATGCCGTTGCAAGGCATTGATGTAATAAGCGGACGGTACAAGAGCGGAATTAATCCATAAGCGAGTGGCCGCGTCGATCTCCGTGCCATTCTGCGAGTTCTGAAATTAAAAGTGAGAAGTGAAAAAAACAAAATCGCATGAATTTTCGGGAGAGAAAAGCGTGAGAAAGAGAAAGAGGATAATTCAGACTTTCAGAGTCAACATACTTCCGGTAAGATTCAACTTGCATCGATTTCGTATTATCGATTTGTGCTCACGTGCATAAATTTATAATAACTGTTTCCGCGATGTTTACAGCATCGAAATCAATCAGTAATTTCGACGAATCTCCCAGGCAGAACAGAAGATCAGGATAACATCAAAATGACGAGAAAACGATCGAATCATGACGGAAAAATGAGTTTTCCTCATCATTTTGACGTCATTCTGACGTCATCGTGATTTTCTGTTCTGCCTGGGTCTTCTTCATCGATCGAAAGGTCAAAGTACCTTTAAAATCGTTAGAGTCAGCCTAGCTGTTCTCCTGATTGCGTATTCCTCCGGCGGTAATCTCAAAGCCGACAAGAGCTCCTGACGCGTTTGACCACCGGTGCCTTCCACCAGACTCGTAAGAGCGACCTTTGCGCTGGATGGGGACACTACCACGTTGCCATTAGCATTCTCGCTCACTCTCTAGGGATTGCGTATGGTTATGAAATTTTTGGAATATTCTTGGAATACATCTTGATCTTTTCGTTAAAAAAATACTCTTACTGTATGCGAAAAACTATATTATATACTAATATGTCTCTCAACTTGGTTCAACGAGCGAAATTTCTGATTACGTAAATTTCATGTTCTCGGTTGCAATTATTTTCCGCAGTAGAGACGTAATCTTCCATACGATCTCATCTCGTTTTCCTTCTTCTTTTGTTTCGCGTCTCTTTGCGCGCAAGATCTTTCTCTCACCTGTAGAAGGTCGATGTTGAAGAAGTTGTATCGGTCTTCGGCGCTCATGGAAATCGGAACGGCTGCGGGGAAACATCTTTGCGTTAATTACGAACGCGACTTCTTACGACAACGAGACGCTCGTTTATGTTCTTATAATTATCGCTCCGTGCGCGTATTAACGCTTCTCATCATTATACGCATCATCGACTATACATAGTATAGTGTGTACGCAATCGCGCTATCACAATTCACGTAATTCCACCTCGAGTTTATTTCCAATTGCGATTAAATTAGCGCGTAGATCCCGCGAAAAACACCGACGGCTGATCACCTCTGAAAGCAGCTGCAAAAGCATGCGCATCGACGTACGATTATCACCAGTGATATTAAAATTATACGCACAGACTCATCATCGTACGAATATTGCACAAAGCGTGACTAAAGGTTACCACGTGACCTCGCCGACTACTGAGAAGGATTTTCCTTGTCCGACAAACTGACGATAAGGCGCGTCTCCCTCGTACGCTCGAGAAAGACGAAAGCGAAGATGTCAAAGAAACGATAAAGAATATCGTCGGGGACCGATCGTAAAACCGGCCGAGTGATTTGAATGCCTGTCGTCTAGCTGATGTCGGATGATTATGTAACTGCACGTGGGACGCCACTCGACAGAGGCCATTCGGCCATTCGATTTTGATTTACGATCAGGTTCAGGTTCAGACAGACGAGAGAGGCCGGCGCGCGATGTCTCCACGTGCACTCCCAGGACGACCACAGTAAAAATATTTAAGCGTGAAGATGCGAAAATGACTGATTATCTTTCCACATTAGAACTCGTCATTGTCTGATGAATGAGACCTCCCGATGATTATCCGACAATGAGGATGAAGATAAAAACGACCAGGCGACCAGGCGACAGACCGACAGAAGCGTCTCGAGTGGCGTCTCGGGAAGAAATTTAAAATATCCTCCGCGACGACTTTCTCTCTTGCTCTTCTTTATGAGAGGTATACCTGCGAAGGTATACCAAAGGATCCACACCGAGGACGACCGCATTTTCGTGATATGAAAGTAGACGCGCGCACTCAAAACTGACTGGACGAATATGTATTTCGCGTGACTCGCACGATGTACGAATGAACACGAATAACGGAAATTATGCGAGTGATGCTCGGAGCCGCTAACGACTTTACTTCCGGCTGGCGGTCGTCCCCACTTCAGGACAACTGGATGCTGGTTTGTTGCCTCATCACGATGCGAATATAATGCGCAGCAACACGCGAACAAAACCGACCGATATGTTGGCACATAGCAGCCATTCGCGTGCGGAATAGAAATTTGCGTTAAAAACGCCTCTCTCTCTCTCTTTCTCTATCTCTCTCTCTCTCTCTTTCTTTTTGGATTACCGAAGACACGCATGGATCTTCCGAGGTAACGAACAGCCATTTTCTTCTCAGGAAAGATTATCTTTCATTTATCGAGCGTAGTGTTATACAATTGTTCGTCCACGAATGTGCAATTCAAGGAAACGCGTCTCGTTTTTCTGAGAACCTCGTAAGAGATTGTGCGACCGCTCCAAGCGTGATAATTTTTCCATTTGGCTCTACACACTTCTTTCGTACTCATATTCCTTTTAAATAGATAATCTAACATATTTTTTACAATAAACAAATTTAATATATACTTTTTCCTTAATGGAGCCTGAGCGAGAAAAGCACACGACTGCAAATTTCTATGAATTTGATTATCTATCGTGAATATAATTATTGTGAGCAAAAGTTGAAGTGACACGTCTCACTTGCATCGTCGTGATAAGGTGCTAAAGCAATACTGATCGCGATGACATCAAAACGTAAACACGACTTGTGGGGCAGATAGGAGCATGAGAAAGCAGGTTTGCCACGGAATTTCCATGTTCAACGTCACCGGGATATCCCACCGAAGACACGTCTTAAATGCTATATTTGCGGTCATGTGGAGATAAACGTTCAATCGTTTATTCAAATCGAAACAAACGGTTCGCGGAATCGTAACAGCTGGTGACACCTATACGAAGTGAATAGCCGCCCACGATTAGCGAAATGCCGATAATCGCGCGTGTCCACCGACAAATAGTTATATGGCGATGTCGCGCGGCAATTTGCACTCTCGTGCTAATGAAACGGAGAAAGCTCATGTGAAGAAAAAGCACCGATTAATATCCCAATAATCCAGCGTAGTTGTTAATTCTGCTGCTTATTCACCAATTATCACATGCACAATAATTATCCTTGAGAGACGAACAACGAACAAGCTACTTTTATGAAATTCACACAGTCGAGGTAGAGAGAAACGGAATTTTGACTGATGACCTTGATGAGACGAAAAGAAATAACGAAGCTAAATTTTCCTTGCGAATTTATATGTTATTAGATTGTCAGGAAGAAGAAAAAATGACGAAATTTTGTCTAAATCTTCGAGTTTAGTGCACGTATACATATGTTGGCGACAATGCATGATGTTGCAGCTAAACAAGTTCATTTATTCTTTGGTATAACGACTTTGGTATTCGATACAATTCGCATTCAAATCGTCTCGAGTATATCAAATGTATGACGTAAAATAAGATTCGCGCGAACTTAACGCTACATCCAAAAATACCAAGTCCTACTCGCAATGACAATGATGTACGACTATAGATTATGTGCGATCTTACTACCCATAGAATACTCGCTAATATTGTAATAACACACATATATACACACTCACATAATTTGACGATAATGTACTCAAAAAATATCGTTATCACATGCCGTATCTAAATTATGAAATGTACGCAGCAATTTTTTGTCTACCATGAATCAGGTAAAGATAGTCATTCAGCGAATGCCCGAGCAAATAGGACTTGCGACCAAATCAGAGAAGCGATTACGTCAGACTTTCCATCACATTATAATACTCAATTATCCATTACATAAGTATGTAATAACTCATGCAATTCAAAGTGGATTCTACCTGTACGAGGTATTTCATCTCAAATTCCACGCTCGCGTGGATTTTATAATCTATATTATATATATAGCATAGCAAAATATACGATATAGCAAAGCAAAAAAATTTAATATATCATATAACAGATGAAACAATTTTTCATCTACAAAGCAATACTTTGTATTTAAACGAAAATAATTGTTTCTGTTACTTCTTATACATCTTAGAATGCGCGAATTCGAGATGTACCACCAAGTGATTGTTAAATATTAGAAGAGGAAACTTAATTTTGCATACTAATAACGCACATTTTAATACTTCATTTAACGTAATTAAGCAACCAATGAGCTCTTTTAAAAAGCAAAGCTTCTTAAAGTAAAGAGCAAAGCTTCTTAAAATTGTGTCGTGTAATTACGTTATAAGCGCTACTATCAAATTATCATAAACCACATTATCATAAAAGGGAAATATGTTATGCGACAATTCGTTTTTACCATTCACCAGTTAACAGATAACTTTACAATTGTTTACCAGGCTTAGGAGTTAAAGTCGTGGTGTCCAGATTAATTCGCGACGGGAATTCCTGTTCCACCTTCTCTATTATCCCAGATGTGTCTAGCGGATCCTCTACTTTGCCCATGTAGAGGATAGTACCCGTGGACTCGTCCTCGATGTAGAACATGAACGGATGATTAGCAAGGAATGTGCCTTCTTCTATCTTGTTGCCAATCTGCACCTCTGTGCGGGAAGAAAACGTAAGCATAACAATCGTCGAAAAAGAAACAGATTTTCAGTTTGTAATTTGACGAATTGCACACAAATAATTGGGACAAACTATGCTTAAAATATTTCTTAATTAATCTTTCCGTTATTTTATATGTGTAGCTTATCAGAAAGAGATAGAAAGAGAGAGAGAGAGAGAGAGAGAGAGAGAGAGAGAGAGAGAGAGAGAGAGAGAGAGAGAGAGAGAGAGAAAGAGGGAGAGAAAACCTACCAGTAGCAGCGTAAGCAATTGTGCCGTTTTCGTTCACTTCTATTCCAGTCTTGTGCACCACGTCGGATACCTGCAGGTGTCTGGAAATCCGTTTTGTTATTGCTATACCCGTCAACAACGCAGTGTCGTCAAAGATGTCACGAATACCAATCTATCGAAAGAAAGAAGAGGCATACTAAAATAACCGCATCAGTATCGCACGATAGTAATCACATTTTTCATGAACAATGTGAATAGATTACCTCTCGCAAAGCAGATTCCAAGTGGCTCGTAAACTCGAACTTGAATTTCGGGATCCAGACGTTAAGCGGCAACTCCTGCATGGCCCATATGTCTCTTGACAGCATGAACGGATTGATCTCGTTCAAAATGTGGTCCAAACCGTTCAGTGTAAGCGGTAGTATGATGTACATGGCGAATTTAGAGCCCTGAAGCCAAGGAAAGCGAAGCAATTTGAACCGTTGATCTTGACGACATATATTACAGTCAATATTCATAAGATCGCATAGGGATCTTTACGTACGTCGTATGGGATCCGGAGAATCTTTGCATTGAGTTTCGAGGATTCGACGTAGTAAAATCGATCCACGCTATGCATGTACGGCACGTTCACGCTGACGTTAGGGTTGATGTGAAATTTAGAAACACGAGTCTGCTCGGGCGCGAAATATTTGCGACGCCAAGCGCCTTTGAAGTACAGTCCGTTCGCTATCAGCATCACCGAGTCCTCTAGACTGTTTTCTGAAACATCAAATATACATTAGACACGCAAGCATACATATTGGTGCAAAATAGCAAACGTGAGCATAACTCGTTTAATTTTTCAGTTGCAATTTAAAAAAAAATTGGATTTCAAGGCAGATACGTCAAATATGATTCGATTGAAATCCAAGTGCGTTCCAACTCACCATTGCTTATCAATTTCTCAAGGTGCCCATCGGTGATGTTACTGATCCAAGAGTTAACTTTCGATGCGACAGCATGCACATCGGTCATATTGGCGTTGAACACGTCGGTATTATAAAAGCTCTTGATAGTTGCCGCGTAGCGTTGTCTGATCTGTACGTTGTTATCAATGTAAAAACGCGAACCGACATTCAAAGTGTACGCTGGGGACGGAGTCTGTAAACGAGAATGTCGTACGTAGCTTTGTAAATACACACAGTATAAACTACATGTTTCAAATAAAAGTCGTATGATTGTATACTTTAAAAAATTATGTATAATTTTTCAATGCGAGCGAAGGCACGAATTTATGAAATTAATTCACATTACGTATAATAAAATCAGATATATTAATTATTGATTTACCTGTAGTGATCGTAGGATGCCGCTAAATCTCTCCCGAATGGCCGACGTGCTAACCGGAAGTTGCAAAACATTGGCAAGTTCGTAAGCGGTTTGTTCCTGCGCTCCTTCGAAAAGGAGCACCAATGCCAATTTGATAGAAATCGGCGATATCAATACATTGCCTGAATTTGCTTTGGCGAGATTCTGGAAATATCAAAATCAAAGTGTGTCAAAACTGTGAGCTCATAATCACGCAAGATAACATTGTTTAAAAAAACGATTTAGAGAAGACGTTTAAGTGGTCTTTCGCGTTTCCTCTCGTCTCTCGTTTAGATATTCAGTATCAGTATCATTAATAAATTTACGATAGGTAATACGAGCGTAAATACCTTAAACAACATCCAATCGAATATGGTGAAACGCTCGCCTTGATAAGGCACGAAATCGTCATCGTCAGAGACTTGAGCCACGCCAGAATTTACTGGTGAAGAAACGTTTGCCTGTGCAGATGTTTGCGCCACGACGTAGATGCTTTTTCTCGTGAGAAGCAACGCGATCGAGAGACACAGTAGATATCCTACGTAATTGAAAGTTTCCTTTCTTTAGAGTTTATACGTTGAAAGGCACATTCCGGGACGATAATGTTATTTTATGAACGTTGATTTTATGAAGACAACACTATCCAATGTGGCATTGATGAGAGAGTAGAGGTAATATTTTTATACACGGATTGAATAACTAATGTTAAATGTCATGCCAATTTCACAGTTTCTTTTTTCAATATTAAATCGATGTATCATGCAGTCAATTAATATCTCTCTCTCTCTCTCTCTCTCTTTTCATTAATGTTTCTTATTGACATTTGAGGAATAACGAGTTTTCCACTTCTAAGAATTTTTCCTACAATTATGTGTTCAATAATAATAAACGTCCGGTTTTTTTTAATTCTATCTATTTTCTGCAGTGTGTACTATCAACGACACTTCCGGTTAGATGATCTAATTCGATAATAACAACCATACGCACTGATATTTATCTGAACGGAAACCTCGAGGAAACCATTCTTTTGTTTGGCAGTCAGCAACCTCAATTGGTAAACAGCCTTGAATTTTTTATATTCTGAATGATAAAGAATGTCAAGGATTTTAACATTGACCTTCGATGTTCTTGTGCGACTCTCGTGAATTTCATTTGCGTATTCTATCACGGTAAATTTACTCGAGAGGATTCGATACATATATATAAGAGAGGATTCGATACATATATAAAGAAGTAAACGATGATATAGCATGACACTTGACGGTATATCCAAAATTTTCGCATCTTTTAACAATTTCGTAAAGCAGAGAAAAGCTGATAAAAATTGAATTTGACAAATTTTACATACCACAATTTTAACGAAACATAATTACACGCTTATACATATTTAAAACCATGATTCTTAACTTGGAAAAATGATGACATATATATTTTTCTAAAGTGTACCTGTTTCTAAAGTGTACCTGTAGAAATTAAAAATTTTTCTTTGTCAATAATGAATTTTTACGAAGGAAAATACATTGCTCACCCAATTGGAGCCGCATGATCAATGATTTCACGTTGCGCAAAGTCAGATTTCGTTGATGTTGGTTTTCAAACTAGTGTGATTTTTGGTCTCGCAACTGACGCTCGCAGATAGGACGACAGGTCGAGCGTGTATGCTTCGGTGTACGGTAAAGAGTAAAACCGGTCAGCCCGACAATCCGGTAGATTATAGTCTATTCACGAGGAAGAGAAGTGGTAACCCGCGTGCGGCAGAGACGCACGGGGGGTTTACCCAGACGGAGAAGGAAATACGGTGGTGAGCGTGACTCAGAAGTGAGCAATTTTACACGTGCAAATTTATAAAATTATTTACGCGATAATGTGCACTCGTAAATGTATAAATGTCTGTGGGATCGTTGACGTGTGACAAATGATTTTGCTGTTAAGATTTACGGAGAACGAAGATTTCACGAAGAACGTTGAGTAGCGAATATAGCGAATACACCGAATTGTCGTTTTCGACGGTCGTTTTGACGCAACAATACCTAGTTTGATTTTGTTGGTAAAATATAAAATAAAATTTCAAATATTGAGAGAAAGAGAGAGAAACAAAACAAGGCCGCGATATTATTTTGATCTTTGATGGTCAATTAAATATATGCGCGTCTGAGAATCAACATCAGTGTTGCTTCTTGACGTTTTCCGTAATCCTTCGGAAACTTTCTGAGATAAAACGTAAATCATGGAATGTACAATGGATAACATTGATTTATGACGCCTGTATTTCCGTCTCCGGACTCTGTATAATTCCCCGAGCTTTGTACAATTAAACAAGATTGTCCGATAATACAATTTAATCAGACGTGACGATGTAAGCAAATACATGGGAAATATCCATAGTTTCAATTCCTTAAATTCCGGCGAGCGTACGATGATATCAGCATCTCGTTCACGTCATCGAATAAAAAATGAGATACAACCAGCGGACATTAAACTTCGAATGATGACATCATCATCGATAAGATAAACCACACAGCGATCGGCTTACGTTATAGAAAATTATTTGTTAATTATTTTTATCGAACTATTCTACGTTGACGCAATGGGAAATCACGGATAAATATATAAAACATAGCTAACAAAATGTAAAAGATATAAAATAAAAGAAATGAATATGTTATTTATTAAAACAAAAACTGCGAAAAAAAAAGTTGACTATTAGTCTTTAGTGTAATTATGTCTAACGAAAAAATTCGCTAAAAACGCATAGATCGCGTCATTCCTACGAGTTGCTGGTGCATCCTATTCTGCTTTCTTCTTCTCTGCATTGGAATACTTTTTGATTGCTGTGTCAATCGCCGAAGAGAGTTCCTCCACATCCTCCTTGGTGTAAGATACAAAATTGCTAATGTCACCATTCGTTTTCTCATCTGCTCAAACAAATGTATAAGTTATATACTATATATACATATATATATATATATATATATAAATAACTATCTAACAAAAATTTGAGGCGCTCACAAATATGTATTCGTTTTCAAGAAGTACTGTACGTATGAATTAACAGTATATATGTGTGTATATCCTGTCTAATATAAAATCATTCAGAAATCAATACTATACGATATGAAAGTAGAAATGTCCGCTTGATCAAACGCGATAATGTGAATAAAATTGAAAAACAAAGTTCGTAGTATGTGACGATGCTTGCACCCCCATTCTTGTTGAAGAAGGATCTTAGAGAAAGAAGTACGAAAGGATGACTGATCGAAAATTCAACGATTCAAGAGGCTGACATACCGATCGTGATTATTCATTTACGATTAAACACTATACCGCTTAATTCTAACAATGGTTACAGAAGCGATTGGAAAATACATCCTGGTAAGATTTACGTATCGAGAAGAATGATGACTTGCCTGTGATGCGCTAGATCGCATTGCAGATATAGCGTTGCTGCAGACGGAAGTGTAGGTACAGAGCAGGGTGTTAATAAGTCCGATTACAGGTATGACCAATAAACTTGTTGGCAGGCACAGAGCGGTGTAAGAAGTCACTGTGTTATATGTAGATATTATATGTAGATTATATGTAGATTATATGTAGATACTACAGCATCGTAGATGTTCGACCACCAGCTTGGATTTGCTCTGGAACTCACTGCCGTCGATTCAACGTCGTTTCTGTCAACGATACTCTTTACAGTGGTGGCTACACTTGCGTCCAGCGCGGATTCTGTCGTTACTTGAAAAAGTTTAACAGAACTATTCGGCTGATAAACTGGGTCGTTAGATGACAATTGCTGTTCCAAAAGCTCTCTGCGAAGCATATGCCTCGCTACCGTGTTGTGAACATTAACGACTGCAAACAAGACGAGTCCAAGGTAAAACATCTTTCTTCGCTTTATAAAACCGGGGTTTCAAACTGCAAGATGCCTGGGAAACGTAACTCATCTGACAAAGAAAAAACAAACAGAACACGAATGATTAGCGGATAGTTGATAAATCTATATCACAATCAATGATTGCACATTATTATTGTATATTTACGAGCGTAAAAAGGTGCTCTTCTTGATCGTTTAACTATCGGCTCAGATGTTCGTAGAATTTTGTATTTGTACACTAGTTATAAACACTATGCCGTTTTTCGCGCGGGTTTCTGAAGTGGCGCAGTTTCCTCGCTTGGCAAGAAAATTCAAGACTGAAAAAAAATGTCACTTTCTACCTATATATATGTATATACGCCGTTATACTTGTTTATACCTGCTTGTGCCTAGCCATAAACAAAATCAGATAGGATTGGGAGCATTTTGGTCTACTAGAGCATCTATTATTGGCCCTTTCGTCCTTTTATATCTGCAGAAGATAATTTCGGTCCATTTTACTTCGACCGACTAAGTGAGAATACCTGCTCCTCTGATTTTGACCACAGATATTGGTAAATATTCATTTTTTTTCAACAAACAACATGGCTATTCAGCTTTAATTTAATATCATTGATGGGACTACAATATATCAATTGTGCACTAAGCAACAAATAAATCGGACAACATTACAACTCGCTAGATGAAACAAAAATTTGAACTAGACGAATTACAAAGATCATTATCCCAAAGTATAGTTAATATTTTCTTAAAAATACCATCATCGCATTAAAGATAAGCTGATTTAAAAATAAAGTTATAAACAATTTTATTTTATATAAACATTACCGCATAAAAATACATCTTTAATCTTTAATAGATATTCACGCGAGATATATACACGCTTTGTATATAAGAAAATAAGCTTCTCACCATAATTATATCATCAAAAAGGACCATAGTTCAATACAATTTCGTTAACTCACAACACCGGAAATCAGTCTTCTTGCACTTCTATACGTAGTTGTTCAATCTCGTCCTCGCTGCTTACGGACTTGTTCAAGATGTTCATATTTTTCCTTTTGTTAATTTGCTTCGCACTATCCTTATTCAAATGGAGACGCTTGCGTTTATTGCATTCCAATTTCCTCTCGGCTACTTCCAATATCGACTCGTTATGAAATACACTCGTTTCCTCAGCGTCTTCTCTTACGCAGAACGAATCCTACGAAAAAAGTGAAAATGGAAAACATTCTATTATCTCGATTCTATTATTTTAAAATGTGCACACACGATACTCTACGTACATAAAGATACGAGTCATGCACTTGTGACAAAGACTGCGAATAGATCTCCACATTTGGATCAGGTAATCGCGGCTTCTTGAAATGGAATGCACCGGGTCTTCTGATCGGACTCTTAACAGTTTGCAAATAATGCGCCTCCATATCCACTTGATTCTCTACATTTTGAGTGTAGCTTACAAAATCTCGCAGTTCCTCGTCTATCGTGGAAGTACTTTCGTCCGAAGTACTGTCGTTAGAACTCGCCTGCGCCTCGTCGTCTATAAATTCATTTTTCTGTCTTTTCCTCTCATGCTTAAAGCTGATTTTCCGCGTAATTTCTCTATTCAGGCAGGATATTTGCTTCGATGTACTAATGTCGGATCCCAAAGCATTCTGTTCTTGTCTGCTGTTAATGCATTTGCTAGGCGCTTTAAAAGCACTCAGATCTATCGTGCTCGAACACGGATTTTTGCTTCTTTTCAGAGATAACATGGAACGCTTGTTATCGACTAATGTCGGGTTACCGAGCAGTTTTGCTTCTTTCGACGTGCTGTAAAAGTTGCTATTTCCAGCTGCAAAGCTCTTCGATGTATCACCGAAGTAGTTTTTATTGTTTACCAAGTTGTTCGTCTTGTGCAAATGATTACTTCCGTTCTTCGAAGTTTTCGATGTACGGCAAAAATAACTGCTTTCAAGTTCGTCGAATTTCTTTACGTTATCCTCTGTGATCATGAAGTCTTCATCGGAATCTTGAAAGTCCAAGTGCCGTTTCGCGTTGTATGACTTTGTGATAGAGTTGAAATTGATATGAGACAGTTTATCCTTTAATCCCGAACGTGTGTTTCTTTTTTCGATTCTAGCTTGACGCTTGTTATCAGTTGAAATCCATTCGGGACTACTATCTCTTTTACTTACGCAAAGTTCCGGCGATTTCTCTACATTTTTTTTTATCCTTGCTATTTCTTCGATAGCTTGAGTTATGGATAAGAAGCTCTCTTCCGGTTTTGAATTATGTATTGATTTACTCTTATTAAATTTATCAGATGTAAATTCAGCCATGATATCATCATCACTGAAAATAAGATCTATTTCGTCTATATCATCTATATAGTTTTCTGTCGGTTTATTTGCTTGATCGAGTTCCACTGATTTCGCAGGTGCCAATAAGCTTTGATTAAATTCATCAGCGTTCGTGTCGTCCAGAAAAATATCAGCAATACTTTCAGAAGCTGCATTGATATCATCTGTATTTTTATCAGAGGTGTTTGAAAAGTTTGAAGATACTATATTTGGGTGCGCTGTATCTTTAGTTTCTAAATCATCATCAGTTGAACTAAACGAGTCATCTAAAATATTTTCAAACATACCGGGTTCCATTTTATTGAGTATATCATCCGATAGTTCTGTTTTTGCACGATCAATCACAATGTCATTGTTATCTTTTATACTAGATGAAAGAACTTTACTTGTATCAACTGAATCTATCTCAATTTCATCAATTGCTCGACTCACGAATGAAACTATGGTTATATTTGAGTCGGAACTATCATCCAGTATGTCCTCGAATCTTACTTCATCGGTATCAATGTTTCTCTTGTTTGGAATAGTGCACCAGAAGTTATCATCGTCGATACTAATGTGATTATTATCATTCTGAATATTTTCGTTTTCACGGTTTTCCTCTGTCTTTGGTAGATGATTAATTAAATTTGTTATTAAGAGAGGTAAAGAATCGAGAATTTGTATATCAGGTATTACAAAGTTGAATGGATCTTTAACTGGTTTTGCTGCAGGAATGTAGGTTGTATCCATTTTACGCACAATTTCGGAAGATATTTCTTCCTCTGATTTTTTAACTGCACATAACGTCATGAAATCGATTCCTGCGTTATCATCGGATAAAAGTTTGACGTGGTTGGGATCTATTGTATTATGTACATTACCACTCTGTGTTGTTAATGTGTAGATATTACACGCACCGTTTTGCTTTTGCTCATATTTATTATTGGTAAGAAATTTCATCATTAATGATTCACCTGCATTATTTGATGTTGCTATGAACGAATATCAAACATATATAAATTTTTAAATAAATTAGTAAAACATAAGGACAAAGTATTGAGCAAAGATAAATTAATCATAAGACTCACTCTCTTTTTGTTTTATGCTAGATGCTTCGTTTTCCTTGTTGACTCTTTTCTTTTTCCTTTTACTACTAACATTTGGTGTCTTCTGTACTGGAGTAATATGCATCATGTGACATTCTGGAGTGAATTGATTCGGTATCATTCTAGGATTGCTTTGATATAAGGAGGAAAATATATTGCTTGTATTTAATATCTTATTGTTTATGGAATTCCTCTTAGAGAGTGTGGATTTCAGATTCTGCAAAATGTTTTATCGATATTAATATGCCTACATACAAAAAAACATGTAAATTTTTCGATTACCTCGTACTCTTTTCCGTCTGTAACAAGAATAATTATGTGACCATCTCGTTTGCGTCCCGTCCTTCCCATTCTTTGAACTAACCGGGTTGGAGAATGTTGTGATACATCAAAGCATATTATTAGGTCTACTTCACCAACATCCAATCCTTCTTCACCTACATTATATATATATATGTATATTGAAAGATTAATATATTATAGATTTAGTAAAATTAGCATTTTGTAGATTAATATGTCGCACCTATACTTGTTGAAATCAACACATTCACGTGATTATTTCTAAAATCTTCCAATGCTTTTATTTGCTGCTTCTGTTTCTGACTAGCTTGACCGACAAACATTTGCGGCCTAATTAATGGTTTCGATTGTAGAAGCAAAATGTAGACTTCATTGACTATATCCCTATACTAAATTTATAAAATGTTATACCAAACTGTTTTTTTAAATATTAAATATATAGTAATTAGAAAGATTGATATACAAACTTCTACAAAGACTATAGCTCTTGTGTCCGCATTTTCGCCATTATTCTTTCTAAAATGGCGTTCAAGTAACTCTTTCAATTTATAAAATTTATTATGTCCAAACATAATGTTCGTTGGCATCTAAAATAGTTTAATTTTTATATATTATTTTCCTCTAGGTTTCTTCTATGTTATCAAATTCTTACAAACCTCAGATACATGACCATTGGGAAGAATATCTGGAAATGGCCCAAGATAAGTTTCTATGTCATAAAGTAGTTGTCTTAACTGATTTTCATTATTCATCCAGAATTTATCAGAATGATCTAAAATTTAATTATATTTGTATAACTTATGTTTTCATAACCATTTTAGATAAAAAGTTGTCAACTAGTAAAAGCATATTACATAATAATTTATTAATTGTAAGCATACTTTGATAAAATTTGCAAAAGGCTCGCAATCCATGTCTAATCATAAGATCATAAGCATGATACATAGTTAATAATATATTCAAAGTTTTCATAATTTGTCCATAATTTCCGGATTTGTTTGTCCTTTCTTTGAATTCATTTAGCAAGTGAAATATCTGGAATTAAATGTTCACAAAATTAAAATTACATATTTTCTCTTTGTTATTATAAATCTTTGTAAACTAAATTGCTTACTCTTCCTTTTGATATGTTTGCAGTATGTCCTCGCAGTACGTTATATTGTATAAGAAACTTCACATGACGATCCATAATAATAATATATCTTTCTTTGAACTGAGCCAATTCATTACTGAGAGGTATCAAGATAGTATCAATTTTTCTCTTATTAACATATGGTATTATATCTATTGAATCTTCATCTCTCAATTCCAAATGAGAGATATATAAATTTTGTATTACCTGTGTAACAAATATATATTATAATCTTCTAAATCTTAATTATTTCTCTAATCACATAATTCTCAATCAAAATAAATAATATAATATATCTACCTCATGAACATTATCTATTTTATTTCCAGGTGTAGCAGAAAGTGCCAATATCCTAAAATATTTATTCTGTGTGGATAATATTCTGATACTCTGAAAGTGATAAGCCACAATTTGATCAATTTGTGTAAACATAATAGTGTATATATATATATATATAATTTATATATTTTCCATACTTCTCTTTACCTCACAATATGAATGTTTCCCTAAAGCTTTATGAGCCTCGTCCACAACAACACATTTAACTAAATGGCTGGGTACAATTGATTTTTCAAGATCTTTGTGAAATACTTGAGGAGTAGCAAATATTATTCTCTTTTTGAACCAATATATTTGACGGTTTTTCTGATTAACTGCACCTATAAATTAAACAATATATTTATATTATATAATGTATGATAAAACATTCAAGATATGCACATATATGCCATATTAAAAGTTATTAGCAAAAAATAATAAATGTGAAAACCTGTAAGTTTTATCATATCAACACTTGGTATTCCCATTATTTCATAACATGCATCAATCTGTTGACCAACCAAAGGTTTTGTCGGTGCAAGAAATACAATCTTTCCAAATGGAAACCATCTCCAGAAATTGTACATTATAACAGCAGCAATAAATGTCTTTCCCAAACCTAGAACACATTTAAAACTTTATATTTTTAGTCTTATGCTAATAATAACACAATGATGAGTATCTCTTTTCTTACCAGTAGGTAAACAAACTAAAGTATTGTGATATAAAGCAGTCTCAACTATATTATATTGATATTTGCGAACTGGATAATTCTCCGGATAAACCCAAGTATTTCCAGCTGACAAATCAAACCCTTTCGTCTCTGGATCCTTTGAAGTTTGAGTAATTTGCATTGATAATTCCATTCTGATGAGATTTGATTCAGTCCTTGCACTTCAGCAACAAACTCGACCGGTTCACAATAGTGACTTTTCAACATAATCGCTGTCACTTTGATAAACATTTATTTATCACAAACCATCACATCATCACGTCGATGATACAAACATTCTCGAGATTTATAAAATTTGCAAATCACGTGGTCTATCTACAGTATAACAGCCATCGCACACAAAATGACATAGATGCATATGTATAACGTAAAATCGTTTCGACCAATGAGCAATGTCATTTTGTGTGGACGGCCCTAAAATTCATATGTTACGTTACTAGATTCTTTCAGGTTTTATGGCGCATGCGTGCAGCTCCGTAATATTGTAAAATTGCGACATGATGCAATTCCACATGCTTGTACGCACCGCTTACAATAAATTTTATAACTTGATTGAAGATTGCAATAAGTAAAGGACGAAATGGTAAAACAATTACCGAATAGAATTTTAGAATACTTAGACCAGCATAATGAAGTGAATTCATTAGACCTGAGTACTGAGTTAGGAGAGAATCATGATTTGGTTATAGGAGCCATCAATAGCCTCTTAACATTCGACAATGTAAGTTTGTTCAAGTTAATCATTTGCAAATTATTATGTACTACTATATATTGCATTACCGATTATTTATACACGTAAACTTGCATGTAAAATTGATGCTAAGTAATTGTGCTTTTGTAAAATATTTGTTCAAGTCATGAAATCGTCGCAAATATGTTAAATGTTTGTCCAATCATGATCTACTTTTGATAGTTAATTACTACGAAACCTGCCATTAAAAGGACATGGGAAATTGTACCAGAAGGACAACACATATTAAAACACGGCAGCCACGAAGCGGTTGTTTACAATTCTGTTCCTGATGAGGGTATACCTCAGAAGGAACTTATAAAATTGAGTCCTTATGCTAAATTAGGTTTTTCCAAAGCAATGGCTGCTGGATGGATTCAATTGGATAATAGTACTGGTACTCCTATTGTACGAAAGAAAGTATCATCCATTGTAGATACTGTACTTGAACACTTGAAGGACATTAAAAACGTCCCAGATAAAGTGAAAATTGAATATAAAAAGAGAAACCTTATGCGAGAGGTGTAAGTATGTGATTGTAAAATAAAAAACATTTAAAAACCTGTAAAATAATTTTAGGTACTTATTTTACTTTACTTTTTGTTTCTTTTTTGTAATAGGGTGATTAATATGGTTTATGTGGTAAAAGGATCAAATTTTGCTACAAATGTAGAAAAGTTAGAAGCTGATTTGACATCAGATTTATTAGCACACAATGCTTGGAAAACCAAAAAATTTAAACCATACAACTTTGATGCTCTAGGTGCAACTCTTCAAATTGGTCACTTGCATCCACTGTTAAAAGTTAGACATGAATTTAGAAAAATCTTCTTGGAAATGGGGTATATAATAGAATAAAAAAAATTCTTATAATTATTGAGAGTAAAGTAAGATAAACTCTTTATTCAAATTGCAAGAGTGTGAATCATTACTTTGTAGATTCACAGAGATGCCATCAAACAATTATCTGGAGAGTTCTTTCTGGAACTTTGATGCTCTCTTTCAGCCACAGCAACATCCTGCTCGTGATGCACACGATACATTTTATGTTTCTGGTAATTCATTAAGAATCAATAATCAAATTCATCAAAGATTGGTGAAATAATAATCAAAGAGATAAAACTGAGAAATTATTAATCTCTATACTTTATATATTTTAGAACCATCTATTAGTACAAAGTTCCCTATGGAGTATCTTGAAAGAGTAAAAAATGTTCATAGCAAAGGAGGATATGGTTCTCGAGGTTACAGATATGACTGGAAATTAGAAGAAGCGCAAAAGAATTTACTACGTACTCACACGACAAGTGTCAGCGCACGGATGTTATATAAACTTATGGAGGAGGTAGAGTCAAAGAAAATTTGCACACAGGTTGCTCCTTTAAGGATAGTAAATTACAGTGGAAGATGTTTTATAGGGCGAGTTTAAGCCAGTCAAGTACTTCAGCATTGACAGAGTATTTCGCAATGAAACATTAGATGCGACGCATCTTGCGGAATTTCATCAAATCGAAGGTGTTATTGCCGATTATGGTCTAACACTGGGTAATCTTATCGGCGTACTGTACGAGTTCTTTAAGAAGCTCGGCGTTACACAGCTTCGTTTCAAACCCGCATATAATCCTTATACCGAGCCGAGCATGGAAATATTTGGCTATCATACTGGTTTGGAGAAGTGGATAGAGATTGGCAATAGTGGTATGTTTAGACCTGAGATGTTACTGCCGATGAATCTACCTCATGATGTCAATGTCATTGCATGGGGTTTATCATTAGAAAGGTATAAAAATTAATAAGTGCATGCTATAAAACACTTTGATACCAAGATGTAACATTTTTTTTGGATTTTAGGCCAACCATGATTAAATATGGTTTAAATAATATTCGTGATCTTGTTGGGCCAAAAGTGGACATGGAAATGGTTCACAACAATCCTATATGTCGATTAGAGAAGTAAATATCATTCTAAGTTATCGAGGTATTTATGTTGAAGCGTATCCCCTTTTGTGGAAGTAACAAGTTAAAATATTTTACCAAATTATCTTTCAAATATAAAATTAAATGATATTACATGTTATCTATTTACAAAATTATCATGCTCTGTGTTACAATTTAAACTAATTGTAATATCTAATTATTAAATTTACTTTCATGACAGAACTAGTCATCAGACATGTTTCCAACAAAAAACACAAAAACAAGAGCAAATAGGATTGATTAAAAATCAATCCTATCAAGAAGAGGAGATCAAGCAAACCACAGTATATTCTTTGAAAAAACAGGCATTTCCTAAACAAGGGCACATTATATTTTGCGACCCCGAATATCCTATTTATTTTCTAGAATCTTTTTTACGACTCATAAGACCATATTTTAGAATCTCCGTGTCAACGTATATTCATTCTACAGTAAAAAGTTTGCCGAAGAAGCTTATAGGATTTTGTTCGGATTCTTCCAATATGTATACAGATACGGATATACATATAATTTTAATTTGGAAGACTGTAGGAATTGATCCTATCATGGAGCTTCCAGGTATACGTAAAATCGCGGGAATAGTGAATATTGCACGGTACTTAAATCGTTTAGTCGAACTAACCGAAGTTGAAATATTAACGTACGAACGAGATGGTCCATCTTACGCGAGTAACGTAGACTTTTACCTGGATAAAATACACTGTGCTTTACATGGTGTGGGGACATTGCATCCAGTCTCTAAAACGACATCTTATATGTTGGGTCCATGCATTTCCATAATTGACATTATTCTTGAATCTATCGATAAGTATAAAATAAAAAAGTGATTCTCATATTTAAACTTATTCGTTTATTTTTGTTAATAATTATTAATTTATAATTTATCTTTATTAGTAATTATTAATAAATAAATTAATTTTGCCTATTTCTTTGATAATACAGATTGTATTAACTGTAATGTATAAATTTTTAGTGAAATATTAAAACTCAGTAAATAAATATGTTTCTAAGTTTAAAGATTCAATCAGTATGTCATTACCGTGAAATATCGGATTGAATATCCGATACCTCCGATGTGCTAAATTTTTTTTCAGAATTGCTTCTATTTGTGTAACGAAGCAAAATGACCAATGTTAGCGCATTCTTTTCATATATGGCGAGTTTGAGCGATTATTCATACAGCGCGTAATCCTTTTCATAAAATGTTGCAAGTTAATTGGCTACATGTTACGTGACGCAACAGACATGGTGACGCGTCCCAATCGTGTAAGGTGTCACGCGCAATTCAAACTCATCATTAGTGGCGGAGGTGAGCGCTGATTCGTCGGTGACCTTACGGCCGATTCGCAATCGTACACGGCGGGTTCGTCGTATTCGCACGTAAATGGTAACCATTCGGAAGCATCGCGGTAGCGCGCATCGTCGCGGTCGCATTCGAAGAGGTTGACACGCAAGCTCGAAGATTGTTCTGTATCGTTCGACGCGACGAGAGAGGCGTTTTGTCGTGTTCCATAGCTCATTTTTTTTGTGGGCGGTTGTCGATTACCGCGCATATCGACTGTTACGGCGGCATGCAAATGACTACGCGACTACTCGTGTGCTCACGATGAAGAGGTGAGGTGAGGTGAATAACATCGTTGGTGAAGAGGTGCGCACGAGTTTAACGGCACGAGCGAGCGAGTGAACGAGAGTGCGTGCGTTGGTGCGTGCGCGCGCGCGCGACGAACGCGAGAGACAGCGTGATAACACGCATTGACGTATACATCGTTCCGACGAGCGTGAATCTCATGCGTGCGTGTGTTCTTCGGCAACGGTGCAACAGCAATCGCGATCACACCGAGTGACCGTGCCACGCTGAGAAAAAATTGTGATCGCGCGAGCATCCGAGCGGATAGATTGAGATAGAGAGGAAGAGAGAGAGAGAGAGAGAGAGAGGGAGAGAGAGAGAGAGAGGAGCCAGATAGCGAGGGGGAGAGAGAGAGAGAGAAACGTCGGTTCTTGGGGACCAGTCCGTGCGCCAAGGTTAAAGAAGAGGAGACGATCCGTCGTGTGGAATGCCCCGCTAAAATGGCGGTGATCGGCATCGTCGCGCGGTACTAGAGAGGAAAAAAAGAGGTGGCCGCCTGCCTTCGCAGGCCGTGCTCGTTCGCGGTTTTGTTTTGGCTCGGCCGTGACCGCGAGCCTCGCGGAGAGATCTGAGCCGCGGCTATCGGCCCTTCTTCGTTCGACGCGCACCCCCGATCTCGCCGGTTCCCCCTGCCCCCTGCCTCCTTGACTTGCTACCACTGGCCCCCTCTCTGGCGATCGTTCTCGCCTACTCCTTCTCTGTTTCGTTCCTCCTGCCGTCTTTGTCGGGTCGTAGATCGGAGTCGCGCGACGTATCAACGTGCGACCGCGCGAGTCGTTAATGACAAAAAGCTGGCTGACGAGACAAGGATCTACGACGGTGGATGCAGCAGCGACGTTAGAAGCGAGGGCAGAAGTAACGACAGCAGCAACATCAGCAGCAGCAGCTACAGCTACAGCAACAGGAGAAGCAAGTACTATCAGGCTCGCGGGTTCGACGCGACCGCGATGCCCGTGCCGCATCGCCACGCTCTTGACGTGAAGAAGCGCATCGGCAACGCAAACTTGCGGACGTACGACGAGACTAGTGCAAGCAGCACCGCGTTATCACAGAGTAAAGTTGGCGATACGAAGGAACGGCGGCTCGTCGCCAGGTGAGATACGTCGCTGGTTCGCCCTTTTTCCTCTTTTTCTCCTTCCCGTTCTCGATCTCGTTCTCTTTCTCTCTCTCTCTCTCTCTCCCTCTTTCCTCTTCCTCTCTCTCTCTCTCTCTCTCTCTCGTTCTCGCCTTTCTCTATCTATCTTCTCTCTCTCTCTCTCTCTCTCTCGCCATGTACGCGAGCGCGCGCGAGACGACGTTTTTTTCTGTCTCTCTCTCGATTCGCGCGAGAGAAACCCTCTTCCGTTTAACTGTTCGAAACGGCGCACGCCTCTTCTCACCTTCAGCGCTTATTTACGAGGGCACGAACGAGATGTAGCAGTGCGAGCGACTGCCGCCGAGGCTCTGTTGTTACTTTACCGTTTGCTTCGCATAGGTTAGGCGCATCCTCGCTGATGACTGTGCAGATTAAGCGTGATTTCGATCTGCCGAATCTACGCGTCACCTCGTCCTTCGCGTTGCGCGTTTTTTCCGCAGTGTAAGCGTCGCGAGAAATAGGAGCGTTTAAGCGAGGAGTGACTTTAATAGAAGAGACAAGGAGAGAGAGAAAGAGAGTGAGCGAGAGAGGGGGGAAGAGGGGGAGAGAAAGTCATGAGCTTGGTTTATTGTTTAAGTAAGAACAGTGTTACAGAGTTAAGAAAGTTTTCCCAAGTTTTATATTACAACTGATTTCGTAATGTTGGCTTACACATTCGCATTTTAGAGACAAAATTGTACAAGAGTTTGTACAAGAATGGTACATATAATGTGGTTGTTTGTTACCAGCTATATAATTCAATTTATTTGATCCTGTATTTTTGATCCTGTCCTAGCTTGCTTTTGTTTATTGATTCTGCCCTTCTGTATTTAGTATGTACACAATATTATAAGAAAGTCACGAAAGTTTAAGGTCATAAAATCAAACATGTATAATTTGTTTTGTGATGTTCTATCTGTTAACTGCAAATAATAATATTAAATAGATTCTAATTATAATTTGAAGCTATTTTGTTGGTTGCTTTTTAGATATATAAAGACATAGTTTCAGAATGTATATTTGTAGTATATAAATCTTCCTGTAGTTCGTCTAGTTATGTACAAACAGAGAAGTTTGCTTTCAAGAACTAATAATCTATAAGATGTTCTATTTTATTGTAAGGATCAAATAAATGTACATAACAGCATTTGTATCCAAGAACATCTTATATTTATATACTTCTTGTATACTTCAATAGATGAATTTGAGGATATTCTAACTGAATAACTCATTATGTGTCTATACGTGTGTACTACTTTTATCACTGTTTACTTATGATAATTTAGGATCATACAATATTTATAGAATACAGTAAAAGTATAATTTATTAGGCTGCAATATTACATGACTGAATCATACTTATATTAATTGCAATAATGTATTTGTATTTTAGATATTAAATTTGGAAAAAAATACACTAATACATCAAGATGAAAATTGATCGCAGCAGACTGAAAAAATGCACTTCTGAAGTGGTAAGTGTTTTGCATAATATCTGTTCCAGTGTCACTAATTTATACAAAGGTTACTAAGGATGGGAGGGAGATTAAATTTATTTATATTTTATTTAGATTAATATTTTAGATTATTTTCTTAATGATATAATAATATAATAAACGTTTAGCCCACAGAATGTCAAACACTTATAAACAAGCTACGCTCCTGCTCTCATGCAGAGCTGTTAGAGGAGCTCAAACAAATAGATGCATGGACCTTTGGGAAATGTGAATTGTTTCATTGGATCGATGTCTTAGATCTCAGTGACAGTATTTTAGAAGAGGCTGCAGCAAGGAGTCCAGATAATCCATGGGAATTAGCATGTGATCTTCCTCAAAATAGAGAGGTTTGTTTAATAAATAATTTATTCATTAGCATAAGAGCCGATGGGAAAATATGTACTATATTATTTTGTATAATAGTCTAAAACTATATACACAATTGTATAAAAAATATTGTGTATATATACATATGTATATGTATATGTACTCAATGTGTATTGTGTATATATATATATATATATATATTTATATGATTATTAATTTAATACAGGCAAAGGAACTGCTTCTCTGGGTTCTTCACTTCACAACATTGTTGATTGAGCACTCATTCTCACGGCATTTGTACAACAGCATGGAACACTTGGTTACTTTGTTATCAAGCTGTGACATGCATGTAGTTCTCGGTGTATTAAATCTCCTGTACATGTTTAGTAAACGCAGTAATTTTATTACACGTCTAAATAGTGACAAACGGCAAGCTTTGCTCAGCAGGCTTAATCATCTGGCCGAGGTTAGTGATAATTTAGGTTAACTTGTATTTTAAAGATACGTTAATTGATTATACAATAAATTGGTTACTTTAGAGTTGGGGAGGCAAGGAAAATGGTTTTGGCTTAGCAGAATGCTGTAAGGAATATCCAGAAAAGGTAAGTGATTGATATATGCTACAAAATAATAAAAAAAAAATTGTATGCAAAATGATATTATTAAATGCGATGTAACTTAATATTGTTATCATTGTTAATTTTATAGCCATTTCCAACAAGTGCTACCACGCTACATTTTGAGTTTTATGCGGAAAACCCGACCGTATCGGAACCATCAACAACCGGTACATCGCTTCCTAGTACAAAAAAAGTTGGTCAAGCGAATCTTGTAACATATATACATATAGAAGCTGTTGACAAACTTGGAAAAACCCCAGCACAGATCATGAATGACTTGTTGAAAGTCTACAACGTACCCCAGGAACGACAGGTAAAAATATCCATTAGATACTCTTTCTCCTGCATAACTGGAAAGAGATAAAAAACATTGGATATGACATACTGGATGGTATTTTTAATCTCGAGACATGTTTTTAGATGGCTTTATTGACACATATAAGGCTGGCACATAGTTTTTCGGATTACCGGAGACGATTGCAATGCGTGCAAGCGCGACTTCAAGCATTATCCGTGCTTGTATATAGCAATGCGCTGCAGGAAAATGCACATAGTCTCCTTCATGCTGGACTTCTTGAGGAACTGGTTGAATTATTAGAACTCCCACACACCCATCTCGTTGAAATTCGTGCTGCAGCCTTGCGTACCCTTACAAGTATCATACATTTGGATCGTAATCCACATTTTCCCAAGTGAGTATAGATACTTCTGATCCAGACGGTGACAAATTTATTTCGTCTGTGATATGATGCCAACCTTTACTTTCAGGAAACCAGGCTCGCGCTTAAATATGATAATAGATGTCACTGGAGCCAGTTCATATCATGGATTCCTCCCGGTTTTGGTCCGTACATGTATAACGACGTTGACCTCACCGCAATCGGACGGACAGCCTTTTCCATTGCCCCTTGCGACAGCCTTATTTAGTTTCTTGTATCATCTCGCTAGTTATGAAGCAGGTGGAGAAGCACTTGTTAGTTGCGGTATGATGGAGAGTCTTTTGAAAGTCATAAATTGGCCGGGCAGTGAACTGGAACACATTACGGTAATACTTGATTCAGATTCGGTAATGTATTTCCTCAATATTTCTCCGCATTTTGTAACTGACTGAAAGAAATCATTTACGCAACTTGTGATTTATATTCATTCTATGTACAACGTCGGATCATCGCATTTTTTTCATTTTCATTTACAGTTTGTGACGAGAGCAGTACGCGTCATTGATTTGATAACCAATATAGATATGCAAGGTTTTCAAACACATGGCGGTTTGGCAAGCTTCATTAACCGTTTAGACATGGAAGTCAATGTGTGTAGAAAAGAACAACCGTTTGAGATAGAACCGTTGCTGTATCAAGACACTCCGCAAACTTCACGAGAGAGATCAGTGGACAGGGAAGAAGAATCGTCCACTTCACGACGCGTACACGAGACATTCGACGAGCGAGAGGAGTCTTCTAATCCTATGGAATTCTCGGAAGATGAAAATATGAGTTCTAAAACGGATGAAAAAAGCGAACAGCAACCGGATTATTCTGCCGCTAAGACGGGCAAGACGTGCTTGCCGCAACGAGCAGCGTTATTAAAGTCAATGCTAAATTTCCTCAAAAAAGCAATTCAAGATCCGGCATTCTCTGACAGTATACGACATGTCATGGAGGGTACGCTACCGTCCTCTTTGAAGCACATCATAAGTAATTCGGAATATTACGGGCCATCGTTATTCTTACTCGCTACTGATGTCGTGACTGTGTACGTTTTCCAAGAACCTTCCTTGTTGTCGTCTCTACAAGACAACGGTTTGACTGACGTAGTACTCCATGCTCTGCTCATAAAAGAAGTGAGTGTTGAATTGTCGTTGTCGAGAAGAGTACATCAACATCATCTGACAATTCGTCGAAACTTGATGTTTCAGGTTCCTGCCACTAGAGAAGTATTGGGCTCGCTACCTAATGTGTTCAGTGCATTATGTTTAAATCAGCGCGGTCTCGAATCTTTTGTGAAGCGTCGACCATTCGAACGACTGTTCAAAGTACTTCTTTCTCCGGTTTATCTGTCAGCAATGCGTCGACGACGAAGTGCCGATCCACTAGGTGATACAGCTTCTAATTTAGGCAATGCAATGGATGAGCTGATGAGGCATCAACCAAGTTTAAAAGTGGACGCCATTCAGGCTATTATCAAGGTATTATTTGTGGCGAGTAGCAAGTGTGCGCTTCCTCAATACACCTCAACTTTACATCTACTTTCTAAATACGTCTGCGTTTGCTTTTTCCAGTTACTTGAAGAATTATGCGTTTTGGGCTGCGATCCTCGATACATATGCTGGCGTGCCGCTAGTAAATCTGACAATTCACCATCGAATATCACCACCGGAAATCGTCAATCCTCCGGTCAGTCAGTGGGCGTCGGAGTAGGAGACTCCGGTGGTGCCGGAGGTGGCGGTGGTGGTAGTAGCAGTGACGAGGAAGAGGAAGACGAAGAGGAAGCAAGCACCAGTTCGCATCCTCAACGCGAGGAACAACCATCGCCGTCGCCCGCACAACCTGGGCCTCCGCCTCAACCAAGGGAAAAAACTCCTATTGCTTTAGTTGAATACATTCACAATGTTATGAAATTTGTGGATGCTATTCTTAGCAATAATTCGACCGATGACCACTGTAGAGAATTTGTTGGTCAAAAAGGACTTGTACCGCTGCTCTCGATTTTGGGTCTACCTAATTTACCTGTGGATTACCCTGTCGCTCAAGCAGCTCAGTCTGTAGCATCAGTGTGTAAAAGTATTCTGGTACGTTCAGTTCATATATATTTTTTATTTTGAAGTTGAAGCGTTTTTACGTGTGTAAATTGTGTATCATGAATGACAACATTTATGTTTGGCAGAACCTTGCACATGAGCCAGCAGTTCTCAAGACGGGTTTGTCCCAATTGAACGAAGTACTGACCTTACTGAAGCCGCTTCATAGTCATATGGAGTCACCCGGCGGCTCTGTCCTGCTACATGAACTTGCGTCAGCACCGAATCTTGAAACAGCGTTCACGAGCGATACCGCGACACCTCTTTTGCACGCAATGAACGCTGCTCATGGTTACGTGGTAATGTTTGTTCACGTTTGTCGCACCAGCCAAAGCGAAATACGAAACCTCTCCATGAATCACTGGGGTTCCGACGTTGGTCTAGCCGTCCTTGATGGTTTGTCCGATCTGTACATGTCCCTCGTTTGGGAAAGTACGTTGCTACTCGCGTTATGTAGCGAAGACATTATCCCAGCTGGATGCGAGTTCGGGAAAGAAGATATGGACAAGTTGATGCCCCCAGAATTGAAAACCGAAGGTGAATCGTCCACATGGTCCGGCACAGCGTCCGCGGATATGGGCAGCAACGGAATGACCACAGCGATGGAGGCACTCAGCACAGATCCGCCACCAGTACCGATGGAAGTAGACGACAAGCCAAACGTGAGCACCGGGAGAGCATCACCAAATAATTATCAATTGAAATATATCAAGCCACTTCTTGGAGCGTCGTCGCGACTTGGCAGAGCACTTGCAGAACTATTTGGATTACTTGTCAAATTGTGTATGGGTTCTCCAGTTAGACAACGCAGAGGACAGCAAATGCCATTGACGCCCGCTCTTCCGTCACAGGCCGCGAGGAACGTTGCCTCCTCTTTGAATGGTCTATTAACACGCGGTTTGTCGTGGGACAAATTACCTCCGTCGCCGATACCGAAATTCAAGTTGACTTTTCTCATCTGCTCGGTTGGATTTACCTCGCCGATGCTGTTCGACGAAAAGAGACATCCTTATCATCTGATGCTTCACAAGTTTGTTCTTTCGGACGGCCAAAGCTCGTTCTTCGCAACTTTCCACTGGGCGTTGTCCGGCGGTGGTCAATTTGCGTTAACAGAGGGTTTGGAACACCCAAATTTACCCGATGGTACTGGTGAATTTCTGGACGCGTGGTTGATGTTGCTCGAGAAAATGGTTAATCCTAAAGCCATTCTGGATTCACCTCACGTCGTGTCAGCCAAATGTAGCGGTATGTTCAAAGAGCCTCCTTTTGAGCCGATCAAGTATCTCACTGAGATACACAAGAAGGCTTTTGAGGCGGTGATGCTCATGTGGGGCAAGAAACCACTGAAGAATTACGGCGCTCGCATGACCGAGTCCATCTTGTCTATTTTACGACATATCTTGCGAGGAGAGAAGATCATTAAGGAACGCACCGAGAAGAAGGAGGAGAACGTAGAGGGTGCAGTAGCGAGTGGCAGCGGCGGAACGAGCGGTATCGCTAGAAGCGGCACTTCCGACCGTAGAGATGAGCCGGAGGCAGATGTAAATCCAGAGTACCTCAGACAACTGATGGATATGGGCTTCAGCAGAGCACACTGTATAGAAGCATTGATGCATACATTGACGGTCGAACAGGCGACGGATTATCTCCTGACAAACCCTGCAACCCTTCGTAGGCCTGATGCTGCACTGAACGACGTTGGTGGACAGGTAATGGATGTAGAAACAGACGACGATCTCATGCATGCGATAGCAGTTTCGTTGGACTCACCGGACGCGCACAAAATCGGCGTGGGAATCGAAGAGTTCGGTCGTGAGACCACCATAACGGAGAATATAGACGAGTTTACGCACAGCGCCCTGGAACAGTGTTTACATCTGTTGGACCTCATGCCGGACACGGTGTATCGAATTTGCGATCTCCTGGTGACCATCACGAAGCGTAACGGTGACGAGTGGCGGGATAGCATGCTGCGGCAACTGATACGCGAAATCGGCATTCTAGTGGATCATCTGATCCAGATCGCCGAGGGTCAAGACGAAAACGCCGGTACACGACTGGTGGAATGTGAGGAGGCCAACAAAGTAGCTGGTCGGATCTACCTTTACACCCTCTTCTTCGAGGGCACGTTCCAGGAGATGCGAGTGCCGTGTGCGCAGATAGTGGAGGAGTGCGCGATACTGGATAAACTTGTGCGATTGTTGGTTGTAAGCGAGGGTCCTCTAACCGCGACCAAGAACAGACTCGCAAAGGACAACAAGGATAGTGGTGCAACGACGAGCGGCGTAAAGACGCCCAAGTGGTTGGCACCGTTGTTACTGCTGATAGACCGTCTAGAAAAAGTGGCCATACTGACGAAGCGGAAGCAATTGATGCACAAGGTCACAACCAGAGCGTGGAAATGGTTTGACTTGAGTACCGGCAAATGGACTCTCTATTCACCGATGAACAATCGCATCATCAACGACGCGTATTGGGCTGGCGAGTCGAGTGTGCGGATTTCGTGTAGTCGGCGTCGTTATCTCATCACTTTCTCCTGCATGACGCAGGTAAATGAGGATACTGACAACAGACGTCCTATCACGATGTGCTTCAAACTGAACACTGGAAACAACGAGGACGGTGGCTCAGGCTCCGACTCCAACATGGACACCGATGAGAGCCCGATAGAGGAAAAACGGAACACAGTGGTGCAAGGATTGGATCCTAGCATAGCGCCGAGTATCGTACGGTAAGAGAGATCTCTGTTACGCGTGATTAGAAAATCATACTTCGTAGAGCGTAGAGCGTAGAGCGGAATGACTTTGGTCAACTTGAGCTTATAGAGAGAGAGAGAGAGAGCCTATAGAGTTGTAAAACACGTGCACGTTGCCGGGCACGATGAAATAAATTGTAGTCTTACTTTATGAACGTTGTTACAGTGCGTGTGTGAAGTTGTTGGCAATCCCCGTCGATCGAGACGCTTTACACGCTTTGATGAAAGTGTGTTTGCGTCTAACGAGAGATTACAAAAATGCGGAGGTATTCGCGCGCGAAGGTGGTGTAAAGTTGCTTCTCGAGATGACGCATATGAGCAGCTTCACTGGCTGCATAAATCTCAGTACTTTGTTGATACGGCATACTCTGGAGGAGCCGCGTACGCTTCGTCTCGCCATGGAGAAGGTATTTGCTCGCACAATTGCGCGCACGCCATGTTAATGTTAACGACGCGCGTAACGATGTATCGTTTATATCTTCCTTGTTCCAGGTTATTCGCACCCGTACGCAGATCAACATACCCCCCGCGTACAAAGAGATACTCTTCATGACTCGCCAGATCAGTAGCGCTGTTTGCCGTAACCCGGAAGTGTACAAAGAAGTGTGCGAAAATATCCTCAGAGTCGACATAAGCGTCTTGAAAAGTGAGTTTCGCGTTTATTCGGATTTTCTACAGGCTACCGAGATCGATCAAGCCCGATGAAATCCCGATTGTATCTTCGCCGTTTTTCAGAAGATGACGTCGACAATAGACTGGTCGTCAAGGCCTTACCTCCTAGTCACTCTCCAGCATTGCCGATGGTGGAAGAAGTATCTGTGGGTGTTATCCGTGACCTATTGAATGCGTTAATCAAACCGATGCCCATCTCGTCGGACGACGGAACGATAACCCCTACGAGCCCCGAGAAGAAGTCATCGCATTCGACATCCTCCTCGGCGATAGGCAACGCGACGTCGTCGACATCCTCACGGCGAGACGTGCTGCGAAACAACACAACGACTACCAACGATCCTCTGGACGACGACGATCAAGTGTCACAAATTATTCCCTTGAAGATATACACCGACATCGGTAGTAGTAGCAAGGTCGAGCCGGAGGAAGCGAAGAAGCCCGTGCTGACGAAGTCTGCAATATTGAAGATATTGGCGGAAGCTGTTAGGTCTTACGGCGCAGTGGCTAGTCTTATCACTGAACATACGTATCGAGCAGGGCAGAGCGAAATGGTGGCCGAGGATACAACAGCCTTGGCGTTCTTGCTTGACAAGCTTTTACCCATGTTACCAGAGAACTCTAGCGATCGAACTTGCAGCGGTATGGCACGAATGTTGATCGCCGCTATCGCGTCGTGCAATCATTCGCCGGATGTGCAAACGACTCTGGTGACTGAGGTGAAGGCAGCCTTGACGAGGACACTCGCGCTTCCCGAGAGCTCCGAGAAGCACGCGCAATTACAGCTGCTGATCGGCTTGATCTCCACTATGATCGACAGTTGCCCACCCACGTCGCATACTCAGCTAAGGGCATCTCTGAAAGCCCACCAGTACAATAATGTCAATTATATTGTCCGGATAATGCTGAGGAAAGGTATCATCACTGACTTGGCCAAGATTCCACATAGTCTCGATCTCTCCAGCCCAAACATGGCCGCCACGATCAACGCTGCCTTAAAGCCGTTGGAAACTTTATCGCGCATCATCAATCAACCGATGCCAGGAGCGGTTAACAACAAATTTACCAAACCGAAGAACAGGACAGTCCAGGAAGAACCGATCGGAGAACAGACCGGCACGACGACCTCCGAAGCTACGCACGCCGTGGGCGAAGAGGCCAACGAGGACGCGGAAAATACCGAGCACGACATTTCCGTGACCGCGGAAAGTTTGGAGCCGGCTTCCGAGGGTCAAGTGCACGAGGAAGGCGACGAGGCGGCCTTGGAAGACATTATGGACCAACTTCTCGAGAGGTAACGCGACACCCAAATTAATGAAAATAATCAGATTCCGACGAACGTCATGCAATTCCATAGAGCCTCTCTTTGAGTTTGATCAAGCCTGTGCCTGTAGCCGTAACTAACAGTAATTTCTATATGGCGAATGATATTAGTAAATTGAATATATTGATGTACTCTTTCATTTAATAGAAATGAAACATTAGTAAATTGATTTAATAGAAATGAAACATTAGTAAATTGAATATATTGATGTACTCTTTCATTTAATTTTAGAAATGAAACACTACTGGCGCGCACAGGTTGCATCTTATGCGATTTTCTTTTGTAACATGTGTGTGTTTGCCTAAAACCGAATCTTTTGTTTTGGATTATACGATTTATCAACTGAGTGTTTCTACGTGCGGACTTTTTCATGATGATTTAAACACGAAATGCCTTTCTTTTTCTGAGTTCTTTTTCTAAGTGAGAATTCTTTTGCCTTATGTGTTGCACGCGTTCTGCGAATCTTTCATTTATTTGATAGGCCCTTAGATCGATGAAGGCTGCAGTACTTATAATCAAGTAGTGTAATGTTTTCCAGGGACGGCTCAGCCGTGGCGGAAGAACCATCTTCCCGCCCTCATAGGCCAATGGACATTGACGACGAGAGCCTTGCCATGCGTGATGCAGAGGGCGATTTTGATCCCACTCGAGATACTACAGTAAGAGTAACGTCGCTTTTTCTCATTTTTTTTTTTTTTTCTTTATAATTGCTGCTTCCTTCCTATCTTAATTTCTGAATTCACTTTGAATGAGTCTCTCTTTTTTTAGGAGGACTTAATGAGCTCCGATTCAGACTCCGATAGCAATCCATCTGATGATAATGAGGACGAAGTGCAGGACGACGAGGACGAGGAGGAGGAAGAGGAAGACGATGGTAGATAAAGCAGCCTGATACACCACAATGCCAGCCGAAGTAGAAAGATCGTATATCTTTTAATCCCATTTATATTATTATCGCAGGTGAGGAGAACGAAGAGGAGGAAGAGGAGGAAGAGGAAGGTTCGTCCAATTATGAAGAGGATGGAATAGAATTTTACGAGGACGCCGGGGAAGGTGGCGTGTTTCGTATGTTCCCGTCTAATGAACGTGATGGTGGCAATGTTGTTATGATACAGCACAATATCGAAAATCAGGATATCGCGAATACGTCTACGCCGGTTACTACGAGGCCGAGTCTTCCCACATGGAACACCACATTCCCGTTACCATTGGGTCTGTTTGAAGAACCTCCCACTGTTTCCGAGAACAACGGTAAGAGAACGAAACAGAGTAGTGTTACGTATATTAGTTTTCTCAAGAAATTTCATTCTTGTGTGATCGTACACACGTTCTTGTATGAACAATCATGTCTCTTCGTGTGCGCAGGTATCAGTACTCATCCGCTATTGATATCGCAAGGAAGTTTGGACACCGCAAGCAACAGATCTCAACGTGCTCTACGACAGAGACGATATCAATATCTCCAGTTGTCTAATCCGCGCAGCCCGAATCCTCCTGTAATATTGCAAAGGTACGTTGATATATTTTGAATACTTAATAGTATGTATAATACTTAATAGTAGTAATGTATAAAAATGTTAAATGTATTTACTTTAACTTGCGATACATCTAACTGTACCTTCTTTTCTTTAATATGATTTAGGCTCTTGGGTCCAGCCGCGCAGACTCTTCCTTTGTCCGCTAGTCAAGTGTTGGCATCGAGCTTCAGAGACACGCGGGTTGTCGTCATGGATAACGGACTAGGAATATTTACTAATCAAGAGGAGGAACAAATCGATTATGTCGTACGTATATATAATATGTGCATCGCCATGTGTGTATGACAGCTGTTTACAAAACAACTGTTTACAAAAAAAATATTTTCTCTAAAATTAAAAATTGTGATTGTTAGGATCAATCCGGATATCTCTTTGGACCAAGCCTTGCCGCGACTTTGAATAATATACCAACCGCGTTGCATTGGTGGATCGAAGAGAGCAAGCAATTAGACGGGGACTCTCAACCAGACTGTTGCGTTGGTAAGAACGAGATGCGCGATTTTTACGTTGTGCGTTCGTATAATTTTACTGATTTTACTGATTCAATTTTCGTTGAAAAGGTGTCGTCCATAAGTTGATACCTGGATTGGAGAAATACAGGAACGCCGAGCTCGCTGAGCGTAAAGAAAAGCGTAAGAAACAACATGGATCTGAAAAGGATAATGAGAAGGACAGCAAAGACGAGAAGGAACGTTTAAATACTACAGAATGTAAATGCATTTTCTATGCACGTATTTTTATTTAAATTTTCGTTCACACTGCTCTTCAAGTTATGCTCTCTCAATATTTCAGCCGGTTCGTCCAGTTTGATACAGATGGACGAACAACGATCATCCGCATCCACGTCACAAAGAACCGACGCCACTCCGCTCGTAGCAGGCGAGGAGACGACCGTAGAAACAACGAGGCAGGAACGCACACCGGAAGAGGACATAATCGGTATATTCGCAATATTCGAGAGAAAAAGAAAGAAATAGAGCACACGATTTTTTTCTATTTATTTTTTTCTCGATAATACATACATGGCGTGTTTCTATATGTCTTTTACATACTAGATGTAACAGGTGAAATGGAAGTAACGGTTCAAGAGGACGAGGAACGACCGCCGCCGCCGCCGCCGCCAGAAGACCAATCGTCCTCGTCCGAGAGCAGAGACCCACGTACAGCAAATCGTAATCCTACCTTAGAGCTCGCAGAGAGTATCGTCGATTCAGTGTTGGGACCGTGTACGTCGGAAGCAACTATCAGATTAAGTAATATATACATACATATGTGCATATATATATATATATATATGTGCATGCACGCACGCGTGTGTCAGTACAAAGGAGGTCATGGTGAAGAACGTTCGAATTGTTTCGAATTGGTTATTGTGCGTGAACATATCTGTCTTGTAATTACGTTTCTCTTTCAATCATTCTATCTCGATTCTTTTTAGAATATTGTCAGCTTCAACGCTGCTCGCGACTTGTCTATATTCCCATGAATATCAAAATCGTATAACCATTACACACGATGCATCTCATTTCAACAGGGCAGCCTGTACGTAGCGCAGAATCGACAAATACCACCGAGTCATCTAATCGCGCCGCTGCACCGATTGTAGTAGATTTTGGTCAGGAAACGAGTGAGGATCTGTCGAGGGAAAGTAGTGATTCGGCCGATTGGATCCGTAGACTCTTGACGGACGACAATCAGTCTAGCGTTGAACGAAAGTGAGTGATAAAGGCTTAAAGCACAAGTTTGACTGCAGGCAGATTATCAACACGAATATCCATTGCAGTGCTAACGTTGTCAGTCAAGACCCTACGTGCTCGACGTCCGAAACCACCACTACCACCACTACTACCTCCAACACGGAGACCTCGGAGCAGTCGCAACAATCGTCGCAGCAGCAGCAGCAGCAGCAGCAACAATCACAGCTACAGCAACAACCGTCACAGCCACAGCAGCAGCAGCAGCAACAACAATCACAACAGCAACAGCAGCAACAACAACAACAACAACAACAACCTCCGCCACCCAATTGGCAACCTCAGGAGCAACAGCTGCCAGATGGTGTAGATCCATCATTTCTGGCTGCTTTACCCGAAGATATGCGTGACGAAGTCATTGCCGAGCAACTCAGGTAAAGATCTTTAATTCTACTTGAGACTGGCTGGCAATTTCGTGTCAATGTCTTAGTATTAAAATTAAAACGATATGTTGACAGGCTTCAGCGCATCAGACAACGTGCCGCTGTAGTCGAGGAACTCACTGGACCGGTTGAAGTAAATCCCGAATTTCTAGCCGCTTTGCCGCCCGCTATTCAGGAGGAAGTCTTAGCGCAGCAACGCATGGAGCAACAACGACATGCAGCTGCTTCGGCGAATCCAGAGGATCCTGTGGACGCTGCAGCATTCTTCCAAAATTTACAACCTTCCCTTCGACAAGCTGTTAGTACAGTTCGTCAATGAAATTTATTTCCCTTGATTTCCATAATGACATTCGATTGCTAATCCCAACGTTATATTTGTTTCTACAGATTTTGACAGATATGGAAGAATCTCAAATATCCGTCTTACCGCCAGAATTAGCTCAAGAAGCGCAAAATTTGAGAAGAGAGTGGGAAGCACGTAACAGACATATGATGCAAGAAAGATTTCTTAACCATGTTAGTCAAGGCAACACTGCTCTTTCTAGCATCTTGCGGAATTCCGGTAGAGGTGAGTCTTCGTGCGTCGTTTATATCGCATCAGATACAAGGGTATGATAATACGTTAATTCTGACAGTAACACCAAGCGTCTTTCAAGCGGGCGCACTGTTATAGTTCAAAATTATGCACGAAAAAGAAAAAAAAAAGAGAACAATTTCAGCTTGCAATAAGTACTTTAATAAATTTTAAATAAAGATTTTTGGCAATATATATGTCCGATAGACGACGTACTGTGTTGCCAAAGTCCAAAATATACACGTTACCATCAGTATTAATATATGAATGAAACGGTTTCGCGTTGAAACGTTATGCAAAAGTCGAAACATTTGTCTCGACAGCTCGAGGTGGTGGTACACGTTACGCTATTCATGCAGTACCGCAGAGGTCTCAGTGGAGCGCCTGGAATACTCGTGGCGATGCAAACATAGCGCACCAAGGTGCTGGCCTACGTTTGAGAGGGCGACAGTTACTCGATCACGAGTCAATGGCATGTTTGCTAGTATTACTCTTTGTAGATGAGCCGAAAATTAATACGCTCAGATTACATAGAGTAATCAGAAACCTCTGTTATCATGGCAGTACGAGAGAATGGGTAGTAAAAGCTCTGTTGAATATCATGGAAAGAAGTAATGACGAAAACAAAGATATTATAGCAGATCTTAGCGGAAAATTTAAGAGAAAAGGGCTATTACCTTCCATGGATCTATGGTAAGATAGATGTGCCCGCTTTTTGTTTTGTTTCTCAAATGCGATATGTTCTTTGCAACGATAAATAAGTATTAACAAATCGCGTTACAGTTCTCCAAAGATATTTGACCAAAGAAACAACACGCAATCGTGGCTGAATATCAGTATCGACGCTGCACTCGGCTGCAGAGCTAATGTGTTTCATATAATACGTCACGCTGGTAAGAAGTCTGAGCGGCAGGGTAATATTATCGCTATTCACCCACAGGCAGCGCCTACAGTTTGCAGGTTAGTGTGTTAACTTGAAAAGCTTTATTTGAGCTTGCTGAATACAGATAAACGTTGAAATATACAATTTTATGTTTTGTTCTGTTAAATCACAGGCATACCTTAGAATTGTTGATATCACTAGCTAAGAGTTTCCCTGGATACTTTGTGCCAATAAAATCTAAAGAGTCAGATGATAAAGATAGTAATAAGGAGAAAGACGTAAATGCTAGCAAAGAGGAGGGCGGTGCGAAGGGCAAGTCGACGTCAAAGATAGGAAGGAGCGATCTTCCGGACTTCTGGGACATGCTACTGAAACTAGATTCGTGCGCGTCCAAGAAAGGAAAGTCGGTCGCGCGGACTCACTCTAATACGAATCTAGGAAACGAACCGGAACACGGAATAACAACGTTCGAGGCTTCCGCGTTTGGTCAACTCATCTCGATGCTCAACTGGTCCGTGATTAAACGAAGCAGTCAACTGACGGACAAACTGCTGCGCCTTCTGTCCTTAATCTCCATCGGCTTGACGGAAGTGAATCCTTATCGGCGGCAAGAAGGCACGAAGAACAAGAAAACTGAAGTCAATAAGGAACACAGCGTCGCCGCACCGGAAGGCCATTTGAAACTTGCTGTACAGGTTTTGACTAGCAAGAGTTGTTCTGAGGAGGGTTTGGAAGATGCGACAGCATTGTTACTTAATCTGTCTCATTGTCCAGATCCTACAAGACAATTGGTACGACATTCTTGTATCACGTAAATTCGTATGATATAAAAGCGTTGAGCAAAAGGTAACATGGACATCAATTTTTTTCTTTCATTAGATATTGAAGTTACTTCTGGAGGGTGCAATGGAGCTGGCAAATATGGTGTGCGAACATATCAATGATTTGATGATGGAGCTGAAAGTTTTGAATCGTGAATTAAGTCGAAGGAATTCCTTGGAAGACCAACCATCTACTAGTACCGGTGGAAACGGTGGCCGAGGGATTCTGTTAGATAGGTAAAGCATTTTTGCTTTACTCGCGCAATATCTTACGTTCAAATGTAAAAAAAGCACGTCGAATATACATACGTCTGTATGTTTACTCACGAAAGGTTCTTTTCTAGATTCACCAACGAGAACGTAGTTGTCACTGCGCCAAGCAAAGTTAAAGCCGGAAGTGACCTTCAATTGCCATCAATGGCCGCTCTTGTTAGCAAAACGTCTAGTCAGGCATTCTTCTTGAGAATACTTAAAGTCATTGTGCAAATTAGAGAAGCTGTACGTTTAGCAAACACAAAGAAAACAGGTATTACATAGAAACGAAATCCTTATAGCTTAGTGTTGCGTGTTCGAATCTGTTAAATTTCTCCATTTTTTTTTTATATTAAATATGCTACAAATTAAATAAATTAATTAAAACTTCTTTTCCTTTTCAAGCCAACCAAGCATCAGAAACAGCTATGGACACAGGCACAACGAGTAATGCACCAGAAACAGGTGGTGATTAACGTTTCTATTTCTTTTCTGCATCACTTATCTGAAATCAGTCATTTATATCGGAAATTTATATTTTTCTATATAGCCGCCGAGAATGTTGCGGATGTTGACATTCCTATGGATACAACGCAAGCGAATTCTTCAAATCTTGACAATTCGAAGACGTCTTCTCGTAATGGTAAGTTAAAAATCTTGTTGTTACTATTGTATATAATTAAATTCGTTGTTCGTTATTTATAGATGAGGAGAAAGCCGCACTTCCTCTTTTAAGTGAGAGTTTAGTATTAGACAATTTATGGGAAACACTTAGTGCTTGCTTGCTCGAGTTGGAGTACACGCCCGATCACCATGCCGTCCTTGTTTTACAGGTAAAACATGATGTTGATTTCTCGAAAAAAAAAAAAAAAAGAACTTTATCGTCACATTGTATCATTATATATATTCGTTTATTGCGTTTATTTGCGAATCTTTTTCTGCATATATTCCATGCGCATGTCTATGTATCCGACATTGCAGCCCGCTGTAGAAGCGTTTTTCCTGGTACACTCCTCGTCGAGTACATCTCGCGATCGCCACCTTAATACGAATAGCGAGACTCGAGAAGTTGTACCAGAGTTGGCGCCAGTATCACCGATATATTCAGACAATGAAGGTACTTCACAAACGGAAGCCACCAATAGCACATCCTGGGATATAACCCCTGCACCACAGAAGACGTTGCCTCCGGATCAGTTGAAGTTCCTCAAATTTGCCGGTATGTGTTTTGATTGTAGCAATAAGCAAAACTTATGCGTTTGTGCTGCTTAAGTATATATTAATGATCTAACATTATGTATATATACCCCACTTTCAGAAACGCACAGGACTGTACTGAATCAAATCCTACGACAAACAACTACACACTTGGCAGATGGTCCATTCTCCGTATTGGTGGATCACACCAGGGTATTAGATTTCGACGTGAAGAGACGTTATTTCAGAACAGAACTCGAGCGAATGGATGAGGGTATCCGCAGGGAGGAATTGGCGGTTCACGTTCGTAGGAGTCATGTTTTCGAAGATTCCTTTAGGGAACTTCATCGAAGGAACGCTGACGAATGGAAAAATCGTTTCTACATCGTCTTTGAAGGTACACACTTTTGTTTATTCCGACGCTCTGCATAAACTGCATTGCACGAGCCAACACACAAACATCGGCAAATATTAAATAAAATATTTATTCTTCCGTTCAAATGAAAGGCGAGGAAGGTCAAGATGCGGGAGGATTGTTGAGAGAGTGGTACGTGATCATTTCGAGGGAAATTTTCAACCCTATGTACGCTCTGTTCACGGTCAGCCCTGGTGATCGAGTGACGTACATGATTAACTCCTCTTCGCACTGTAATCCTAATCATTTGTGCTATTATAAGTTCGTAGGTCGAGTAATCGGTAAGTTCTCGGTGCAATTTGCAACGCAACGTTTGTATAAAAGAATGGCTTTAACAACTTGCTCCACTTGTTACAGCTAAAGCTATTTATGATAACAAATTATTAGAATGCTACTTCACGCGTAGTTTTTACAAACATATACTCGGCATACTCGTGAAACATACAGACATGGAAAGCGAAGATTATAGTTTTTACAAAGGACTCGTCTATCTTACGGAGCATAACATTTCTGACTTGGGATACGAACTAACATTCTCCACCGAGGTAACGTGACAATTATTTCTCAGTATAACTTGATTTGTACACATTTCACATTGAGATATCCCTAAAGATACTTTCTTATTTGCTCTCAGGTCAATGAATTCGGTGTCAACGACGTACGAGATTTAATACCAAATGGACATAATATAGTTGTTACGGAAGAGACGAAACTCGAATATATTAGACTGGTGTGTCAAATGAAGATGACTGGAGCAATTCGGAAACAGTAAGTGAATTCAAGATTCTAATGTCGAGAGTGTTCACTTTCGATAACTTGCCTCGTTTTACGTATTGTGCTTATATATTTGTTATACTCTCCTCCCCGTAGATTGAACGCATTCTTGGAAGGCTTTTACGATATTATACCCAAACGACTGATCTCTATATTTAACGAACAAGAACTTGAACTGTTAATCAGCGGCTTGCCTAATGTAGATATCGAGGATCTTAAAGCGAACACCGAGTATCATAAGTATAGTGCTACGTCTCTACAGGTACGCTTTTGTATTTCTTTTATTACTATATCTTAATCGACACTTTACACGTGAACGATTCGTCGACTTAACGTTTGTTTTGTCACTTTCACCTTGCGCAGATTCAATGGTTCTGGCGTGCACTACGCGGTTTTGATCAAGCGGACCGTGCAAAGTTCTTGCAATTTGTTACTGGTACGTCCAAAGTGCCGTTGCAAGGTTTCGCCGCGTTAGAAGGCATGAACGGTGTGCAGAAGTTCCAGATCCACAGAGAGGACAGGTCGACCGATAGGCTTCCTTCTGCCCATACTTGGTAACTATAGAAATAGATGCTTTTTTTTTTTCTTTCTTCATTTCCTTGTGAGCGTGCGTGACGATATTTCTAAACTTATTAAATTGCAGTTTCAATCAACTGGATTTGCCAGTATACGAGACGTATGATAAACTGCGAACAAATCTGCTGAAGGCGATTCACGAGTGCAGCGAAGGATTCGGATTTGCATAAGTTGTCACTGGTACGTTCTTATGAAGGCAATTCACTAGTAAGGACTCGGATTCGCACAAGTTCGTGCGAAACGCTGTTGTCGTATATTACTAAGCAGTTTATCGTACATGTGTTGTCCTGCCTGTTCAGAGTACGTTGCGAGAGTTCGGTCTTGTATAATTGCGCGTTCATGCAGTCCAATCGGTGACATTCTGGCGACACGCTTGGTCTTCAATCAAGATCTAACGGAAAATGTTTAACTCGATATATACATATAGATACACGAATATGTATATACGTATAATTAATTATTATGGTGTAATTACGTGAGAATAACGTTTCAATGATACCCGAAGCTAGGGTTTATTTTGTTGTGGAGGATCTTGGAAGAAGCGCCGAGCTTAACGATAATTCCCTACAAGGAAGGATAAGGAGGATTAGTTTTTATGAGTAAGATAAGGATAAGATTCACGCATAAGTGTAATAGTTAGGTACTTTAGTTTGTCATAAGGAGTAATATAGGACGGAGAGAATGTAATATACTGCACTTTAAAAACCAGCGATATGTTTTAACCGGTTCGATAGTTTGAATAGTGATACAACGGTGGCAACGGCAACGGTGGCCTGGTTAATTACCGAAAAAGAGCAACAAAAGCATAAGTGAATGAGTGCCTGTGCGAGTGAAAGAGAATGAGAGAAGGAGAAAGTGACAATGAGAGAGCGCGAGCGAGCGAGCGAGAGAGAGAGAGAGAGAGAGAGAGAGAGAACAAAAATTAGTGGAGATGTTGAGCCTAAAAAATTTCACAATACAAACGCTATCCTTCCCCCGTAAAAGGAAAAAAAAAGATATATGGTTGTACACTACTAGTATTAATAATTGTAACTAATTCTTAATTAATAGTAATGGTCATTAAATATCATTTTAATATTAATCATTCGAAATGTGATGTTAAACATGTGTAATTTCTTTTCTCTTGAGATTTAACGAAATAAAGTTTACAGTTGAACAGACATTACTTTATAAACACATCGAACGGGACAATATTGGCGAGACACGTACAGGCACCGTTATAAGATTAATTATCGAGCTCCTTTCGAAATTGTTAGGGAATTATTGATTAGGAATCGCAGAATAAAATGAATGTTGTATTTCTTATATAAAAAAAAAAAGATTATAAGAACATTTGCGTTCTTTTGTTATTGCGAAATCCTTAATTACTAACTTTTTCAGTTCCCTTGATGGACAGACGTCGATGATGTTACGCGATGTTACAATTTTAGTCTCCCTTTAAAGATAGTTTAATTTTGTGTATTACCGAATAAATTATTGTTCGATTAACTACATGAGAATATTAATGTATGTAACAGGAAAATATATATTTCATATTTACAAAGTCTTTCTCGTATAAGTTGTAATAATCCATAATATATTAGCATCTAGTGCGCCGTGACGCTCGTTCGACATCGTAGGAAGGTAATTCGCTAAATCGAGTGCGAATGAAACACGCTGCGCGTTAAAATTTTCATAAGTACGTCAAAAAACTTGAGAAGCAGTGTGCCATCGTCGCATCGTACGGTAGGAATGTTATCACTGGTTGCAGAGGCCCATCCACAAGTGGAAGCAACAAGCGTTCACGAAGCCTTCGATCAGAGTGTAGACGTCTTCGATGTTCATCGGCACATTGATCTCCGTGGATTTTCGATAAACTGCGCACAGATCCTAAAATAAAACCAACCCATGATCGATCGGATCTACATGCTGTGGCTACTCGCATCCTTGACGACATCCTTGATGCACTTGGAATACTTACTCCTCTCGACGCGTGCAAGTCAATCGTCAGCATCATAAACGCCTGGAAAAGAGTCGGATGCAGTATCAGATGATGAGTGATGTTTCCGTCGGAAGTGTTGAACTGCTTATGATTCTCCTGATACTTGTTCTGCAAGACTTTGGACAAAGTCTGGTACCATGAGACCGGCTGATTAACAAGCGGACGGAGCCTGGGGTCCAGATTCGGCAGGGACTCGATGTGGGCCAACGAGCAAAGTTCCTTGAACTCGGCGTACGTCATCGTGGACTTATTCTCCAACAGCTTGTCCCAGAGTAAATGCGTCCTGCATTGTAACGCGCCGCGGTCCACCATGCTCATGATGTGCTGGCGAGCCGCTTGCGCCTGAGACATGATCAGCTGTTGCATCAGCTGTTCGTGCGATGAGTAGTAACCCAGATAATTGACCGATTCCTGGCGAATCTGCACCAAATGTGGCGACGACGTCGACATGTTCGTCGACGTCGCGTTCGGGATACTCGAGCTCTGCGCGAGAGGAGAATTGGGGACCGGTGGTGGCGTCGGCGCTAAACTGTTGTGAACGTTGTAGTTGGCTGTCTTAATCTCGGCGTCTTTGGTTTCGTTGGTCTCTTTGGTGACCGTGCCGCCGTTGGAATCGAGGCTTTTATCGATCTGCTGCTGATCAACGCATATTTCCGTCCTGGAATCGCCCCTCACGAACGGCGGCATCGGCGAGACGGGACTGGACTCTACCGGGCTGTCCGTGTACGAGCTGTTGGTGGATCTGCCTACGCTGTACACTGTCCTGAACTTGCCCAGCTTATTGTTCTCCACCTCTCTCTTCGGGTACAGCTCTCTCTTGCTCGTTAACATGAGATAATATTTCAAGGTAATCTCGGTCTTTTCCAACTGCGCCGGCTGCTCCACACGCGATACGATCAGCGCTACGTCAAAGTCGTCGGTGTACCGAGTGTCCTGAGCGTCACAGTAGCTAACCAACGGAGTGCTTTGCAGTTTGATCAAAACGTATTCGTTGTCGTGAGATTCCTGAAGCTCGCTGGACATCACACGCATACCGTACACTTTGTCGTGCGACAGCAGATACGAGTACAACGTGCGCGCGGGTATCGCTATGTTCCGTATCGTTATTACGTCTGAAATGAAGAAAAATCCTGCTGGACTACTCGCAGGGTAGTTCCAAGAGAATTTTTAGCAATTGTCGAGGCTCACCGCTGTATATCAGATTCCTGGCGTAATTCGGCGCCTTGCTGTAGTATTTAATGAAGTCGTCCAGGAAGTGAGTGAGATGATAACCCTGTTGTAAGGACCACGGCCCGGTCCCGGCGATGTAAGAGTGAATGCAACGCAGATGAAAGTCGTAGGTGAACGAGTGCAAGTGCATATTGATCTTGATCTTGTCGCAAGCGTCTACGAAGCTCAGTACAAACTGCGAGGAGTTCATTAATTCGTCAGTGAAACGTCCTACGCACGGAGGAGCTCGCGAGACAATTCGATTTCGCTTTACCTGATTCACCATACCGCTACTGGTCTTCGTCTGCAAGCGATTGCACTCGATGATGCTCAACTTGACGATGAAGAACGGTTGCGAAAGGTGAATTTCGAACAATAAAATACCGCCCAACATCGACTTCTTCAGGTAGTAAGATTGCTGCTGCGCGTGCTCTTCGTCTCTGCAAAGGAAAGTGAAAGTGAAACTCTGTGGAAACTCTGCGAAATTGCGACCGAACGATGCTGAATTCGTACGAACATTTTATGCGACGACTCCACTTGGATCGGATTAAAGCCCAAGATCTGCAAGTATTGCTTGTACTCGGACAACATCGATTTACAGAGCTCCTGATGCCACTTGATCAACATCGTGTTGGCCGCCTTCTGCTTTGGCTGCGTCGTTTGTGGTGATTGTGGTGACTGAGCGTTGTTGTTATTGTTCAGACTGAAGAGAGACGACGGCGGCGTCAACGAGTGATCCCTCGTAGCGGCCGATTGTAAACGCCAGGCCGGCAAGAAGAGCAGAGGCGTGTGGCAGAAGTGTATCAAGCGGGAGTACTGCTTGAACGTGTTCGAAGCGTTCAGCGATATCGGTATATTAGGCGTACGACTTTGCCACATCGCGTACAGTTTCTCCAGATCCTCTGCGAATTTCCACGAGATCTTTCAGTTAACACATTTGCTTCACATAAGCGTCACACACTCATGTGTGTGACGACGAAACTTTCTCTTATCACGATGACCACACATTATCACAAGCGCGCACTACAGATCTGTTACAAATAAATATACATATTTTTGCTCAGTTTGCAAAGTTTACCTTTAACCCTCTTCTCGCGATGTCGCAGGTCCTGTAGGTCGTAAGCAGCCTTCACGATTGGATCCGCTGTGTTGAGAGTGTAAGATGCGCTCGGCTTCGCGTCGCGCATCGCTTGCCCGACAACCTGGGTCCACGAGAACGCGCTGTTCTTCATCGCTTGCGCTCGGTTGCTCGACCGCGTCCAGTCCTTGCTGTCGGCGCTCGACTGGCTGGGAAATTTCGCGAGACTCTCCATGTCGGTGATCTGATAATACTGGGAGCCGTGTTCTCTTTGTTGCGGGTCTCGCGAGAGCTTGTGGTGGAATATACCTAGCTTCTGCATATTGATGTTGGTAAATAGACTGGACCTGGAGGAGAGCCACGTGCCCAAACTAGTTGCTTGTTTCATCAGTTTCTCTGACTTTTCCTTCGACCAATTGTATATGTATATTATTATCTGAAAATACACAGCACATCACGTATGCGACTATCTGAATTGTGACAATCGTCGTGCCTTGTACCTTAATATTAACGTGTGATGAGCACTTACATTGTCGCTTTGTATTTCAGCTAGCAGTATCCTTTGCCTAGGCACGAAATTCGATTCCGATATCAGCGGATTAAATTTCTGCAATTGTTTTTGATCTGTAACATAAAATCATAAATAAAATTCCAAGCGAGATCTGTGTGAATTCAGGGGAAATCGTTCAACTAACCCTTAGGAGCAAGCAGTTCTGGATCTATCTTTCTACTCGAAGACGCCTTCCACTGACAAAAGTTCCTCGCAATCAAGATACATTTAATGCAGCTTGCCTGCTCGTCCTTGTTGAAATCACGCGGCACGTACACGGGCGAATCCGCGCCTTCTCGATTCACGTTACCTTCAGTTGACACTTTATTCCGGATACTCTCGGGCCATTTGTGTGTGCCGGAACCTGTTTTACGGGAAACGACGAATTGATTGAGAAAGGGTTGTCGATCTTGCAGAACAAAGACTCTACTGGATGTGTCCGGATCCTGACAACGTATGAGATTCTGCAGCTCCTTCACTATCACAGGGATCGCATGCCTGTGATGAATAATTACTTCGTGCTTCTTGACAGCAGGTACGCCCATCTCCAGGGCAAACTGGAACCACCGCGCCAGCGTGGTGTGATATATCTCATTCAACTTGCCTTCCTCACCAAGCTCGTACTGATCGATCGTCGAATCGTCAGGAGTTTTCGGCGATTGTGGCGGCGGTGTCTTCACGGGCGGTGTCTGCGTCTCCCTATTCTCCACTGCAGTCTCTTTGACCACTGACGAAGAATCAGCGACGTCTTCTGACTCCGTCAAGGGCGTCGCCAAGAGATTGTACTCTGTGACCAGGTCCCAAGTGCCGTGCTTTACAGCGGATGACAATTTCAGGATCAGTGACTCCAAGTTCACCCTACCCTGCTTCCAAATTCGGAACTCGATCAACGTCTCCGCGCTTGGCTTGGAGCTGTTCTTGTGGTCGTAGACGGTGGTCGACACGATATCCTCGAAATTCTCGGGCTTCAACGACTTGGGGAAACCCAGCTTGTCGTTCGACTTGCCATTCGAAGGCTCTGCTTTGTCGACGGTGATAGCTAACGCGATGCAAGCTATGCCTTTGCTGCCGCTCGAGTTGTAGCTTTGGTTGTACAGAAAGATGTCGGACTCGGCGGCTGTCTTCCTCGAGCCGTCCAACGGCGAGTAATCCTGAAAATGATGATTCATCCCGAGGTCCGTGTATTTCGGCGTGTATAAGAACTGCAATATATTCTGCCTCAAATAGCAGCCCAGGGCGTCTATACGAGGCAGACAGTGCGGCTGCACGGACAGCTGCACTATACATTCGGGAGACTTGTACGGTTTTTGTATGAAGTGCACGTCCGCCGGTGTCAGCTTGCACATCGGATTGCGTGCCAGCATCACAGACAGCACTTCCAGCACCGCGTCGTCGAGGCGATTTTGCAACACTTGCACCAGATCCCGCTTCACTTCCGGACCGGCGTCCGATATACCGTGTACCATCAGGATGATCGAGTCGCCGGTCTTGTTCAATATATCAGACTCTTTCTCGCCAAACGAACGAACTCTGGGTCGAGTGTCGTCCGATATCACGGGATCGTTGGTCAGACCTATGCCCTTAGCTCGTGACAAGGACGCGACGCTGTTGCTGCGCGAAACGACCAACTTCTCGTCGCTCTCGGACAGCTTATTCTGCAGAGACTTCCCGTCGTTTGTTTGTTCATGAAGCCGCAGGTAGAAGACATTCTCGTTATTCTCCTGATACACGAACATGTTGTTTCGGTTGTTGACGGACAGCCTATTCAGCACGCCGTGCAGCGCTGTGATCCCTCTTGACAATCCGGACCTGCCGGGTCCCGTCTTGAGACGGGGATGCAGGTTGAAGGGTTCTTCCCAAATAACAGGGCATCTGAACATGCCTGGCGAAGCTGAGGCATGATTTTGGAAAAGATTACCGGTCTCGCCGCCGGCGGTTTCACCCCTCCAGGTGTAATCTTCGCTGGATTCTGGCTCCAACAGCGGATCGCATATGCGAGTATCGTGAAGACTTTGTAAAAGCAAAAACTGATTCACTCGTCGGCATATAGCCTTGATTTGGGCGAGCAGCATTTTTTGTATCTGCGAATAACGGTCCACTTCCGGTGAAGAGAGTTCTAAGAACCTGTAGCAAAATTGTGCCATTTAAACAATTCTTCGCCTTTAAAACAGGTGTAAGTACAGGCTGTGAGAGCGTACGAACGTACGAACGAGCACAAACCTGCAGTGAAAGTAAACGTTCACGTCGCTGCTCTCGACGCTCAGGATTAGCCAGAAATTCGGCAGACGGTTTCTGCGCTTGTCAAGCTCTATCAACCACTGGAAGTCGTCCTCGGAGTTGCTGCTGTCACCGTCATATCCGTCGTCCGTCCCATGCTTCCCTTCAGCTATACTCGAGATCTCAGAGTAATAACCTGGCGTATCTCCAGAGTCTTGTCCGTTGATTTGAATTGCAGCCACTGATGTCTCCTCTTGCTCGATATTTTCGACGCTGTTGGCTACAAGTATTTACAATTGAACCTAACGTGCAATTTTACATCTTTAAAAGTCATTTCGAATATATATATATATATATATATATGTATATTTTTTTTAATTAAACCATGAAACTATATACCTTCCTTTAATTGCGGTTCTTCTACGTCTATGTGCAATACATCGGTTTCTGCCTCAATTTTCACTTCAGGTTCTATTACTTCTGGCTTCTTAATAAAGTAAAACAGATCGCTCTCCTGACAGATGCAGTACTTATCGATCTGAAGGCTCCTCAACTCCTTCAGAAATTTCGGCGCACTGCTCTCCGACGAGAAGACAAAGTGCAAGGGCACTTTATCTAGCGAACAGCTGGATCTGCCGGCGGAATCCGACACATGGTGCGCTATGAACCGCAACGTATCCGCATTCGGCGACGGATGGTCCAGAAGCGCCGTCGCAGTTTCATCTCGCAACAGCCACTCGATCTCGTCCTTCAAGCTGATTATTGCACTGTGTTGATACAGCGGCAGGTTCGGCATTCTCTCCTGCATCGGTTCAGTCTTTGCGTTCGCGGTCGGACTGCCACCGCTGTCGGTGCGCATGCTACCAAACGGCGATGCGCTACAGTAAGACGTCGCTCTTAACGCGGGATAACGTTCCAGCGATACTTCCAATACTTCCCTCGGGAGGTTCAGACATATGATGTCCAAAGTAATCTTCAGATCGTCCAGACTTTGCTCGGTGAGGTCCTTCTCTTTGCTATCATCTATCCTCTGAATAATCTCGGTGAAGCAAGTAGGCACCACTTTGACCGGTATGCTAGAGAGCTCGGAACGAAAATGTATCGAACAACTTAGTTGCAAGAAGAGCGGTTGTTCCTTGTCCCATGTATTTTCCTCTTGCAGATCGCTTATGAGCGACTCGGTGGAGTCACGGTGAGACAGTTTCGCGGGATTGTGTAGATTTACAGCCGGCCATGTGATATTGGCGTTTTGATTCGCTAACAATAAAGATACGTATGATACAAACTCGATATAATTGTTCACATCTTTAAAATATAATATTTTCCACTTGTTATCTACCTTGACCAGGAGAATTATCTAGAGTTGGATCTAATATTTCAGAGTGAAACGTGAATTCATCGCTATCTGTCCTTTGCGACACAACCTCCTGAAAGCAACGTGCTTTTCACAAAACATCGAAATCCACAAATCCTGTCGATTACGTTGTTACAACATACAAAGAGACGAACCATTTTGTCAGACACCCACGACGGTAAGCAGTAGTAAAATTCCGGATGAACGGGTACGGGTCTAAAAGCGACCGCCATAATTCTCTTGAACTTGTCTTTAATCAAATTGTGCAACGGCTTGACGTCATTGCAAGCGGAGACCTTCAACTGATCGAGCAGACTGCCCTTTGGCAACGTGCTCAAGTGCCTGCAGACCGATCGTACGTAATTCGTAATGTTAATCTCAATCAGGTTTTCCTCGCACTGCTCCACAGCAGCCTCCATGTCTTCATAGCTCAGGGACTGTTGCAGCGCCAGTGATTTGTAAACCGCAACCACGTAACAATGACAATGAGCTAAGCTCAATAATTTACAGTGCTCCATCAAACTTCGTTGATCTAGTACAGAAAAGAATCGTGTCAAAAACGTCAACTTATTAATATCGATACGACCATCACGTTATCCCTTTAGGTATTTGCGTGAAAACTACATTCGACGAGTTTCACGCATTTAGTCCTACCGCTAGAAATATTGTCGGAATCCTCGCTCTTCGGCTCTGGAGACGAAGGCTTCGTGTTGCCCTCCGGCTTGAGATTAATGAAGTCCTCGCAAATTTCTTGGCCAATTTTGAACGTGTGATCTTGGTAGATGTCTTTATTCTGAGGCGTTTGTAGTCGGCTGACCAGCGCGTCGATTAACAACGCTAACGAACAATCGTACACGTATACAGGTATAACGAGACTCCCCCCGTTGTCGGCATTAGCAAAGTTTTGTTCCGCGTTAGCCTTCGGCATGCTATCCGCAGTGGTGGATTGACTAGAGATTTTCGACTCTCTGCGCTCAAAGATCGGAAAGTCAGACACGTTCGTGTCCTTCGCGCACAAAGTCGGCGATAGTATCTTTTCGTTCATGTCGAGATCGAAAATGTCGGACTCGAAATTCTTCTCCGAGTTATTGCTCGTGCAATTGTCGCTCACATACGCGGGATACATTATCAAGCGAACGTCTTTCTCGGTCGCTGGTAAAATCGTGAGAATGACGTGCGTTGTGCTGATTCCTTTAACAAAACACTTCCATCTCGGGTAAATATCTGAAATATCGTCCTGATAGTTCCTCTCTAAAATGCACAAGACACACATGTTCAGCACGTAATTTAAAAGAGGTGAAATTTACGCAATAACCAGAGATATAAATCAATGCAGCGGTAGTGCATTGTGATTAGAAAGTCTAATGAAAAAAAAACAAAAAGTCAAATACTAGATCAAAGTGCGTAATAACACAAATTATGTCTGCTTGATGAAACAAAAAGTCAGACATAGTGAATTATAAATGTATAACAAACGTTTCGCGCTTTGCAACTTTAGTTCTCATTCTTATTAAAAATTAAAAAATATAATATCAATCCCATGTGATAATCCAGAATGTAAAAAGAAGCGTCAGCAATCAAAGGCGAGAGATTTTATGTCGGGCATAATCTAAAATCAAACGTTAGAAATAAATCCGTTTCGCCTGCGGTCCATTCAATCAAGGGATCGCAGCGGACAGAGATTTATAATTGGGTTTATTACACACACCTTGACTTAACATTTGATTCTTTTTGTAGGTTTTTATTTGTAACTTTTTCGTCGTATCTCGTAGATCCCTCTACGCAATATATTTCGTCCTAAAGAGTCTAATATTGTACCTTCTTGCACAAAGAAAGGCAATGGCGGGCCATTCTCACGCGGCCTGCTAAGGAGCATCCTAGTGAACTTCTGCGATTCTGCCGATGTAAGCAGCAGCTCTTTGTTGTGCAACTGTTTGATATGCTCCAAGAAGTTGCCCATAAGAATTTTGTTCGCGCTATTTCTGTCCTCGTCGATACGCACCGAATCTGGCAAAGCAAGACAGGAATACATAAGGCTGTTTCCTCTTCCTAATTTCACCTGCTAATCTCTACTGTGTGTTCCAAGAGGGAAGCCTCTTTATAGTCGCTTTCGTCGTTTTCGAGAAAACAAAAAAGTCTAACCATCAGCGAACATCGAGAACAACAGTTCCGCCTGCTGACACTTGGGCAAAATGCTCAGAGTGTCGAACGAGAAGTACTTCGGATGGATCCTCTCGTCGATGATCGGCGTCGTTTCGAAGAGCTCGGCCGGGTCGGGACATTTCGAGGCACGCTCCGCGCTGGTGTCCGTGGCGCCGTAATACCTGACTCCTTGATGCGGTTGCCCGAACACGATCTCGGTACTCTTTTCCGCCGGGACCACTTGGCTCAAGAGGCTCAAGTATTCTAAGGTCATCAAAGCGTTAATACACTCCTCGTCTACTCGGGCAATCTGGCCGGACAGAAATGACAGTGAATGCATCAGACAGGAGATTGATGATGAGCTATCGACAATTTTAATATTACGACATGCGACAAGAGTACACAAACGACATGATAATAAACAAACATTCCAAGAAAATTCTGTGTAGAACGCATATAATCACTGTTACACACACACACACACACACACACCGTAAAGATAATATATTTAATTTATGATTTGTACATTCGAGATTCTTAATCTTAATCAACAAAAAGTACAGCATATGCAGAGTGTCGTAACACCGCGCAAGTGTCGTGTGCACGTTGAACATTCGAGACTAATTCTACTTAAGAGCCTAAGCTCTGCCGCAGGTTCTGAGTATCATGCGCCCTGTTTTAGAATTAATTTCTGCGTGATTTACGTTAATTAATTTAGTTACAAAGAGAAAAAAGTTCGTACGAAGCTCGTGATTAGAGTCTATCTGTTAACAGCACTCAGTCGCTCGGCGATCAACTGATAATCACGGAGGCAGGCAGGTAAAGGTGTTCACAGGTCGAGCACAACCGGATCGAAGAGAGTCTCCTGCTTGCGATGACTACCGGGGATCAGGAATAAGTTGGAGGAGTTGAATCTCACTTTCATACAAAGCGTAGAGACCACTTCTCCACTTGAACCGTGATACCCACTGGCTCGCGACTAAACTCGACGGATGGAGGACGTGGAGGACGTTCGCCTAAAGAACAACAGTACTGCGCCCCACGCGAGAACGACGTGGAACCGCGCGACCCTGAGCTGGAAGAGTTAGATCTGGCAAGTAAATCGGGAGAGCTATACCGCTCAATGCCTAGATCCTCACTTCCAACTGAGAGTCGCGCGATATTATGAGAATCCGACAGAAGAACCGTGGCGAGAGAGGAGGTGCGTGTGGTGGAGGCGGTGAAGACGATGCGTTCCGTGTCGGAGAGACGGCCGACCATGATGCTCTCCGCCGTAATCTCCCGTTTCGTGCGGAGTCACCTGATGATAAGGAAACGAAGACTTTAATCCGTCGAGCCGGGCCCCCTTCGCCGAACGGCCGAGACGGTGTTACCATCCAGCCGAGATGTACCTTTCCTCCGGTCCGGAGGAGACTACGAACGAAATTCGCGGACTGTCTCACTGTCACTGAGACGAGACGAGCTCGAGACGCGACACGAAGACGAAGACGACGTCGAGCGGATCGTGGCTGTGCGCCACGATATGGTCGATGAGAACTACGATCACTTCCGATCTGCGTGCGACGGAGCACGATAAAGGATCGTCACCAGGGAGCCAGGCGATAAGCGACTTCGGAGTGATACACGACGCTCGAATTACGTGAAAAAGATAATCCCGATCCACTAGTGAGCGCAGGGCGAGTATTGAGCCCTATATATACCTGAGGCGACTGATAGGAAAACCTCGTTCCGAGGACCCTCATCGATACCGAAGCCCCACCCCGATAACGATAACGATACGTGGTGATAGACACCTTTGCTCGCTCTCTGATCACAGGAAACGCGAACGGCCACATCGCCGAAAACGAGAGGCCGTGTCTTTCTCGTACGATCAGACTCCCGCGAGTTCTCACGGTCGGCTCTGGAAGCCGGTCGGAGGAGAATACGCGCGCTGATGTCCAGACGGATCCTAACGAGAGACGACAGCCCGTCGACAGTCTCCTCGTATACGCTATTTCTATTATCCTTCCGGCGGCAGAGGTGCATGCAAATGAGCGATGGAAAAACGATATGACAGGAGAGATCACCTGCCGCAGCTCGTCCTTGCGAAATGCGCGTAGACAAATGTTTGCGGTATTCGCGATGTGACGATAACAACTTTCGATGACAGACGCAGCTCCCCCTTAGCTTCTCCTTACGAATACAGATAGGGATGGGTAGATTCGACGGTGATTGTTAATTGGCACACAGATCGCGAGCGAATCTGAAACGATGTGGATAGAAAATTTTAAATGAGAACTGTTCAGTCGAGTTGAACTCTCCGTTAGAGAGAGAGAGAGAGAGAGAGAGAGAGAGAGAGACAGAGGGAGAGGGAGAGACAGAGACGAGTTGAATATTTGCGTTTGATGCGTCATCAGCTATTCGAGAAGGATCAAGTGGAAGCGCTGTGTGCGTTTTTCAGAAAGATTGAGATTGATTAAACAGTAAAACGGAAATCGTAGCTAACTGACGAAGCGATTTCTTTTCGTGAAATAAAATTTAATTCGGAATATCAGTTCACGGTGTACCTTGAAGTTTGGTCTTCTGATTAGCAACGCTCTCCAGGTAACGAGCAAATCAGATAACTGTTATCTAGTTAACATGAATTTATGCTAGACTTGTGTTTTCGCGCCACGAGAGAGCAAATTGCAAATGTATCTATTGTCGAGCATATTTGCAGAACATGCTCCGCATATTGCAGCGATCTAAAGATGAGATCAAATCAATTAGTCAAAAAAGACTGCAATGAAGAGAAAAGAAAGAAATCTAAAATTATTTTCAAAGTTTTCAGATGTAGATAGCAGAGATACAGAAACTACAGAAAGCTTTTTTTTTTTTTTTTTTATAAAAATGCATTAATGTAATTAATACATTTAATAATTAATAATTATCATTTAATAATTAATACAGCGCAGCGTGACAAATGTGTGTGGTTGAGTACACGTAAGAAAATTGCTCCACACATAAAAGTATGTGTTTTTTAGTCCTAATTGTCCTTCACGAATGACGGTGCATACGAGCATTTTATAAGCGTCACTATCAATCGGAAGATAAGATTGAAGATAAAGCTACATTGCGCGCTACGCCTCGAAGTCAAGACGTTCAAGATATTTACGCGAATTGTCCTAACATTATTGTGCGCATTGCCTCAACATGATATTCCTTTCTTTCCTCATGAGAATCGCAAAGTGCGTACCTGGAGAAGCATTGGGGAGTTTTAATATTTACTAAGATGCACTACGAAACTGGATTTGACTAGACCTAACGTATCATTGAGCAAATAAGGTATTCCTTGCTCATATCTAACATCGCTGGAAAAAAGAATTCAAGAAAGAGCGCGTTTCCGCCGAAAAGCTGAAAGAAAGGCGGATGGGTGCCACGACGACGACGACGACGACGACGACGACGACGACGACGACGACGACGACGACGACGACGACGACGACGACGACGACGACGACGACGACGACGACGACGACGACGACAACGACGACGACAAGCATAGCAGTCAAATATTACGAGATACGGACGTCTCGAATTGGGAACAGACCAAGCTGAACCTGGTATCAGCCGAACGATGTTTACTGTCAGATAGACTCAGTACCTAGCAAAATAAAGCACTTTAGACAATCTTACGGCGGAATAATTTTTTCGTGTTACCACACGAAGCATTATCAAGTTAGTTCAAGAGAGATATAGGAATAACGCGTGAAAGCACTCGTGCGTTCCACAAAGTTGTGAAATCAAAATCAACGTGAAACCGATTATGATAGTCACAAAAATGATATATCGATCAGTTTTATGGACGCAGCGAGGATTCACATGAACTTAATTGAGTAATTTCGATGAGCGATATACAGCCAAGTAGTAGCTACTTGTGCGTGTCATTTGTAGCACGAATACATGGTATCACAGAATTTTCTCAGAATATTGTTTATGATTAAGAACACGTCGTTGAAGATAGAAGAGACACGTTACGCAAACATTTTCAAGATTGGTGTAAAAATTTTTAATATTTTTGCGCCTTCATAAATCATATATCGCGGAGCTATCGAATGGAGATATCTTATCGCTCTCAAGACGTATTCAAAGAATCAGCAGTGCCTTATCAATTCAAGCAGGTTTCACGTATGTTTTATAGTAGACTACGAACTATACGTTAGACGTTGGCTACATGTCACAGTGGTAGAAATTTCTCGCGACCAAATACGTATAATTATCAAACGGGGTCATGAAGATATCCGCTAAGAATCCGATGGCGTCAATATCCGTGTGAAAAAGACAACGCCAACGAGCATATTAGTCGCGCGCATTGCCGTTACCATTGCTCCGTCAGTCAATGACTCAACATAAATGACACTGAAATTTTTATCAGGAATTGTCACGAATGTGTCTACTCACCGCGTCTGGTAACTGATAATACTGCAGAGGATGCATATACGTAGCAGTCGATTGCGTAGGCATTTGTACGTAGCCGCATTGAGGTTCGATCCATACCTCCGTCACAATCTGATACTCGCTAGAGCTCTCGCAATCTTCCTGCATACTCGCTTCTCCGTCGGCGGTGCCTGAAACAAGCGTCCATTAGTCGTATATACAATTCCATCGTTCATCTACGATGTATCGCGATCGACAATATTCAATACCTTCTTCCGTATCTTCTTCGGAGCCGCTATCACGTTCCAGCGTCGTGCTCGACACAGCGTGAGGCGGGAACAAAATATATTGTATGATACATGGATACGACTCCTTGTTTGCCCCGAAGCCCTGCATCTGCACCTCCAACACCATATTTGTGATGCCGGCTGCCGAATACGCAAAATTGAAGCCCTCCGTTAAACGTATTCTGCGGAAAAACGGAACATTGATTGATATTGACCGTTTGTCATGTCTCGCGCAATCCCGACAAGATGAATCGAATAAAATGTGACATCTATTCACTTTGTGATCGTGGAGAGTATCCTCGCGATCGCAGTGATGTTCAATTTTGGCAAAGTGATGCCCGGGATGGTTTGCACGAACGGTCGCTTCACATGCCACAGCCATCGGTTGTGATACAAGTATCTGGACAGGGTGGTGGTCAGACTACCACCCAGTATCGGCGCAGTCCTAGTCCATGTTGGCTGAGTGCCATCGGGGAACACGACCATGCTCAAATCGTTCGGTATACGCTCGTACCTTATGAGGATTCTCTCGAGCGACTTGTGTATTATCGTGCAACACGGAGTTTCCCGTTGCTCCGTCGGTCTGTTCGGCAACGCCAACTTGGACAATCTGTCCACGAGATCTACCACCACGTTATGACGAACGACACCTTCGGTGCCGCCGGCAAACGCTATATTGAGCACGACGCAGAGCGCCTTGCAATTAATGCGGATCAACGAGAACGACACCGGTGGTTTCTCCGTCTCCCTGTATATGAACTGGACGTACGTGTGGTTTTCAATCAGCACGAAAGTCGCCCAATTTTTCAGCATGGCATACAAGACGGCCGCCGCTTGTCGGCTCTGAACGCATTGGAAACGACCGCTCTGATTCGCTTGGTGAAGATGCCTCGGCAACGGCCTGTCGTACGACAGGATTAACGTGATTCGCTGGGTATGCATCCAGCGTGCCCACTGAAGCGGATCCAGAGAGACGACTGGTTGCCATATCTGCCCAAATTGTGGGCAGGCGGCGTCGCTAAAACGACAAGTACAGAATTATGTCAACGTGATTATGTCGTAGCTGCGCTTCTCACTTTGGACTCACAGCGATGATATGTTCATTAGACTCAGGTTATGCACGCGTATTAATCTTATACAAGCGAATTAAGATACCTAAGTTGTACTGTACTTGGTGACGGGTAAGACGACAAATAGAACACCGGCATCCCGCTTCTGATGGTGTCTGGAACGCTGTACCACGTCCAACCGGATCCTGGAAACCAACTGAAGTGCGCTAACGTATTGTCGCTCTCGGTCAAGGATGTCAATGCCGTCCAGAAACAAGAAACGACACCCTGGCGATAATTCGACTTGAGTGGCTTTTTCGACATGCATGTAATGTCATGTAAAAATTCATACGGTGCTGCAAGCAAAACGGGCTTGAGTTTGAGCCGCCCAGGTCCAAGTGATCGGAGTACTCGGAGACCGCGACTCGGCATTCTCAACGAATCACGTTCACGATTGCCGTGTACTTACCTTCTATAGTAATAACGTATTGTATCACATTGGACTGCGACAATGATTTCGAAGACCACGGGCATGTAACCAGGTACTCCAACGAAACGTTGCTTTTCCACAGCAGCACGAAATTGATCTCAAGAACGTCGTCTCGTATGGTGGCTCTTTTTATCAAGTATCCTTCTCTTAGGCGGCAGCACAGCAAGCTGCTCAAGGTGCAGGTAACTTTGTCGTCGATCTGCTTTTTCCTCAGCAGCTGATCGGTTTTATGTTCGTCGAAGCAATTGTTTTCAGTTCGCCAACAGACATGACCATCCGGCGTACTATCGTAGGGAACATCTCGATATAATTGCCAGCACAGAAAGTTCCTGTGATAAAGATTCATATCCGTCCCATGCGTAGGTATCTGTGGTTTTGCGGGAGCGAGGAAGCACAATTAGCACAACTTTAACATTACGCGAGCGATCGGATCGCGGCGGTGAACAGATGAGAGATTTACGTACAAAGTATGAGTTGAAAGACATATAACTACCGAGGGTGGCTGCAGCGATAAAATACAGCAGATCTTGGTATGGCACTAGACCGTCCGCGCAATGCGGATGATACGCGCTGCCTACGTGCAGAAAACTGCACGCAACCGTAGTTGCACGCAGTTGTTGCACGATAGAGTCTAACGCGTGAACGTCCTTGACTCCGACAATACCGTCCGAGACTATCACCATATCTGCAAGTTTGTAAGGATCTTTTTACTCTTTGCTCCTTTCATCGAGTTATTCTTTTTTTCTTTTTCTTTGCATAATGCGTGCATTACGGACAACATGTTGATTCATTAAATGTAATTATAAGTTGCAAACTCACGTGCGCAGCTGTGCTCAGGTAAGAGTGTTAGAGCTAGCATTCCGTATCTCAGCATATTTACAAAACTGGCTTCTGGCGAAACCATGGAAATATTGGCTGTACAACTACTGCTACTTTTGTTCAAGCAGTTACCGCTCTCCTCGAAGAGCCCTCCCACCAAACGCTCGCTCTCTGCTCTTAAATGTTCTAATTGCTGATTAGCTATGGCAGTAACGGTCGCTACTTTCTCCTCCAACTCGTACAGCTTTTTCTCGACGTACTGCGTTAGAGAGTTCACATTATCTGCGGTGATCAACCACCCTTGCACCAGTACTTGCTGCGCCGGGTTCGTAAAGAATGGCGTATGAGCTATCACAGTCACATAAATTTCAGGTTGCATCACGCGCTTGCTGCCTGGTATCGTAAACTATAGATACAAGTGAGTTAAGATCTATCTCTCTTTTTCTCTTTCCTTCTTTTATACACATTTACAGAGTATCAAAAAGCTACTTACTGGTCTGGTTATACCTTCCAAACATTGCTTCGTTGCCAGGCACACTTCATCAATCACTATTTCCCCATGTTGTATATCCTGCAAGAAGTATCAAACTTACGTGAACTTTAACATGAAAGCAATATACAACAAATTATATATATATATATATATATATTTTGCATTACTTACAACAGTAGCAAGAGACGGACTTAAGTCTAAACTAAAGACCATTCTGTACTTGTGCCCAAGGAATATAATTGAAGTCGTGGAAATAACTTTATAAAGAAACTGATGGCTAGTATCTATAGACCAAGTTATAGGCTTATCTTTTGGCAGCACCGATACAATCTCCAATTCTGGCGCTTCTTTACTTTTTACACTCGGATACTGTGTACTTATCACAGAATCTAAATGTTCCAGCAACCACTGGGCCCTCACATTGCGAGAGATGGGGAAACCCTTTTTCATTAATAAAAAGACTGTTTCTGCTTCCAAAACCGTCCTCTCCTGCAGGAAGAAAGGAAAACAATTACAAACACAACGAAAATAATAGTTTTGTCAAATGTCATTGTTATTACCGAAATATTCTTGTTATATTCTTGAGGGATATGTACACAAGAAAATTGTACACAAAATTGCATGCGTGCGTACGTGCATTCTACCTTCAAAAACCGTAACATTCATATTACAGCGACTGTACATCGTTGTCAACCCATTGATCCATTTGTGTTGTTATTTCTTTAAAGTGTCTTGAGTTTATTGTTTCAATTGTTGTCATACGAGAAGGTTATGTCGTAACAGGCACGCACCCATGCAATACGCCGTCAACGGCGTAGATAAAAGCTGTTGCAACATAGTTCACGGACTCACCTCATTTTTCGCATTCGCCATGACGAATCTCACACGCAAACTTTCTATTAGTCTATCATTACCGTTATTAAAATCATTGCACTCCCCGACAGGTCATCATCACGTTGCACGGGAAGTAAATCATCGCAACGTCACGCGAATGCACCGCTGCACCGCAGCAGGGAAAACAGTCAGCGCGTATAATTGTCCAAAGGTCATATTGTGTTGTCTATTTATTTCATCGTCGCGTGTTATATCCACTACGCGCGAGTGATAAACACAACGTAACATAACCTGGTCTGGCCTAGCGCAAATCTCGACGCACGACGCGCACTTTATTGCGTGCCAATATACACCACCACGTGCGCATCTGCGAAATTCGATCTCGAGTTTAAAGCGCCCGCAGCCTTTTAAATCCTTCTTCCCTAGATTTCATGACCTCGCTTCGATCAACAGCCGCACTACGGTCGCGCGTTACAGGCGTTCGAGATCCGATTCAAAAGTTTTCAAACGGAAATCTCTCGCGCGATAAACCTTTAGCGATAAATACCTTCGTATGCGCATAAGCGTTCATCTCGTTCGTGTGCACGAACGACATATGAATAAAACCACAGTAAATTCGTAAAATAAATAAAATAAAATCAACAAATAGATGCGACGAGCAACGCAGAAAATTGAGACGTAAAATCAAATTTTTAGCTCAATTTCAAACCAGAATTATCAGTCTCCATGAAGTTTAGCTGAGACTCGATCCACATTCGAGCCGAGAGAGAAAGAAAGAGGGAGAGAGAGAGACTTGAACCACCGACGAGGTAATGATAAAGACTGTCAGCCTTGGATAAATTTTCGTACTGATAAAGGGGACCCAAGAGGCCCGGAAGTAATCAGATATGTGTGACAGGCGTTTGTGTCTCGTCGGTGCTCGAACTACTTAGATAGGATTGTTAAAGGGACACAGAGATGGCGACTGGTGTTCTTCTGCGTTTCGTCTTAAAATATATATATATATATTTTTTTTTCCATGTAAACAATCAATATATTATTTATTATCCGCGTTGGCTTAGCAAGCTGTTACCCTTCAAGAGTCATTATATTAAAGCCAAGATGAAGAAAATATGATTATCTATTACTGGTGAAAATATTTGTTGTGTTATCGGTAAACAATATCGAAATTGTTCCGTAATAATAATAACATTTATACAAATAATGGCAATAAAGCATTTATTATGAATTATTTCTATGATGGAAATAAATACTATTGTAATAAATATTTTAATAGAGAGAAACAAATATTTTGAATGATAAGTGATAAGATATAGTAATGTGCACAAATATCCACTCTAAAAAATATAGAAAATGTTATAAAATAACATATTCGTAACACTTTCTTTTTGAGGAAATATTCTCATAAATGTACTGTTATTTCCATATTATTTTCATCATGACGGTTCTTCCCGGGGGACACGATTACGCAATACAATTGATGTCATTTCCTCATATTCAATGGGATTCCCAAAGAGGAAAGAGGAAATATTATAATATATTTGCCGACGTTTCCATGTTGTTCTCGTACGCGTTCATAGCCGAATCTGCGCTTTTTTTTCACTAGAGACCCCACGAGAACAGGAACATTGTGTTCACGTGAAATCCACATGGATTCCACGTTATTAATGCAACGTACATTCCACATAGATTCAATGGTATGTTTTTGTGGGGGACACAATCTTGAGACATTTTAATTTCCACCTACTTTTGTGTAACGCTGCAAAAATATGCTTAGTCATTATGCATATACGTGTGGACTTATTATTCTATTCTGTAGAATAATAAATTTCTAAGAAGAGAAAGAAAAGAAAGTATTACTATACCTTTTCAAGTAGGGTCAATATAAAATTTAGACTTTCTCTAATATGAGACTTTCCATAAGAACATTACATGTAATACAAATAAACTATAGAGATATAAATCATAATAACAAAGGTCAATGACAAAGGTCACCAGTTGCTGGTGGTAAACGTCAGTATTATATCATCACAAAATAATTACGACGAGAGGCAAGTGTCGTTACGTTTAAGCGAGGCTTCGTTTATATTATAAAGCTTCGAACCATCTGAAAAATTGGTTAGTCACGATAGCTTCGTGGTAGAAGTTGCTTCGCGCAAACTATTTTGCGGATTTTGCGGATAGATCTTGCGGTTTTTTTCCCAAATCTGAAAAAGTTCAAATTATGCGGTTCTTAAGAATTTTACAAAAAACATTTTCCTTGGTATATTGAAAAATTTAGTTTCAAACGTCAAATTTTCATAAAATCTTACTTAAAACTAATAGTTGAAAGCAGAACGTGAGGCAAAACTAACCCAAAATAAGTGTTGATGATACCGACCGCAAGACATTCTTGTGTTTGTACGTGTCAAAGGATTGTCAATTATTAACTTGCTATCAAGTTTGCCTTTCTTATTAATAAGCATGGTAAGTCACTTCCCAGACAACATATGATCTCCTGGGGACGTCCGATATGGACGTCCTGAGGATGAAGAAACGTCACCAGGACGTCCTTAAGACGTACTCTGGACGTCCTCTGGACATCTGTGCTGTGCTTAGGGTTTAATTTACATATACTGACCGTGTGTCATTATTGACAATGTTACGCGCGTTTACTTAATTTTACTCGAGGCTCCGCTCGTAATCGTAATATGTAATCATAAACAATATGAATTTAACGAGTTGAGGAACTCCATCGATAAATTTAAGTTTAGTTACTCCATCTTTTGAAACAGTAATTTTGATATGAATTTATCCGTCGAGTGATCAATGTTTGACTATAATGCGTAACTCATACATATCGAGGTATTTGATATGTCAATTTCGTAATATAAAAGTGTTTAGTCACCATAAAGCGTTGTCGCTTACGTTAGTGACGTAAGCAATAACGCTTTAACGTTCTGCAACATGAATTATCATATCATGTTGCGGGACATTCATATATAAAAAAGGTCATATATAAAATCATATACAAAAAAAAACTCTGACATTCTTGAACCGAGCTCGTTAATTAAGAATTCGTTCTGCATCGTCAGCATATGTCCTTCGCATAATAAGTGGCGGTAAAGAAGGTGAATTAATTTGCATCGGTCGTATGCAATGTCATGATGTTTAGTTGTATATTATATGCAAAAAACAAGAAATTAATATTAATGAACCATCCGCCTTATTGATATATAGATAATTTAGACTCTCATTGGCCTTTCCGCATTTTTTAATTTTTTTTTTATTTTTTTATTTCATACTGCAAGAAAAACAATTATATTATCTTTTTTTACATCTTGCTTTTAAACAAGTGGAAACGACGATCGAGACGCCTGAATTTTTATCGAAATCTGCTAGATAGACGCTAGTTCGAGTTACGTATACGCGTCGAATCTGCGATCAGTTGCGACTAAGCTGTCAGAGCGAGAGGTTGTTTTAAGGTTAAGATTTCTCTCACGCTCTTGTAGCCAATTGAACTTCCTCATTCGAATCTTCCGTCATCGAGGCATACCGGAGGAATTTCCAAATATCTACAATCTGCATCTTCTTTTCAGCTGACTCGACAGTTATTTCGACAGACCTACAATTACTATAGCGCCAACGTCGTGAAAGGTAATGCATTGACCATTTCGAGGCACGAACAGGTGCTACGTCATGTTACAAACCTGTCACTTTCTTTTTCCTCCTTCCATTTTGCCCACGAAGTGGACAAGGGTCACTAAGCAGAGCTCTCGTATTGGAATATAAAGCAATGATTGTTGCAGTTACCTAACATTATGCTTCCACTGTCTGATTTCTGTCTGCATGCAGATGTTGTGTAATATTTCTAAGATAATTTAGAGTACTGCTATCATACTCGATTCAAAGGTTTTTATTCAGTCGAGATAACTTTGAGCACTCAATATAGCACTGTCATGTTGTTTTTATATTTTTATCAGCATATATGATTGTATGTTATCTTACATATGATATGTGTGCACATACATATATGCTTTTTTGCGATTTTATTTATGCCTATAACTTGTTTATACATTATTTTGGACTATTATATTATATGTGTGTGAGATATTTAAAAAATATTTTATAATATATTTTTAATCATGTATGATGTTGATTGTTTGTTACATAATTCGGTATATTTTCAGAACTTTTGAAGATCATGCCGTGCCCATTCTTGACTCGTTTGCCTGCAAACTATGTTCGCAACTACGGATCATCAGTGATTATGAATTACCGACAGCATTGTCCAGTAATGTCAAGGTTACTCAGTACAATGGTCGAATCCAATGAGCCCCAGCCAATTGTAGAGCCAAGTGTAGAGAGTCAATGTCCATTCCTGTCGAAAGAAATGGATGCTGTCAAAGAGGCGAGCTCAGCAGTGAAGGAAGATATTATCAACTTGGGTTCTACGGAGGAACGGCAGGAGAAAGTGCAGTTCCCCTATGAGGAGTTCTTCCATGAGCAGATTATGCGGAAGAAGAGGGATCATTCGTACAGGGTGTTCAAGAAGGTGAATCGCCTGGCTGAGAATTTTCCAGCAGCCATGGAATATTCATGGGGAGAGAAACCTATCACCGTATGGTGTTCCAATGACTATTTGGGAATGTCACGTCATCCCGCGGTAACAAACGCGGTACGTAAGGCTTTAGATAAATTCGGTGCCGGTGCCGGAGGCACGAGAAACATCTCCGGCAATTCCATGGGCCACGAGATGTTGGAGAAGCGACTGGCGAAGCTGCATCAGAAGGATGCCGGTTTGCTCTTCACTTCTTGTTTCGTCGCCAATGATTCTACCTTGTTCACTTTAGCAAGAATTTTACCGGGCTGCCACATATTTTCCGACGCTGGGAATCACGCGTCCATGATACAAGGTATTAGGAACAGCGGCGTGCCGAAGCACATATTCCGGCACAACGACGCGCAACACCTGGAGGAGCTTCTGTCGAAGGTAGACAAGAGTATTCCGAAGATCGTGGCGTTCGAGACGGTGCATTCCATGACCGGCGATATCTCTCCGTTGGAGGAGATGTGCGACATCGCGCACAAATACGGCGCTATAACGTTCATCGACGAGGTTCACGCGGTCGGTTTGTACGGCTACTCCGGTGCTGGTATTGGGGAAAGGGACTGGGTGCTGCCTAAGATGGATATTATTTCTGGCACTTTGGGGAAAGCATTCGGCAACGTAGGCGGCTACATCGTTAGCTCGTCGAATCTGATAGACATGATAAGGAGTTACGCGGCTGGTTTTATTTTTACAACTTCACTGCCACCTACCGTGCTATACGGAGCCTTGACATCTGTTGAGATTTTGGCATCGGACGAAGGCAGATCGTTGAGGGCGAGTCATCAAAAAAACGTGGCCTATATGAAATCTATTATTACTGCCGCTGGTCTTCCGTTAGAGCCGTCGCCTTCGCATATCATTCCGATAAAGGTGAGCGAGTCGCTTCATTAGAATAACAGATGAGCAATATCAATGGGACGGCGACCATACCTGTGTAATTTACATTTGTCTTTCAGATAGGAGATCCACTGTTATGTAGTCAGATAGCAGATCACTTGTTAAGGGACAAAGGACACTACGTGCAAGCTATAAACTATCCTACGGTTCCCAAGGGCGAAGAGAAGTTGCGATTAGCACCTACCCCGAAGCACACCGAGGCTATGATGGATAAATTCGTGCGAGACGTGTTGAACGTTTTCCACCGATTGAACGTACCCAAGGTGGAAATCAAACAGGACCAAGAGCCGCGAGCGATTCTGGTTCATTGACAAATGTATATAATGTGTAAATACAACAAATGGTCGTCATCGTACAAATTTAACTTACTGGTGCAAAGATGTTTATTTGCATAGCTTGTTTTTATTATTTTGCCAATATTTCAAATGGCCAATATAAATCTATATATTATTCAAGTTAACTTACTAACAGAGATTTAAATAAAGTGTTATCTGATAACCCCCTTAAGACTCGTGCATATTTCTTGCATTTTTTGTCGTAAGATACGCGATATGTTGTTTTTTTAAGATAATTTATATTCGTTAAAAGCAAAAAGTGCACAGATAAACGAAATAATGATGATAATCGTTAAAAGAGAATTCAAGCGTGCATACGGTAGCAATGCGAGACAAATAGTCGTATGATTCTTTCATCAAAGTATCACTTATCACTTGTACAGATACGTCCCTCTGTGTGCCAATTATGAATTATAATCACTCGTCGTTATCGCTCGTTAAGCAAACGTAAAAATAATTTTCAAGATATTGCATAAAAAGCCTTTGTTATCAGCATCACATCGTGCGTTACTAAAATTTAAATTACGCACCCGGTCCCAGCATCTGCGCACGCGTGTCAGCGCACCTCATCTGTCGTCTGCACAATTTTTTCCACCTGTCGTGGAATCCTCTGTCTTGACTGTCAATTTTGTAAAAATACAAATCTTCACATATCCATCGACCAGCAGGCAGGCACGCATGTGCTCATACGAAAACCGTGCTCGAGAAGCACGACGCGTATCTGACGCGTCCCTCTGAGTACCGGTTATTTTGACTGGATGTCTATCTGGCAGTCACGTATAGGTTAGGATGAGGGGTCTAGTCAACGTCATAAAGATGCTCGTCGCGTTTTTCTACAATTACGCGCGCGGGCTGTCTTACATCGTGACGACGATACTCGTGCTGTGTTACTGTCTTCATCCGGCCCGATTCGCGTCCCATTACACCTTCATCAAGACCGAGAACATCTACGAGGAGATGGAGAGGTCGTATCCGCCGAGGGACAACTCCTGCGTGATTCCCGTAAACGGTAGACGACCGTCGCAATTGTTATATCCGGAGGAACATCCCAAAGAAGACCCGGTGGCAATGGCTCGTCGTCTCGGCATCTTACCGGGTGGTCAGTGGAAGCCCCTCAGCTGCCATCCTCTCTTCAACGTGGCAATCATACTGCCCTATCGCAATCGGCAGAGTCAGCTTACCATTTTTATGAATTATATACATCCGTTTCTGCAGGCTCAGAATCTGGACTATCGAATATTCGTCATCGAGCAGAGCCCGATGCGGGAATTCAATCGCGCCAAGCTCTTCAATGTCGGTTATGCCGAAGCTACCAAGATCAACGACTTTCACTGTTTCATCTTTCAAGATATAGATTTGATACCGCAAAATCCTGACAATATCTATGCGTGCACCAAGATGCCCAGGCACATGAGCTCCAGTGTAAATATCTTTCGATATAATCTACCTTATACCGGCTTGTTCGGAGGTGCGATATCGTTAACGAGGAAACAGTTTGAGAGAGTAAACGGATTTTCCAATGTTTTCTATGGTTGGGGCGGAGAGGACGACGACTTTTACAATCGCTTACAGTCCAGAGGCTTTCAGGTCTGATATATAATTCAGCATAATTGCAACGGTACGCGCTGTTACTTTAAGGAACATTAATTTCTTCAATGTTGTTTTCGCTTTTGAGACAGATCACACGCTTTGGACCCAACGTGGCACAGTATTACATGTTGACGCATAAAAAGGAGACACCTAGCACTGCGAGATTCGCAAATTTAGAGAGTGGTGCACGAAGATACGACACTGATGGACTGAATAATCTAGAGTACAGAGTATTAAATCATCAGTTACGACCATTGTATTCTTGGATTTTGGCTGATGTGTAACTTATAGAATAGATGTAAGTTTTTTTTATCCAATATATTATGACATATCTTTCTTAAATAGGCTATGGTTATAAGTTTATGATATAGCATCACACTATTTTTTAGAAACAGAGTGAACTGCTAGCTTAATCAAACACGCATAATTGTTAGTATGCTGTGTGTGACAGAATATTGTATTTAAACTGCTATGCAACAATACTTACTACTGCTGAAAATATTTGTATTGCAAAAGTTTTGTGCATTGAAGAGGTCAAACAATTACAATTTAAGGATTTTAACAAACATCTTGTAGTACGTGTGAGTCTACAGTTACAAATGCTTTTCCAATAGCATCAATATTGATGGTAGCAGCAATAAACAGTAATTAACAGTTTGTACAGAACTTTGAAAAAGAATGCGTAATATAATTATATAAGTGATAAGGTTTAAAGACTGTAATCATCATAAGGAAACATTCTTTTCATGTAACTCATTAGAATGAGAGAAAGCAATATCATTCAGAGATACCTACTGCTGTCCAAATTACTAAATAATTACTGTACTAAGTTATATATAGTTAATTTTATAAGATTTTGGTCACACGGTACATTTATCAGATAAGAGAGGGTATGGTACAAACTTATTCTATACAAATTATACAAGGGCAGTCTGAAAAGTTCTCGGCCTAACAATGAAAGAAAATTTTTTTGCCGTGAAATATGTTTTATTTTTCAATATAATCTACTGATTTTCAATATAAACTTCAATACATTTATTTCAACGTTTTTCCAGTAATTCAATACCATCATCATTAAAGTGTGATTCCGGAAGGTTCTTTCCGCTCTGGTGTATATAGTGGTGGATCTAAGTTTCATCAACAGTTCTGAAACGACGCTTGAAATCCATTTTACTTTGTTTAAAACGATCCAAACACGCTTGAGAAATACGCATTCGAATGCGTTTTTGGTAAATTGTTAGCAAATCCATCGGCACCCATCTTGCACAAAGCTTTCTCAACTGGTGCTACTACTCGAATGATTTGACAGATCGGATAAAATTTTACATGGGTTTATATCAGGGATGCCACTTTCCAATGCAATTGTAGTTTGACAATTTCTAATGCCATGTATGTCAGGTCGAGAACTTTTCACAGACTGCCTACGTAGTATGTTATTATAGCCTTTAGTACACAAATGCTTACCTCATGACCAAAGATGTACGTACTAGTCCTTATATGTTCCTTATGTTGTATGATACTCACGCGCAATGATTTTAGTATCGATTGTTTTTACGAAGAGTTTAGAGATAAAATAAAGTTTGATGAAGTATTTTTTTGTAAATATTTAAATATAAATGTGATTGGATTAGAGAACTCTTTAAGAATGCTCAGTCTTTACTGATACTTATAGCACTAATTTATTACTACACAAATCTGATTTTCTATAAAACCCGCGAATAAAGTATATGTAGGTACTAAATATTTTGTTTTACATTCCTGGACATGTAAACAGAAGTATAATAGTGATAAAATAACGATTAATAATCTAAGCGTATTGTTACTACGATAAAATATATTGTAAAATTAATACATGTTTAATAATTGAAGAGAACATACTTTTAAGAATCTGCACTTTTAATGTCGAAATTTTTCAGCGGATATACTCTATATGGAAATTTGTTCACCGTTATCTTTGAATATTTAAGTATTTATTATTTCTAGCTTCATTCCTCTCTGCAGCAATATGGAAGTTGCAGATCCTGCATATTGATATTACTTACTAGATGTTATAATGTCTGTTAAGACAAGTAGATCTTAAACGAATGTAAAAAGATTTTATACTTTGTTTATTTCTAGATATAAGTTTGCTTAAAAGCACTACTAAATCGAGTTATTCTTCTTATAATTCTTAAAAAAGACCCGAAATCTTATTCGCAATATATTATAAATTACACATGTTGCAGTTTATTGCTCACAGATATCGTAATCTTTTCGCGAGATCACCCTAAAAAAGGAAAATACGTCTTGAATAAAAATGATGCCCTAATTTAGCGAAACAAGTTTGGAAAGTTTAGTGTGTAAAGAAATTATACGTGCAATATATACAAGCAATAATGCCGCATTTACATTTATTAATTTGTTTCGATTTCTTATTTAATACATGATTCTCCTTCACGATGATTTTAGAAAAATAACAATAAATTGTAAGAATTATATTAGAGATGTGTATGTATAGTGTGATAAGTGCAATGTACGATCATCGAAATGAGGCAAAAACGATTAAAAAAAGAAAAAAAAGTACACGAATAAAATTGTCTCGTTCAGTGTACCTTTATATCCCGCTTATTATAACTAGATAGGGGTATGAAACTAGAAAGATTTCATTATGATATAATAAATATATGTGCATAACGCGTAAATTCAGACGTACAACAATAAGACAGAATTATCTGTTTTCTTTTACTTTTTCTTTTTTTAACAGAAGCACTGTGAAATTGATGTATTAACAACGATGCTTTTGCGAAGAAAGTGATGTTATTCTGATTGCAGCACATATTAAAAAAATTCGAGTATTTCTATGTCACGTGTGTATAACGTGTTCACGGTAAGGTGGTATTTTTTAGTTATCTGTCGTATGAGCTGCTTATTAAGTCACTGAATATATATATATATATATATATATATATATATATATATATATATATATATATATATAACACCATGTCTCGCGATATTTTTAATCTACAACATATTGTGTTTTGTATGGCATACATACAGAATCGAAAAAAATTAACTGAAAGAGTCAGATTTCATAATCGCTTAACTTTACCACTGGTACTCAACTGTACATAGTTTATTCTTGGGGCAAGAATTATTGCATTGCACAATGATACGGCATTTTCATTACCTGACTGAGTGTTTCATCTTTTCCGTATATAATGGCGGAAGGTGTATCTTTCGAGAAAGCCAATCGAACTAGCCAATGTAGTTCGAGAAATATTAGATACTTATCACTGAATTCGAGCGATACACACTCTGACGTTGTATAAATAAAATTAAAAAATAGCGTGTCTATATTCCGACAAGAAGCCTATACACTTCAAAGAAGAGCTTTCTTTCTCGTAATATATAGGATTCTGCATAAATATCACCATCTGTGAAGCATGTAACAGAATTCTGCATTATGAGGGTACAAGAAATAACTGTATAGTTATTTCTGCAGTCCCAAGAATTGGCTATCACTGTGCAGTTACCAGTATAAGTAGCTATTACAGTAATTATTATCGTACGATAATAATATATGAGCGTGTAATCATGTCTATAAAAAATCGAATATGTGTATGTATGTATATATATATATATATATATATATATATATATGTATATACACACATATACACGCACATATATATATATATATATATATATATAATCTGTCTTATACATCCTTGATGTGTTGTCCTACGTATTACGTGTCAGATAGTTCTTGATACCGCGCATACATCATCTTTTTCACACAATCCTTATACGTGTCGCCCGGTAACGCGCTATACGACGAAGTCTTCGCTCCTAAGCCGGCTGTAGGCACTCGTCTTTCGGCCTCGATTATACTCGTTCTACCTTGATTCGATTTTCCTAAACCCATTCCTTCGCTCCAACCCATTTTTTGCAGTAATTTATTGCCAACGTTGTCGGATCCGATGCCGGCTCTCGTGGGTTCCTCATACGACACCGACATCTCCTCCACTCTTGTTTTCAGATATTTTTCTTTCAACTTGTTAGGTTGTGGCGGTTCGGGTTCACCATACTTCGCTCTCCTTTCCTTGGCACGATCTCTGTACTTGTTGTTCCTCTGTTGCGGATCATTGGGATCCAGACCGCGTACTTGATACCAATTCTCCAGATTCTGCTTGTGCAGATCGGACAATTGCTGGTGCCGCATCAACGCTTCCTTGCTCGGGAACTGTCGTTTACAGAGTAGACACGCCAGCTTGCTCCAGTCTGTGTGCTGCTTCTCCTCCTGCTGCACATCCTCGATCTCCTCCTCGGTATCGCTACCTCCGCCGTACGCAGCTACCAAGCCGTTACCGCTTTGATCCTCGTCCTCGTGATAAGGATTTGCGACAGTTTTCTTCTCCAGAATGGCGTATCCTGCATCCGCCGCGCCGCTTCCGACACCTTGGTTGCCATCCGCGCCGGCGAATTCCGAGTTCCAATTGCTCTTTGCGTTCTCTTTCTTCTGGTTCAAGGTCTTCGCCCAACGTTCCATGTCCTTCGCTATTTTCTTCGCTACCTTTACTTTGTCCTGCTTGCTGTCCTTCTTTTTGCTCTCGTCTTCTTTCGCCGCCTCCTGAGTTGCACTGGCGGCCGACGAGGTCGTAGCCTGATTACTAACCGTACTCACAGTATCCGTACTACTCGCCGTTGCCGTGATCGTGGTACTGCTCGTAGCTCCTTGAGTCGTGCTTGCGGTAGTCTACAAGTTAGAACATGTTAGAACTGTTACATTTTTTTTCAACTATACGTTTTATAACGACACATGATTCTCTATGTTTGAACTTCCGATTACCTTGGCTGGTTGATACGAGAACGACTCGGCGTCCCAATAAAGGAACTGTTGTGTGTGGCTGTTGTAATAATATTGTGAATTTGGATCATAATACAATCCCGTGCTGGGATCGTAATAGTAGCCGGACGATTCGTCGTAATGGTAAGTGCTGACGTCCGGTACGGCTAAAAGAATAAAATATCGCACAAGTTAACTTTTCACAAAATTTCACAATATGATTCTATAAATGATTCTCTCTTTTCTTTCCCTCGCTTTTGTCTTTTTTTGTTTTGATTTCTTCAAGGACTCACAGTATACTTTCCCATCGCTGGAATGCGCGGGAACCCTTCCGCTCGCTAACGTCGTGCTGGATGGTGCCGTAGGCGTCGGTCGTCCCTTCACGTCGTCGGTTTCACCTAACTTCCTAGAGGCCTGCAACTGCTGTATCGCGGACTGTGCCACCGCCGCCGCCGCATTCACACGGTCAGTCTGATTCAGGGAGGGCAGCGTGATCGCTGAGCCCTGCATTATCTGATTCTGATAGTACTGCGTGTAATACTGCAGGTAGTGGGCTTTCTGCGCGGGCGTTTTAGCGTACAGATTCGCGCTGTACTCGGCGAGTTGCGCGACGTCGTCCAAGGTGTACCTCTGCGGCTGTGTATCGTTGGACTTCCACGCGGTTGTGTTATTAATCTGATGGAGCTTGCAGTACGTTATCTCCACTTTCCTGCCGTCCACCACCAGCCCCTGCTTCGTGAGCGCTGTGTGCAGGTACATCGCGTCGACCACGTTGCCCATTTCTAAATAACACACGCCGCGAGACGTGTTCGTGAGAGAATCACGGCCGATACGAATACTACGTATCGGCATCGATGACAGATTCTTCATCGCCTGCAGAACCGAGTCCTCGGTGGTTAACACGTCCAAACCACGTAAGAGCACGGTGTTGGTGGGGTGTGGGCTGATCTCGTCGCTACCTTCTCCGCCTTCCTCGCTCTCCGCTCGCGAGGCGGAACATTTGAAGCAAGTTTCGCGCCTCTTAAAATTGTGCGCTCCACACTACAAAGGAAGCAAAAGGACATTGTGTAGCACTCGCCGATAAATATTTTTTTGTGAAAGAAGAAAAAAGGAAAGAAAAAAAAAAAAACGGGACTCGTACCTTAACGCAGTGCCAATCTTGAGTGTTCTTCGCCGGCGGTTTATCTACATGGCACTCTTTTGGTATGCTGTACTGCATCAGGGCGCGATATTGGTCCTGCAGCATCAGCACTCCCTGAAACAGAGAATTTTAGTGTTATCCCGTCCAACGTCTTCTCGAGGCCTCTGTTTGTCCCGTAAACTTCCTTCTTGGTTGACGAAATTATAGTTTTTCTACTTCATAGCTTTTCTGTCTCGAGCGAACGGTGATATTCAATAAAGCCTCGTGGGCTCGTATTAAACGTGGGCCATTCCACACCGTTTGTGGACCGAGTGTTCATGCGCGACTTTACGCGGACAATCGAACAATTTACAAGTTCCGGTAGAAAGAAAATGCAGGCAAGCAACGCAACGATCGCTTGCGCGTGTAAACTTTTGTATGTGAATAAGATAAAGAAAAGAAAAGAAGAAAGAAAAAGAGAAAGAAAGAAAGAAAGAGAGAGAGAGAGAGAGAGAGAGAGACAGAGAGAGAAAGATAGAGCGAAAGAGAGTTTCGTGCATGTCTGGAGACAAACTTCGGGAGCGTCTCGCAGGTACTTTCAATACAAATCGCATTAAGAACCAAATGAAACAAGAGAAATAAAGACTACAAGTATAGTAATATAACAGAGAAGCGGATGAACGCGCGTAGCAAAAAGTCGTGGCGCGGAAATGAACCGTATCATGCCGGAAAATGCGATAAGATACGTAATACAATCGAAACGACATAAAGACGACTGGAATGACCCTTCTCTCTGATCTTCATCGTTAGTCCACGGGAGAATATTACTTTTTGTTTCTCTTTTTTTCTTTTTCTCTTTACGACAGACAGAGAACAGGTAAAAGCACGCGCGCGCGCGCGGTGAACACAACGAACTTATATAATCCGACATTGCGCGAGTGTTTGCTTGAGCGAGCGAGCGAGCGAGCGAGCGAGTTATAAGAAAAGTCTGCAAAAATATCTGGGGATTCCTAGATAAATAATTAGGTACGGAAGATTGAAATAGACTTTGATTTGAGGTGCACAGCCGTGGCCACGGGCAGGGCCAGAGGGCTGCGTTACCGTGCCTTGCCGCCACGGGGCAGTCGGTGGCACGCGTGCAACGCATCGGTTGGGTATCTGGATTGAACTTCTTTCTACCTGTTTCATCTCCATCCACCGTGCGGCCTCCTGAGTCGCGTTAAACTCGACGAATGCAAAACCTCGCGAAGCACCTATACAGAGCAAATACACACATATCCAGAGTTAATCCACGTTTTTGCCTGGGTGTCTCTACTCTGAGAGGGCAGGCAATCACAGCACCATTGACAGATCGAGTTTCAAACGAAGTGTCTCTTCGCTTCGTCGCTTGCTTTCATATTCCATTTACCTAAATCTCAGCAGAACGAATTCTACATCACCGTGCGAGAGACCGCAGTACACCGATCGTGAAAAAAAAAAAGAAAAAACGACAATGCCATACACACAATTTTGCATTACCGAATTCTTTTTTTTTTCTTTTCTCATTCTTCTTTTTTTTTTTTTTCAAACGTCTACAGAGAGACCTAGCCGGAACAAAATTTTCCTCCTCTTTTTCTTTTTCTGGTCTTCCGAATTACCTTTCTACGCACGAGAACCGGACGAGAACGACGTTTACGAGTAAAAAGACGTCGATAAGAAAAATCGATCCCGAACGTGTGAAAATTATATCGTATTTCATTGTATATTGCATAGCGTAGTTTCTGTGTGGTAGCGAATTAACTTAAAGATTAATAAGGGAGAAAAAGAGAGAGAGGGGGGAAGAGAGAGAGAGAGAGAGGAAGAGAGAGAGGAAGAGAGAGAGAGAGAGAGAGAGAGAGAGAGGAAGAGAGAGAGAGAGAGAGAGAGAGAGAGAGAGGAAGAGAGAGAGAGAGAGAGAGAGAGAGAGAGAGAGAGAGAGAGCGTAGAGAAGGATAGAAGGAAGGGAAAATTAATTACTTTAGCAGCGGTGCAAAACCATCTCCATTCTGCTTGGAATATGACGCTTCACTCAATCAATTTGAGGAAAATTCAAGCCTGTAAATCTTTAGGAAGTTCATTACTTAACAAGTGTATCTGTTTCTTAAAGAGTTTACCCTTGAATCTTCTACATTTACTTCATTTTGAGAGGCTTCAAGATCGCAAGAGGAACAATAATAGGGTTGTACCGCTATTAAAGTAATGTCTTTGACGGATGTGATGTCTTAAAGTAAAGCACTAGAGTACTAATCGGAGGATCATTATATCCCTGTACAATCCCTGTACACGACATTACTCGTAAAAGCTACGAGTTTGTCACCAAGTGTGTAGAAAGGTGTGATTGGTTGGTAGATTTTGTTTTAAAAATTGTACGCACTGTCGAGTGTAAGCTCTCATAAATAAAACTTTCTCGTTAAGCTATCTCTCATGCAGCTTTGGCAAGTAACCTAATGCTCTTCTCTTCTCAAAATTCCCCTTGCATTTTCTTTGCGAACTTACCTTCTACTAATGATCAATTAATGTGGTCGATATTCGAACTAATAAAATTCTACGAATTTTGAGATATGCGATCGGTATCGAAATGTAATCAACGAAAAATCTTAGAGCTATATAATACCACATCAGAACGCGAGAGATCTCTTGAAATTCTTCTTGAATTCGACTGATGTCACTTCATGTGTAGTTCATTGCATCTCGTCCTCGTCGGATCTATCTGTATCTTGCAAACTTCAAGCAATCTCTCGCATGTTCTGTTAATGCGAACTCAGTAGAAGCTAACGATCGTACAAATTCGATGGCACGCAATAATATATCATCAAGTAACAAATCAGCTGATATGCAAGATAGGTACATCGTACGGATGTTAAAGCTTCCAACATATCACAATAGTTACCTGTATCTTTTTTTCGAATTAGCCTTATATCCTTGGGCATGAGACCACAGTTGAGGATGTCTTGCCGCACCTGTGATACACACATCAGAAGATAATAACAGTGAAGCATTCTCGGTAGCGCCTGCTCACGAGTGGCCACTATGTCAGGCCACAAAGTTGACAACCTACGTCATTCTCAGTAATGTGTTGAGCGAGTCCACGTATCATAATGGTGTTGTTAGGAGATTGCGATTTGTAGTGGATTCCTTCCATGGACGAGCTATAAGCACGACCATGGTCATGCTCAAAGTCCAAACTCTCCCGGCTATGATCATCGTCACGATCGCGATCTCGATCTCGATCGGATTTTCCCCTCCGGTCCCTATCTCGATCACGATCCCTGTCGCGTCTAGAACGATCTCTATCCCGGTCTCTGTCCCTATCCCTGTCCCTGTCCCTTTCCACAGAGTCTCTATCACGTTGCCGTCCGTAACGATCTTCCCGGTCTCTATAGCTGCGATCGCGATCATCTCTGCTACGGTCTCTCCTATCCCGCGAACGATCCCTCTCGCGGTCCCTGTCTCTCCCACGGTGGTTTCTGTATTCCGGACTACGATGGTCTCTATCGCGATGGTCGACGTCGCGGTGTTCTGTGTATTCCGGGGATCTGTTGCTGCCATAGTCACTACGGTAGTCGTAGTCGGAATTGTGACTTCTTCTTTCCGGCCCATAGCCAGGCTCCCAGGGATCAATGTTGCTGTTATACATGTTGTACACGTATTTAATTCCTGAAAAGAAATAAAAGCATGCTCCTATGAATTACCAATGAAATTTCTTCATACTGTTTTATACATTATTATAGAATACAGTTGCATGCGATGGAATTATATACGATAGTAAATTTCAATACAAGTAAAATTTTTTGTGCTTGCATAGCTGAGACAGCGTACACATTTTTTCTTTCTTTCTTTTTCTTGTAGTAGCAAATTTTAATCACACAGATTTCTTCCATCATATTTTGGCTATTTATTTATTCAGCAACGACGCAACAGAAAAACAGGAGAGGTATTATATATACTAGTTAAGAATTATTGCAACATGAAAAGTATTGATCATCAATACATGAATATTTCCAACTTCCTGCCTTCAAAGCCTGCCTTCATAAATTTCAGTTCTTTGTCCGACAGTTATTGAGTGCTGCGGAAGAAAGTTAAAAAATGAGGAAGAAAAGGAATCGATTCTATGCAGCTTTTGTACGCATCGTGTCAGCAACGTGCTTCTTAATGCAAAAAACGTATTGTTTCACAAGAGGGCAGGCACATGCTTCGCGAGCTGTAGATCGTTTCTTGTGCAAAATAATACATCTCGACCGTAATGATATATCTTCGATAGAAGCATGTGTTCGTGAGTTAATATCCCGGCGAGATTGCAACGCGGAATCTTTATTGCGGACGAGAGCGCGCGAATGGCCGTAACGCGTTGTAGAAAAAAACATTACCCGCTGCAGTAATTCGTCGCCACTATTCAGCACCAGACTCTCAGTGAGACGACGACGCCGTCGAAGAGAGTCGCAACACTTGGTACACTTCACCCAATTACGAGTAACGCTCGAGCAATCGATGATAATTCTTACATACGATACGCACAATGGCGTGACTCGCCTTCTCCTTGGGTCTGTGAAATATGGCGACGTTCGCTCAGAATAAACCGAAACTTGTTACGTATATACTTGAGGCTTCGACTACGAAATGGAGCAAAACTGGTGGCGCGTCTGTTCCCTCCTGCAGCTTAATATCCACGACGAATTACTATTGGTGGCTGAGGATCGCGACTTCGACTAATCGGCGTTTGAATTGTAAATAGTACCGCTACGAGATGACGTACTCCGAGTTGGCATACAACGACATCTCGTTTATCGAACCTTCGCAATTTTCTCTCCACTGTGAGCGAGATAAGTCTCGTCAGGTTCATCGAATAAATTGGAAGGATGGCTACTCGTCTGTTAAAAATTAGCAGCGCGTTGCGTACATATAGCAATAAAACCAGTCTGGTTAAGGTAAAATGGATTACACCCTCATGATGTGTGATCATTGTACCGTGATACAATTTTATCCCCATGACCGAGCTACTTATGAATTTCGATCGAGGCAATAGTGAGATTTGTCAGCTGCACTGGCTACTTACGTAATAAGAATAAAATAATAGTTTTAGAGTATGTGTAACATGCAAGGACGACGTGAGTGACTGACAATTTAAGTTACTTACGTTAAGGTGGAACAGATCGATAAATACGCTTGAGTACTTACATCCACTTGTAACCTCAATGTAACTACATGTACATCTTAATCAACTTCACAGTATTTGACAGATCTGATTTAATATTTGATATTTAATACAAATAAAATTTAACAATGCATATATATGTATATAAACATATATATGTTGCTATTAATTAACAAAACTTAACTCTTTACAACTTGAGGTTTGATAAATTGCTACATATTGTATTTTTAATTGAAAACTTATATTGGTATTGACACATGAACAATTCTCTTGCATAGATACCAAAACAATGGCGTTCGACTGCTGCTTCTCTAAAAGAAGCACTCATCAATCAACCAGCTACCAGAATTACAACTCTGGACAGTGGAATGAGAGTTGCCAGCGAAGACAGTGGAGCTGCAACAGCTACTGTTGGTCTTTGGATCGATTCTGGTAGTCGATATGAAACAGATGAGAATAATGGTGTCGCTCATTTCATGGAACATATGGCTTTTAAGGTAGACTATGCAGCGTCACTAACGAGAAACAATATATATAAAATTATATTCTGTTTATGATTAAGATAGATAGAATGTTTGAATTTTAATATACAATCAGTGTTTCTATATATTATATAATTTCATCATAATTTTATATATTTAACTTTGTAATAATACAACTATGCCTCGCTTATTATAGATTGGTGTGTCTCCTGTCGATACTGATAAATTGTTTCTTTAATAGGGAACTACCAAACGTTCTCAGACTGATTTGGAGTTGGAAATAGAGAACATGGGAGCTCACTTAAATGCTTACACAAGTCGAGAACAAACAGTGTTTTACGCAAAATGCTTGTCGCAAGATGTACCAAAAGCAGTTGAGATTCTGAGTGATATTATCCAAAATTCAAAATTGGGTGAAACTGAGATTGAAAGAGAACGTGGTGTAATCTTGCGCGAGATGCAGGAAGTTGAGACAAACCTGCAAGAAGTTGTATTTGACCATTTACATGCTGCTGCCTATCAGGGTACATCCTTAGGACGAACAATATTGGGTCCGACTAATAATATCAAAAGTATTACACGAAACGATCTTCTTGAATATGTAAGGACTCACTACGGGCCAACTAGGTAAAATTTTAATTATTCCTGTGTGACTGTTGAAGTACACTCAGTTAAAATGAAATACTGGTAAAACTTTTGGAAGAATCAGTTGTGTAATTTTCTTATTATAGATTCGTATTGGCTGGTGCTGGTGGTGTAGATCATAAACAATTAATTGAACTGGCTCAGAAGCACTTCGGTCAAATGAAAGAACCGAATTATAATGATATTCCAGATTACATTAAATCTTGTCGTTATACTGGCTCTGAGATAAGGGTTCGCGATGATACGATTCCCCTTGCCCATATCGCGATCGCTGTCGAAGGTACTTGGATAATACTTATTCGAGATAAATTCAGTGTAATGCTTTATATAATAATCAATAAGTATTTTGGCAAAAGGTGTTGGATGGCCTGATGCAGACAACATTCCTCTCATGGTCGCGAATACTCTTATGGGAGCATGGGATCGTGGTCAAGGCGGAGGTGTGAATAACGCGAGCACTTTAGCTAAAGCTTGCGCAGAGGAAGGCCTGTGTCATAGCTATCAAAGTTTTAACACATGCTATAAGGTATATATTGAATGTTTGTCATTATGTATGTAAAATATTAAAAATCATTTATGATTTTTAATAATTGACGTATATTGATATAAATTTATGGCCCTTTTATTTTGTAGGATACTGGTCTCTGGGGTGTATACTTTGTATGTGATCCTATGAAGTGTGATGATATGGCGAGCCAAATTCAGCATGAATGGATGAAATTATGCACATCAGTCACTGAGAAAGATGTAGCACGCGCTAAAAATATTCTCAAAACTAACATGTTTCTACAATTAGATGGCACTACCGCAATTTGCGAAGATATTGGTCGTCAGATGTTGTGTTATAACCGTCGTATCCCGCTTCATGAGCTCGAAATGAGGATAGACGTAAGTAGTTTGAATTATACGCATTAAAGATTTATATAAAATGCATAGACACTCAATGAGATCCATTACAATATTATACATTTCTCAAAAGATGTGATATAAATTTTTATATTGTTTATTTTTCAGAGTGTAACTGCTGAAACTGTTCGTGATGTTGGTATGAAATATATTTTCGATCACTGTCCAGTGATCGCGGCAGTTGGTCCTGTTGAAAATTTGCTAGATTATAACAATATTCGTTCCGGCATGTACTGGCTCAGAATGTAATTATTTCCAAGCACCAGTTACTAATAAATTTTAGCGCATCGATTAGAAATAAAATAAAACTACAATATGCATATGTCTAATAACGTTATAAATCTTGTTTTTTCCTATATGAAATTGTAGTTTTATTTTGAAATACTTGTACGAAGTGAATGTTCGTTGATGTATACTGCCTGGCGAAATAAATATACAGTCGAAAATACGTTTCGAATAATTATTCAACATTATGTTTGTATGTACTATACAAAAATGTCATACGTAATGTGTAAAGATTCGATTGTTTGTTTTTGAGTCAACTATTTGAGAATAAGAGGGATCATCCGATTCGTCGTTAAGTTCTATGATGAAAAATAAAAATAATTTCAAGTTTGAAATAATTTTTTATCATTTATTATTCATTCACACAATCAAAATTGTGTATATTTAAGCAATAAATAATCAGGAATATATGTTTATTTATATAATACATACAATTGATATTGTTATGAATCTTTCACGTATATCACACTATATATATATAAAGAAAGTTGAATACTTCAAGATTTGTATTTCTGCAGTAGACTGTATATGACATGGATAATTATGGTTATGGTTTGTAAACATATTGTTTTAAATATATTAAAAGCAATCTTTAAAAACCGCAAAATTATCAAATATTTACATTTATACTAATACACATTATACAAGTTTATTATTACTTAGTAATACAATAATAAATACAATAAGCTTTGGCATAAATGACATTTTTAGATCTGATATAGAGAGCAAGATTTCGATATAAATTTCGATAAAGTATAAATTGTATAAAAAACATACGATATATAATATATAAATGTCCTATATTAAGTATCGATTAAGAAGAATAAATTTATCGTATAAATAGATATAAAATTATGATAAAAAGGAAGAAATTATTTCCTTTGTGTTTATATAAATTTGGGATATTTTTCACTCGTTTATAATATTGATATCATTGCACACAAATGCTTAAATACTTAATCTATAGCAACAATGAGCAATAGCATCCTTAAACCTACTTCCATTATGCATATCAGAGATCTAAATGAGCCTAATATTTTAGTGTAAGCATATGCTTGAAGTACTAATCGTAAGTGCATCGCAGATTATGTATAATTTAATAATAATTTAATTTTTTTAAACTTCTCGTGTAATTAATATTCATATCATATTGGGTCAGAAATACGTACTCATATCCTTGAGTAACTTTTGAAAAACTAAATATCTAAGATAGTATTTTGATATACACAAAGAAAGATACTGAACGAGAAAACTAGATAAAACATAGTATCTGGGATCCACGAATATATTATCTTCTAAATATTAAATACTTGATGTTCCATAAAAAAAAATTGAAATAAATTTTCTTAGATTAAAAGTTTAAACAATATCAATGTTACTTGTTAATTCTTATATGTAATTAAATAGAATCACATAACATACAGAAGTTTCTTAGATATTGCACTTATGACTGTCTTGTAAGCACATTGCTAAATATATTAAAACATAAATTTTAGAAAAGTAACATGTATGTATCTTGGGACTATTTTTTGAAGTATTTAAATGATAAATTACATATTTGAAGATATGAACCTATTACTTTTCTTAAATGTTACTTCCAATGAAAGAAAGTGCAATACAAAATTGAATAAGACATATTATCCATTACTAGTATAGTAAAAATGCACAAATAAATCTTGATACATGACGTAAATCACTTCATTGAAGTAAAAAGTCGATAGTAAAAAAACTAATTGATGTATCATTAAATTGTAGTGATAAAACAATATTAAGATCATGTTTCTAAAGTGCTATTAATATCAGAAGTAAATGACTATCACGTATAATGCATGATTTGAAAAATGTTAGGATCTATATTTTATCGCCAAGCGATGTAATTTTATTTTCTCGGGATAATTCTGTAGTTTTATTGTGACTTGTAATTATTAATTTTGTTAAATGAATTATAAAATAACTACCTGGCATGATTGTTTGATGGTGCTGTACTTTGAGTAGGAGAGGCGGTATCCTTACAAACTTTAGCAGTCATTTCAGCTAATGGCTCCAACTCCTTAGTATTGATCAAGTCAAATTCTCTTACAAAATAGTAGAAATGCTTATAACATGTATTAACATGTGCTTCCTGGAATAATAGTATGTCTAATCAATAACCTTTATATCTTTAAGGTGAAAGTACAATATTTGTGGAATACTAGGTATACTCACTGCTCCTATTGCTACAATGCGATCAAAATGATGTATGTACACATGGACAAACACTCTGAACAGACGAGTCAAGATTTTTCTACATAGTGGTACAAATGTTTTAGGGAATGGCACATCTATAATATCAAATATTATATATATATATATATATCTGAAAGTAAAATAAAAAATATGCAATATTAAACAGTGCAATAACCTGTTGATACTGGAAAAACTGTCTCATTATTAATTTGAGCTTCAATCCAGTCCATAAGGAGAGTCACATATTGTGGTGCTGGTAGTGCTGTTGGTTTTTTATATTTTTCACCATCTGCCCATAAATATTCAAAACGTGCTCCACCACTCATTGTTGGGCAAGATGCTGAATCACAATACTCAGATACTGTGCCATATATGAGATTTATTCTGTTAAAAAAGTCAACGACTAAAAAATAAAGTAAATGATTTGATCTTTCAGAATAGAAAATACCATTTTGGAAATTGTTACATCATTATGTTTTATATTACCATGAACAGCAATCCAGTCATTTAAATCTTCACCAGGAGGTAATTTTACTACAGCTCTTAAATTGATACCAGAATTAAGGGAAGCTTGAGCCTGCTTATATAAAGAATAACGTAATGTTCCATGGGCAAATTTTTTCTTTGGCCGAAATGTCTGCAATTACATCGTATATGAAAGTTAATATATATTATTCTAATATTATTCGAAGCTTATTTCAGGTAAATATATCTTATAATTTAACTTATTTGTAATTTAAGAACGATGCACAGTTCTTACCTTTCCTTTTTGGAAGAATTCCATAAAACCACTTAATGTAGTCATTGTGTGTATAGATTATATTATATTGCTCTTAATTATATTTTCATAAAAAGATTCGTATGAGATACACCGGCTGACACACTTGACAGAATCTTGTAGCTCTAAGTTTTCATAACCTCAAGTATTATGATGATATATACGCCGGTGTTCTTAAAATTGGAGTAAAATAGTTCTTTAGAATATTAGTTATAGAGACAATTAGCACGAGAGACTGAAGCTATTAGCGGAAACTGCTTCAGAGATTTCTAGTTTCAATTAGACACTATGCATTTAACGTGTTATGCCCTGCAACAGAACATATACGGATATGCAATGGTGTGCGATATCAGAGTTTCTTTTATGACTCACATGACGTAAAAGGACAAGATGTGATATCGCGTGTGTAATGGCGGGCCGTGTTGTTAGCAGTTGTCAGTAAATATCAATTATTACCGTATATCGATAAATATTAGGTAAATGCAAACGATTGTATCCTTGATTTTCTGAATTATCGAGCAAGAATAATAAGTCACAAAATATATATCATTTGTGAGGTTAAGTTGTGGTAGATTCGACGATGGTTGAACCGATTTTTATTTTCAGATATGTGACTCAATAGCGAATTAATTAATTACTTCTATTAAAAATTACACAACATTATTGTTTTATGCGAGATTATTTGTTGAAGAACGTAAAAGAGAAAGAGCGAGAGAAAGAAGAAAGTAAGTTATGAATAACGCTGAGGAGAATTCAGAAGGTAGTAATGACTCTTCTCCGCCAAAACGAATTAAAGATACGCCCTTTCAGTGTGAGTATTATATTATATTATTTAATTATATATTAAATAAAAATAATTGTTTTTAACTTTAAATAATTTTGTATTTTTTGTTTAGCTGCCTTTAGCAACTTAAAAAAATCCGAGTTTTTTAAAGAACCAATTTCAAATTCTACACTTGAAACTTCAACTGCAACAATTTCTGGTAGAACCAATGCTGTTCTTGTTAGTCCAAAACAGGTAATGACATTTTATTATGTGTCAAATATTTTCCAAATTTAATTCATATATACAGCCAGTGATACTTTTAGAAAGGAAATCCATTATTAAAATTTATAACCAATGTTCCATGGGAATTTTCAAACATTGTGCCAGATTATGTAATGGGAAGAACTGTTTGTGCACTTTTTTTATCAATCCGTTATCATCAATTGAATCCTGATTATATCCACGAAAGACTCAAGTCGCTAGGCAATGCTTATAATCTACGAGTACTCTTGGTACAGGTAAATATGATTAAGTAATTGTATCTTCATATAAACATATTACTTAGTATATATATATGTCTACATATATTTTTACTTAATATATTCAATAGTCTCTTCTAAATACTGTAATATATTCAACAGTTTTGTCTAAATGCAAATTTAATGCAAACTACATATAGTTTGCATTAAATTTGTAACTTTCATAATCATAAATTAATGTATAAATGAATAAAAACAAAGATATAAAAATACATATTACAATTTTTTTCTTTTTCATTTATTCTTAATTTTTGTACAATGTTTAATATAATCAGGTAGATATTGCCGATCCTCATCATGTCTTGAAACATTTAACAAGGATATCTATTCTCGCTGATATGACGATAATGTTGGCATGGAATGCAGAAGATGCTGGGAAAATTATTGAAACATATAAAAGATACGAAGTTAAACCACCCGACGATATCATGGAACGCAGCGATAGTGCACCTCATCAAAAGGTAAAAGATTTGAATTATTTTAATTGTTCACCCACTATACAAATTCATAAACATTTACAACAATTTTAATAAAAATATTTCAACACAATAGTGTACAACAAAAGTTACTTCTAAAAGAAATAAAAATGTACTTAATATTTTACTTATAACTTTTATATATGTTACTTAATAGAATTTTATATTTGTTTATGAGATGAGTTTATATGCATTTCAGTTGATCGGTGCCTTAACCACAGTAAGATCCGTTAATAAAACAGACGCAATGACTCTGTTGTCAACGTTTGGCACCTTGGACGATATAGTGAGAGCGCAACCGAATACTTTGGCCCTGTGCCCGGGATTCGGTCTGCATAAAGCTCAGAAACTTTATAAAGCATTACACGAGCCATTCCTGCGCAGTTCGAAATGAACGAAATACTTTTGTACATAGGGCGGCTGAATATTGTCGCATTAATATTTAAGCAAATTGAAATAACTAATTGTGTAAATAAAAAATTAATAAATTGCAATTTTAATATTTTTATACCTGCGTATTTAATTCAAAGAATAGTTGAACTGATTAATTTTTAAGAGAATAATTTAGGTAATATTTTAAAGGAAAATAAATTTTGAAAAAAGGAAAATTCGGTATCGAAGAGATTATTTTATATATCTTATATTTTATTTATAATTAGTACTGTGATATGCATTATTATTTTATTACATTTTGGTTATAATATCTAAATTTAATATTCCAACATTAATCGATGATGCACATGTATATATACATGTGAATACAATCACTTTAATGTATCTAAATATTATTTACACGATTTGTGCATATAACACATCCAATATAAAATTACGTCGCGTTTTAAATACCAAAAATGCAACAAAATGTTCTGTATACATTTATGTACATCATTCTACCATCTTCTTCTTCTTATTATCTTTTATCTTATTATTATATTATTATTATTATATATGTACGATTTGTTCATTATGAAGAATATTATTATTAATCTAGGCCGAATAAATTCCATGATGCGACATATTTACTTGTATCTTGCAAGTTTTGAAAACTATGAAGTCTGTAATAGAAAAACTGTAACTGTTATCGAAAGAAAAGAAAAAAAGAAACACTGACTTTTCTCGAAAGTCGAGTGGAGGCACCAACAATTGGGCGCAATTATTCGTCCAATCTTACCTATTAAGCGTATTAATTATTAATGAAACTGGATGAAAAGAAGCAGGTGCATCAGCAACAGGAGAAAATCGACCGACTTGTGATCCATGAAGTTACCTATAACCAAATTAAAATATACATTAAATACAAAAGAAAGAAAAGGAAAGCATATATTATTGTGTGTATATAAGTATACAAACGTTGTACAAAGAGTAATCAATATATCATATATTTATATACACATACATACATACATACATATATACATATATATATATATATATATATATGTTTATATATACATGTCTTCCAAATTAAGATATATGTTAATATATATTATATGATCTTTTCTATTTTTATGTTAATTTCATGCATTATACTATTTTGTAATTTTTTTGTTATATTTTTATTTATTATGTATTTTTCAACTTATATTACGTTATTCTTTAAGCAAAGCAGGCATGCCAGATGAATATCCAAATCCTACATTAAAACTAACGCGACAGTTTAATGAATTAATTCGATGTTAATTAGCAAATAATGAATGAAGTTTTATTTCTCTACGTTATTTTTCGAACAAGATGAACACGAAACGAGCACGTGAGTTTTGACTGAAATATATTTCTCGGGGTCTGATTGCGGAGAATGGTGGTTGATGATGGCGATGCGTTAAGTGAAAAATTCTCTTTCCTTTAATTTTCTTAGATCTTACCACCACTATTATCGGGATTCGAGGTGTTTAAGGCCTGAATATCCGTATTATGCTGCAGAATCGCCGTAGCGGAAGTGGTGGTAGCCGTTCCTGCATAACAAACACCACATTTCGCACCCTGTCAATAAAGCATAGTCGCTCCTACTTAAGCGCAAAAGTAAATTATGTATTATTAGTTAAGCACAAGCTCTTTAAAGCGGCTATTAACAAACTTTCGTCGCGTTGGAAAAGACCGCAGAGAATTATTTTACTGTAATTAATTTGAGAATTTGTTAAGGACCGTTAAGGATTAGTGCATCAATGCGACGTGTTAGAGCGTAAGTAGCACAAATGCTAACCCGAGTTGTAGACGGTCATTTGGGACACGCTGTAGTTTGCTCGAGGGATGCCAAGGGTGCACTCGAGGGTCACAGTTGCTTCCGGTAACTCCTCGTCCAATAATTCTATTCGTGACAGAATATCATAAAGTCCATCTTCTCGTACCGTCACTGTGGGCTTTGTTGCTTGCTTATCTAGGAAATCTCTGTGAATATTATCTGTTATTAATATTATTATCTGAAAAAAGTCGTTATGTCTGCAAAATATTTTTACCATAAAAATTTTCTGCAATAATAAAATCAGTCTATTGTTATGTACAATAGACAAACAAAAAAGAACGAAACAAGAAACTGATAAAGTCTCGAAATCTTTCAATAGTGTCATAAAAAGGCTTACTCACTTGACCGAGATATCGAGAGTTGGCTGCGGATAAAGTCCCTTGGCCATGCACGTCGCTTCCAGACCATCTTTATCTTCCTTTATAGTCTTCTTCGTATATCCAAAATTGAAAATTTCCTCCGTTGCTACCGCAAGAATTGTGCATATTTATTGTGTATTTCACATGTATTTTGTAATTAATATCAATTCATTAGAGGCCGTAATTACGATATAAAAATTACAATATAATTATTCTGCGATAATCTTTAACAGAATAACAATTAAGAATATAAATGACACCGTATGACAGTGTACAGAGAGAGAGAGAGAGAGAGAGAGGGGGGGGGAGGAGGAGAGAGAGAGAGAGAGAGAGATGTTTCATAACTGACGATAAATAATATAAAACAGAATATTAACTGAGAATATTAATTTCGGAGATCAGGAAAATTATCCGACATATCATTTACCATAAATCACCATGGAGGCGTTTGCCGTCTTCTCGTCCTCGAAAGTTGATATTACGCATGTGTAATCACCAGTGAGTTCAACCCCCGGTTTGTTCAGCTTCATTGCTCGATATTCAGTATAAGGATCATCGCTGGCCTTGTAAGTAAGATCAATGTACTTCTCGACCGACTCGGCGGCCAAAGGATCTCGTCCGTGGATCCACTGGTACACCAACTTATCGCTGTCCAAGAACCACTTGACCACCAACCCCATCCTCGACGTGTTCTCTAACTCGTAATCGCAATCGAGGATCACATGATCAATCTCACAGATTTTCACCGCTGCTGGCACGTTGATACTCTTGATGATGAGCTGCTGTGACCCTGTGAAAAAAAAGTAGAAAGCAGTTAGGTCAAAGGTCAAATTAATTAATAAAATTTGTATATTACAGTTACATGTTAAATTTTATATAATTTTGACATTTAAATTTTAGTATAATATAAATTCCGGTAATAAATATTAATGTGTTAAGCATAAAGAGCATACATAATGCAGGATGTAACATGTAAATTATAGTATTACTGTTTAAATCGCGCGTGATAGAAACACGATTTATCTCACTGTTATTTAATTATTTCCATAAAAATATGTTTACTTCTTTCGTGAAAATCTCGCGTGTAATGTACGTATATCTCAAATATTTTTGCCGTACACACTGTACGAATACTTCAGAAAGGCAGAAAGGATAAAAAAACCTCAAATGCGTTTGAAGCTGCGTTTTTGAAGGCTTTGAGCTACAAAGGAGGTCCGAAGTGGGTCACCGGTCCCGCGTTTTTCCTTGGTTATTTGCTTTTAGAAGTGTGTGCATACGAAGTGCAGCACCCTCTCTCACCCTTTCTCTCCCTGTCTTCTCTCTCTCCCTCTCTTGAGATTTACACGCATACTTAGATCTGCATGCATTTTCACCTCTCGGATCAAAGTTCGCGCGTGTTTTCGCGCAAATGTTCGGATAAGTCGATTCAAAGCGAGCGATAAAGCTCGCGTGACATTTTTATTATTAATTTATTATTCATTGTCTAAAATTTAACGTTAAAATAGAATGTTTCTGTGGGCAATTTAATATCGAGATTCAAAATAATAAATATTTAGATCTTTACATACTACATGTGCCATATAGGTCTACGCGCGTTTCTATATAATATATAAATATTTAAAAATTTAAATATAAATATTAAAAAAAAAAATATTAAAAAAATCTTTAATAATACATTAATGAAAGAAATATCGGTGACCCGATATCGGAGAACAACGACAGATGGCCTTAAAGAGGATCGTCTGCGATCCTATAAATAAACCGGGTCGTGCACGTATATTCAAAAACCAATCTGGTTAACACGTGTGGTGCACGTTACAATAAAATTTGGAAGAGGTCATAATTAACCCGCGCATGTCACGTTTTTTTCTCGCACATGTCTTTAGCGAGATTGCCTTCACCGAAGGCAACTCTTTCCCGTGCCCTTATGTGCTCGTACTCTATTCATTTTATTATTATTATTCACTCCAATTATTATTTCGAATTACGTTATATTGAATTTCCCAATAATAGACGATAATTTTACACATCTCTCTGGTGCAGAGACAATTAATTTAACTAAACTAAAATTGAGCTTGAAATTGGTCGAATGTTAAATGTGAATCCAAATGATTAAAAATCAACGCGAGGAATCTTCACTTGAGCAATGTAAAATACATTTTTCTTGCTGTAATCTATTTATGACGTAAATAAATAATAAACGATAAGAATGCGAGCGAACGAGTGTTCTCTTCGCAAGCAATGGAAACGGAACGATAGCAGTGTAAAAGTGATACAGCGTAACCGCTATATTAAGCGAGTAAAAGCACGTGGACAGAAATAGTGCACGTAGTTATATTTTCTAATATACGGGGTGATTCGAGGAGAAACGCACGGGGCACCGCATAAATTAAATGAGCGCAAAATGGAGCGATGCGTGGGTTGTGAATTTAGTTTCGACAAAATTCCTGTTGGTCGTACAATCGCTTCCTCTTCCTTTATTACGAATGACTTGTAGGATAAATTGTACAACGTTCCTTCTCCGAGATTTCTCGCTGTATCACAACTTCAATAAACAGAAGTGTGTCACATGTTTCAATTATACTTCCAAAGTAAGCGTCAGTTCTAATTCCACGCGATACCGATGAATGAAACGAACCTGGGATGCAGCCGATTATCAGCAGCCACGTTAATAGCATCCAATATCTCGTCATCGTCATGATCACCCATCCACGAAAATCCTCGAGATTCGCCTCGAAAATAGATTCAGCCACGAAAATCACTTCTCTCACTTAACACTGTCTCACTGTGCACGTTTCTTGAGGGATGTTTTCTTGCGAGAAACACCAGTGTGTGTAATTTCCACAGCGCGAAGAAAAGAACACACGGTGACCGGCAGATAGAGGGTTGAAGGTGAAAGGGATGCTTTTCAAGGGAGCAACTTGCAGCGAAAGCACACAACACAACCTCGCGCCAGCTCGGATGCGAGCAAACTGAGGCAGAAGTCGCTTCTCCGAATTCGAGCCATCAAATATCCCACCACTCGTCTTTACACACGGGGTGTCTCGGATCAACGGTTGTTCGATCGTCACATCTGAAAATAGAGATTCGCTCGATTCGTCGTTGTTATTTATTACAAAATATTGTGTACGACAACAACAAAAAAATACTGTGCCGTTGAATATTAAATAAAGTCGACATTGATATTTTCCAAAGAAGAACAATGGAGGCAAATAGAGTTTCACGTACCGAATTTGATGTTTAAAAACTCTTCGGAGATCCGTGAATATAGATAAGAAAATCCCATTTCTTTTGTCAACTTTGATACGTCTATATTTTAAATAAGTACGATCTTGTTATTTTTAATGCGTTAACAAGTAAGCACGTATATTATTTTATATCACAGATTCGATCCCCCTTTTTTTACTAATGAAAAGTTCAAAAGTTTCGCATCATCCTGTCAAGGGAGTTTAAATCATACACATGGACAAGGAAGCCCTGGGTTGCTGTCAAAATCAGCTGATTGCGCGCAGGTCACGTGATCCGATTGCGCATCGAGCGCGCGGTCGGCTGGGTACTCAGCGCGTCACGTGTCGAGTTAAACAAACTGTAATCGTGAGACGATCGTGGTACGCGTGTTGCGTTATTATGGGTCGCAAGATACCGGCGAAGAAACACCGGGGTGTCAAGGACCCCGAGAAGCAGCGTGCCAAACGTCTGGCCGGGTGAGTTGTCCGTCAGTGAAAAGAGAAAAACGGCCGCGTTCGGGAAAACACAACCGTCTAGTGAAACGAGCGCGCACGATGCGGCATCGAACGAACGTTCGACGAGGAATAAACGTGCCACAAACAGTGAGAGCATCTTCATACGTTAAATAATAAGCGAACTGTACTGCCCTCGCATTGAGTACCGTTCTCCTCTTTGTCGATTAGCTTGGCTCGTTTGAACAATCTTCGATTGTCGTCCTTAACCTCAATCTAGAAAAGTTTGGGTGCTCCGTTCTCGCTGGGATATCGCGGATCGTTCGAAAGGACATTTACCGGTCACTTTCTATATATCGATTGATCCCTAACGGACTAACTATTGTTTTTTCCCGAATGCGTTTCAAGCGAGGAAGTTGAAAAATCTGCAATGAACTTTGAGCGAACCGAGTGGGTATTTTAGGTTAGAATCGCGCACGAATGATCCACCGAAGAACGTAGACGAGCAGGCGATTCCCAAAAGTTTGGAGCACATGATTCGACTGAAGGAAGCCGCCAAGCACAGCGATAACCTGAAGAAGAAACGAAAGAAGAAGAAGAACCCATTGATTTGCGTAGGTTCGCAAGACAACAAGGCGAATCCTCATCCAAACGCTCGACCGGAAAAAGTTGTGCCAGTGTTTCAGCAGAAACCAGAAGAATCTAAACGACAATTTTGGCATCGGGTGAACAAGGAGACGCACGCGTTCCTCAAAGAGACAACGTTTGAGCAGAAGTATGGGGTACAGGTGGAACGTGATCCAGAAACTGGTCTAATTCAAGGTCTGACAAAGTGCAAAGTTGACAAAGACGATATAGAGGGATTACGTGCCAAGCATAAAAATATAAGCAAGAAGAAGGTGACGACGGAGGGCGCGAAAGTCCTAACGAAGAAAGAAAAGCGCAAGTTGCAGTTGCGTCTGAAGAGAGAGAAAACGCGGAGGGGCAAGGATGACGACAATGAATTTCAAAGATTTCAGGACAAGGTGGCTTTCGGGGAAGTAGCTCACGCGCCTCCCGTATTGAAGTTCAAGACGAAGGCGATCATTGGCGAGGAGAGGAAGCCGAAGAACTTGTTGCTGAATTCGCTATTGGAAGTACCTAAGAAAATCGCTCCTGCTTCTAAAGCAATTGATCGCAGTGGGAAGAGGAAGAAATTGCCTATAGCGGAAAGGAGAAAATTGGAGAGACAGCAACACGAAATTATCACCGCGTACAGGCAGTTTAAGTCCCAGCGATTGGCCGACATAAACAACTAGGGTACGTTGAGGAAGATATTGTCCGTTTCGGTTGTGCTTCTTATGCTTCAAATTTTCATTTTGTTTTATCTCTATTATCTTTGTATAATTCATGTCGATTCGTATAATTACCACCTATACACAATTTAATGTTAGCTTTCGTAATAAATCTCGTCTTTATTACATGGGCTAACACAAAAATAGATAATATAATACATGTTCTCGTTATAACCCACGGAAATCGATATTTTGTGCATAAGGAATACACAGATATACAAATTTCTTCCGTGAAATTACAAATTTGTTAGAACAATAGAAATAGTCAACGTTTTCTGTTTTCTTTTCTTTTCCTTCCTTTTAACCTTTATATAGTGTGATTGTGATCAACATTTTATTACAAAACTAAGATCAGCAAAATATATATATCTAAGCAGTTTTCTTTTTCTCTTTACAAGGACTAAGATAAAGGATTCCAACATTCCTTGGTAAAGAGAAAGAAAAATAAATAAAAATGAATCAATCATTAACTCTTAACTTTTGGTCATAAACTCTATACTGAAAACCAATCTTGTAAAATGCACAAAATAAAAATAATAAATATAACAATAGATGTAACAAAACTTAATCTTCGATTATAGAGAAATGGAACTAAAATGTAATAATATATAATAATCGTAAAAGGGTTTAACGTAATCCGAAATATAAACAATATCTCTTCATAAAAAAGAAACAATCTTACACAACACGAAGGAAAAATTCCATGCATTTAAGGAAGTTCCTCGCGCTCCGATTCTTTCTTCCCTAACCCGTGGTCCAGACGAAAGGCTCCAGTCTCTCCTCCACTGGCAGCAGATTGTTGAGCGTCTCGAGGCTCTCAAGAGTCTGGTTGAGTTGCGAGTGACACCTTGTGAGCTGACGACTAAGTTCGTGCACCTTGTTCAGCTGTTCAGCGAACCTGGCAAACCTCTTTTGCCGCTCTACTGCTTGATTCAACATCTTGGCAAGGTCAGTCTCCATGCTAGCGCACAGAGCAGCCTGTTCGGCAGCCACAGTTTGCGCATTGGTGTTCAAGTGATGTTGATAACGCGCGCACAAATTGAACAGGCCGACGGGATCGAGACGTTCGAGTACCTCTGGGTCGCGCACACCCGGCGGTAAGTTCAGCGTGCCGCGCATGATTGGTAGGAACATTGGTATACTCTGTAATCGTACCAAGTCTGGGTCTTTATCAGCTGTTGGGTCCGCCTGAGCTGCCTTCACCACAACAATATTATGCTGAGTTTTATCCTGCTGCAACATACTCTTCTGTCTATGGCTGTAGAAACAGAGAAATACCGATAAAATTTAAAAATCTCAAGAAAGGACACTGAAATAATTGTTGATCGATCCTATCATTGTCCGCCTGAATTTTTATATGTTTTTCTTCAAACTTACCCGTGACTTATGCCACCCAAACTGTTTTTCCGTCTAGAGATCTCTGCTGCACCAAGACTCTTGCCACGATAGAGCTGTGACGATTGCTTATTTGTCATCTTTGGAGAATCTCCAATAGGTCGGTTGACTGTATAGGAGATGTATGGTAGATCAGAGTCGGAACAGATGCTTGCACCAGGGCTGGTGCATCTTGGTGGGGTATCTTCAGGTACCCGTTCACGATTTGGTACACTCTTGCCTCGTCTCAGCTGACCTGTCCTTGCTCTCCCACTATTGGCATTCTGATTGCCACCCTGTGAGCTCTGCTCGGATCCCATCTTGGATCCTGTTATTACGTGTGTGTTGTAAGCGTTGAAAAATTGTTACAAGCGTTATGTAGAGCTCGGCACTTCAACGAAGCTACACTATGTAATTAATCGCTCGTATTAAACAAGTTCCTTATACAATAGGGTTCCTTAATCATCTTCGCAGATCACAAATTTTTCAAATTTTGCCAAATTGTTGTCGCTACTTGTATCTTATCGCAATATGCCATGATTATATCAATTGAGTGTGAAAGGTTATGCGAGCGCACTGTATATACATATATGTGCGTACATGATGTAGAAACATTTCATCTCACAGAGCATGTCTCGTACATTTATATATCCACTGCTTGGTATTTCTATCCCGAGTTTTCCATGTATTGTTGAGATTTGCAATTCATTTATTTACCTACTTGCTCACATTTCGTGTTCCACAATCGATCTGTCCGCCCGAACCGTCATTCAATTCTCGATCGTAGATCGTGTAAAAATATAACGTGAACGGTTCAGTTGAGAAATACTGTCGCGATTGTCTCGCCATCTAACGTTGCACCGACGAACTGAAAAGTAGATTTTTGTACCAATCGTATTCCAGATATATTTGAGGCGCTTCTAAATATTCCCCTGCATTATAATTATTTAATTGAAAGATCTTTTATTACATTCTTTATTATTTAATATGATCTAACTTACTAATTTACCTTCCGAATCGACATGACTGTGTGACGTCAACGTTCAGCGCCACTTTCGACAAACGAACCAATCACCGCGAAAGGGAGGCTTTGGCGCGACACGCTCGTTCGATACTTCGAGAATCGCATCGCCGCAATGTTCAGCCTTTTGGCTGATTGGAAAGATCATGGCGCTGCGTAACATCTTTGAGAAGCTCTTCCGCATCTGCCGCGATTTTGATGCATCGTGCGAGTGAGTACCACGGCCAAATGATCGTCCTCAGGAATGTCTAAAACGAGCTTTGTGCGCGTGTTATTGCGAAATATCATTAAACAGCGAGCTTAAGTAAACACACGATGCAGTGTCGCGTTGTTCTTCCCCTCGCCGCTCTTACATCTCGCCGCAACGCGCCTGTGCTCGCACACCGATATAACCGCTAAATTTTCGCGATTATAATTACGAGGTCATTTTAGCGAAAATCGAAAGATTTTTCGATTTTCGCTGAATCCCATAAGATCCCAACGGTCTTTATTAGTATCTCGCCGGCGCCACAGTATCGAATGAAGTCGCGCGCATTCCATACTTTGAATATTGCAACCCGTCGTGAGGTGGCCAGTTCTGAAAAGAATGGCGGCGGCGGCGCGTCGGTTCGAAGTTTGAGAGTCGTGCCGTGCCTTTCGCGATTTCGGTTCGTCAGAAGCAAATTTTGCGCGCGAGCAACCGTGTCGAGTGCGGGAAATGAATTTCGTGCGTCGATCGTCGGCAGCTATCGGAAGCGAACAACACCTCGCGTAACCTCGGTCGTTCGGAGTGCCGAGTAAAACGAGTCGTACATTCGTCACGTAATGGCGGTTCGAACTTCAAACAGGTGCTCTTCGCGCTTTCGTCTCGTCGAAGGAGAATTGTCTGCGAAACATCGTGAGGAGCGTCGGACAAGATATCGCTCGCAAGCTCGCAGTTGCTACGACAACTTTTGGAATTTCCACGGTCTCTTTCTACTTTATGCTCTCGATCTGCCGCAGGATAAGTCGGTAAGTACCGATAAAATAGAGGCTGCGTTAAGCGACTTGCTCGCCGAGTTGCATGTATTATCTTTTTCACGAATATCAGATAGGTTATACATATTGTACGTACATGAAACGATCGATTTGCTTGGAACGTTGAGAAAAAAATACGTAGTCTGGGTATAAATTCAAGTAAAACTAATGTGTAAAGTTTGGAAGGCATTTGTTCATATTTTCATCTTGTAAATCTTAAATAAGCATAAGAAATTCCTTTCTGGTATATATAATAAAATATCTCGGTTGCTTTCAAATGAGGTTAATGTCGGATACTGGCGATAATATCACTGGAAAGAATAGTCGGTAAAATCAATGCTCTCCAATTATCTCCAATTATATTTTAGTTCTTGTCCGTCGATTAAAATAAATATTTATTTACAAAAAAATTTTATCGGTTACCGCATGCGACTCTAATTACCATGAATCATACTAGTTATGATATTTATTATCACAGATGCGAGAAACATAGTAATGTATTGCTACTATATTAGAAACATTCAATTTCCTAGAAAGGAGCAGAAAAGAAAGGAAAGGAAACGTTTTATAATGGAAATAATATTTCTTTCGCAAGCATAACCGATTCGTTCCTTGTATCGCAATTATCCAAATTGAAGAAAAATTCATCGACAAAGTTAGTGTCGATACACGTATGAATAAGCTCGTTTATATCGGCGTATCTCAAAGTCGACGTTAAATCGTATTTTAATATTCCGACCGAGAGTTCCAAGAGATACTCTCTTTTATATACGGTATTATCGAATACACTATATAGTAATATATCATTTTTTCTCATTAGTTTTTGCAACAAGTGAATTATTCGGAGTAAAATGAAGACAAAGCCTCGTACGAAAAAAAAATTTTATTCTACGATCCGGGTTTATCTTTTCACGCAGAATCATCAGCTTTCTCTAGCTGAAGCACTCTGTACATCGATGTAATATACACATTGCGTCGCGGTGCCTTTACGACGCTTCTCTATTCTTTCTTTCCTTCTCTCTTCCGTCTTTTATTTTTGATGACGACGACGACGAGGGCATCTCTTAAACTTTCGCCGCCGTGGATACGAGCAATTTGAATTTAATGCCGTTTTTACGGCCGCTCGCGATTTTTATCCGAAGATTGTACGCTTTTGAGGGATCGAGCCCAAACCCGAGCCCTTTCGTCCTACTTTTTCGAAGTGGTTTCTTCTGATGATCTATATGCCGATCTACATCCGAGAGAACGTCAGTTTTTCCTCTTGACCTCGAGTTGTTGTTCTGTTTAAATGATGCGGGGATATCTCTGTTATTTGCTCGTGATGAATGTCGCTATCCTCGAATAAAGGATAATTCAACGATCAACGTAGTGCTACATTTTTTCCTTGACCTTGAAAGTGTCCAAGCATCGACAGTCTGAAATTAATTAGCGATTGAAAATGTGGGGCTCTTTGAGCTGCAAGTTTCAAGTATGTAAACAGATTGAAAATCCCCTCATTGATTTAAATATGCCTCCATAGAATTAAAACTCGAAGTTTGATCATAAAAATATTGTAAGGTTGAGAAATATAATGAGATATCTCAGCATTTTCTTTGAGGAAAAGTCGCCTCTAATTCGATCTGTTATTTCTGACTTCAAATTTATCAGAAACATCTCTCTCATAAATGTTGCTCAATGTACATATATTACACACAAACATACACGTACATATTACCTTTACGCGTACATACACATATAAAAGATAATGTATTAATATATAATTCACATTAATACATATTACACAATAATAGATACACGCTATATATTCGATGTTCACACTTTATTTCCAAAATAATCTGCCTTGTTGGCAAAGAGAAACGAGATTCCACTGGGAAGTTCTACATGTGTTTCGAACAAGAATTTACATAATATTTTGCGCCATGCTGGCTTATATTTAATTAATAAATCGCCGCGAGACGTGAAAAACAATATTTCGGAGCAAGCTTCTCGAAAAACAGATTTTTTCAAATAGAATAAAAGTACGAGAATAATTCGCGAACCTGTTCAAACAGAACATGCATCTAAGTGCTTCGTTTCATTATTTAATTTTTCTTTTTCTTTCCGCAGTGCAATTTGTGTAAATTCATTTTGTGAATTTCTTTATTTCTTCATTGCGCGTTCTTCGAAATATCGCGAGAAATTATGAAAATATTTGCCGAATATCCGTAAACGAACGAACGAATAAAATTTTTTTTTAAATAATATGCGCATTTTTATAAATAAATGTAAGTGCAACCTGTGGTAAATATAAATATAATCGTAACAGACATTCTTTTTCAAAATTACGCGTATGTATACACACGTACGTACACACACATATACATATATATTTTCTTTCACTTTATTTATATTTTGTTAACTATTACTATCATATAAATACAATTTTTTCACCTCTCTCTAGCGTATTTCATGCATAGACTTATTTCCATACCTTTGAAATTTTTCGTGCATTTCGGATGTACCGTGGGGAAAATGCGGAATCTCGATCACGTACTTGGTATGTGTATAAGTCCGCGCAAATACGCCGGAAATCGCGGCGAAAATTCGGTCATTCGGCTGTTTGCTCAGTGAATCGACTTTTTCGCGACCATTGTCTCGTCGCGTCGCATCCATCGAATTTTTCAACGGTATGAGCGACTCGTTTCTCTAAAAACCACCTTAAACACCATGCTAAAAGTGATTACTTATCATTCGATAAAGAAATTAATTTATCCAATGACTGTATTGGAAAAATTTTCTTCGTTTTCTACATATGTTGTTTTTACATGTGTATTTTTACAAATATCTCATTCTATTAAATAAACTTATGAGAGAGGTGAAAGAAAACACAAGTTCATATGTGTGAGAGAATATATATTGAATATATTTTCTATTTATTTTTGAAAAAGAAATTTCTCTTCGTTTCGCGATTTCATCATTTTTTCAATATAGCATACGTCAATACTAATAAATTTTTCACGGTTACGGAAACATGAGTGTCCGCAGAAAACTGAAAGAGGATGAAACAGACTTAAAATACAAACATCACACTATACTGGCCTCAAAACGAATTATCAAGTTCGACTGTAATTACAGTTCACTCAGTATACCTAAAGAAGTTTGAAACTCGCTCTTTTTCTTCTATTTTTCTTTTCATAGTAAAATGTAGTTTTTAATATTTTTCACAGAGGCGAAGACTTCTTCTACTTAAAGCCTCAAATTGAATCTAAAAAAAAAATATTCTTTTAAAGAAAATAGAATGAACTTTCTGATTAACCTAATACTTTAGTCGTTTAATTTTTCACGAACCTTTACATCGCAGTGCTGCGACTATAGAACTACCTCCATGAACTGTTTCATCTTAAAAATTTCTCGCGCCCAAGGCAAACTCTTTATCGATGCAACGTCATCCGCGATAAAACATGCAAAGCGTAACGTTCGATAGTTAGAAAATAGACACTGCAAATAGATCCTGTAAACATGGAAAATAGAAATGATCGAGTTGCAGGTAATAAATATTTGTGGAAAAAGGTTGTGTCAGATTTGTGAGAAACGAAGCGGGGGCGAGAGGGAGAGACAGAGAGCGAGCGAGCGAGCGAGCGAGCGAGAGAGAGAGAGAGAGAGAGAGAGAAAGAGAGATACGGGGAGGAAAAAAGAACCGCAAATGTCAGCGCGTAAATTTACGCGAAAACAGATACGATTTTATCATTTTTTTCCTCGTGGACCAATTTCCACGTTTTGCGATAATAATATCTCGCTTTGCCGTAAATTTTCACGTGATACTGATACCTTCGTGCCCCGTGTAGCCTTGACTCCCTTAGGTTATATTCGCGAGAGAAACGCTAATGAAGTGTGTTTCGGCATCGTGTTGCGAGAAACGTAGAAAAAAAGTGTTGCTGGAAAAAAGTAACTGGAATTGCTAGAAGTGTTATTTCCACGTAATGTTGCGCGAGATTGTTCTTCTTTTCTTAAATAGAAAATTGTTCTTTCATTTTCTTCCTGTTATAGAAAACGTAACAATTTTCCACAACGCAAGTAAAAATGTAATTAATTTTCGATCTCTTTTTTCAATTTCCAACTTTTATTACACGCCTAGCTACAATTTGAGAATATTACAAATATTATGGGAAACAACTGTTATTATTAAAACAAATATCCTGTAGAACGGAATATTATTTCGTAGCACATCACGATGTACAAAAGTGGGATTTGAAATAACGTGGAGTTCGCGCAGCGAACGCGGTAATTTGTCATTGTCGAATGCGTTTCCGAAACGGTAAAGTGATTGGAAATTCGACTCGCCGGCAAATGTGCTGCGTAATACCTTTTTTTTTACGAGCTATGAACATTCCTCCGGCTGGATTTCACGGAACGGTAAAGTTCAGCCGTGAAACGTAATTGGGAAAACGGTCTCCCTTCGAGTTCTCTTCTTCGTTCTTTTTGTATTCGAATAAACATGTTTAGAGCGTTGAAAATCGTTTCCAATTAATGTTCATTGTTTATTGGAAAGAGTCGCACGGTGAGAGACGCAAAGTGTTTTTGAAAACTGAGAGGCGGCAGAATGCAAAATGGATTGGCGATGAAATTTCGCTTGTTCGTTGCACATCGTTCGTGCACAACTCGACCGTCAACTCGTCCGCGCCTCTGCTAATTATCACAAACCGTACTCGAGACAGAAATACTCAATAAATTACGTACATTAACAATTAAACTATTGCAAGGTTTTCACCCTCGCGGGATGATCACCCTGGTTGAGGGACCTGTAAGGTACAGCTCATGGTGAGGTACGGGTGAGGTACCGAGAGACGGGAGGGTGACGGTGGGAGTGACGGCGTGCCGGAGCGCGGGTGAAGAGAGCGGCGAGAACGCGCGCGCGGCATTTCCACGCGCCAGTACGGAGCGAGCTGTCGCCGCGCAAGTAGGATACTGTCGTACGTGGGTGTCTATCTCGAGAACCGCACGACCACGTGGTGCTCTCCCCTCGGAGGTTCTCGTCCGCTCGCCTTCCGCTTCTCGCGACATCGTTGTATGTTGCGTGATCGCGTGACGCGCTCGGCAAACCGGGTCGTGCGTTTCGTCTCGCTGCGATTCAAATCGAATCGACGACCGTACGACATTACGCCCGCGCGTCTCGCGATTGTTCGCGGCGTCGCGACGCCGCTTGTCGTCATCGAGAATTTCAGGTGAGCCCGGAGGATGATCGCGCGAGTGTGAGATTTGTGTGTGCTGTTCTCGTTGTTTCTCGTCGGAGGCGCACACGCGCGCCTATCGCGGCAAGTCAGACTTGGCACGATCAGCGTTATCAGGAGAAGTAAGTTTGTAACGTTCAGTGGCACCTCGTGGAAAAAATTGATCATTCCGCTTGGTTTCGACACACTTGATTCAGCGGCTATCGGCATCTCTTCCCAGAGCGGAAACTTTGTTGGAGAATTGTGTACAAGATGCTAAATTTTCATTTGGCTACATTGCTACGGTACGGTGCTCCGCGGAATAATTACCGCGGAAATCTAATCGGAAATTAAATCTCGGTAGCATATACTTCTCCGGGAAAGGGTGATCCAGTCGATTTGTTTTTACGAACTCCGGGCTATGAGCGCAAGAGCAATAATAACATTCGAAATTTCGAAGCAGGGAGGTTTATTTTTCCGGTCATAAAGTCAACGATGATGCATACTTCAAACACGAATAATAATTTTACATATTCGCGCGCAAAATGCAGGTTGCATCGCTAATTCGCGGAAGAAGAAAACAATACGGTGCGATAAATAATTCATGGAAAAGTCGTCTTAAGCGCCAAGTAACGCATGTTTATTCATATTTTAATTACGAAAGCCTTTTTAAGCACCCTCTCTTCCCTCTCCCCGCCCCTCTCTAGCCGCGGTTATAGTTTCTACGAGAGTAATTAGACCTTCCCTTTCCCTCTGTTGGCACTCTTCTCTTTGAACACTTTGTATATTTTAGATCTCACCCCGGCCAAGAATAATATTCCGCTCGAAATAATTTCTTGAAAATTATTTAAATTCAGAATTTTAATAATGATAATCATATAAAATTGGCATTGGCGCCACACTTCTATTTGAATGAAGAATCCTGAGATACTTATATAAAAAGATATATATATATATATATATATATATATTATATTAAAATTGTGTTTAAACGTAGCAATTATAACAACAAAGCTATACGGAATATTTCTATGATACGATCTTTCGAAGAAGGTCGCACTAACTTTCCTGTAAATAGTCCGCGATGGGGAGGAAACTGATTAAATTACGTCGGACAATTTGACAGGGCAAAATTTTATAATTAACTGCATCTCTCGTTCTATTATTTCCGTGGAGTAAACATTGGAACGAGTGTTCGGTATTTTTTTTTATCATCGCTCGTTGTTGTCATCATCGTCATCGTCAAGTAAATTGACGTTATTATGCGGTTCATCATGTCACCACAAAGCGGCTGTCGAAACAAGTATTTGTGTTTCGAAATGAGACAGTGTTTTCCATTTTAATATAGACACCGTTCAATTTATGGAACTTACCTTTTGCGTGTCATAACGTGTGTCATAACGAATATTATGACACACAATTGCCGTCATACTTGTAATGTTATAATTGTGTGCATCGCATTATCATAATATTGTAGTTATTGTGATCATCTGATTCAATTTTATACGATAAATGACTCAATGGTTTTATATTATAATAACGCACACGATCGCGCACGTTGACATATTTAATATAAAGTATGTTTAAATTTAATGTGTTTTTAACGGTGTTGATGCAGAGTTATGGAACTTTGAAAATTTTAGGGGATAAAGAGGTAGAAAGAGGTAGACAGAGAGAGAGAGAGAGAGAGAGAGAGAGAGAGGGGGGGGAGGGGGGAGAGAGAAGGGGGAGAGGAAGAGACGGACTTACTAATGGAGAGTTGTTGCGTATGAAAAATAGAAACTGGTCAAATAGCGAAAAGAGAACAGGTTAATTAAGTGTATGTCAAGCAGTTAAGTTCGTAACGTTAATTGAAGAGAATTTCTTGGCGGTTTTCACGATTGGAATCAATCGGACAAAGTTTCGAGAGAAAATCGGCCCACGTTTAAAATGCCATTTCTCCGTTGCTCACGGAGCTCGGGGGAGGCCCAGGGGGCGGAATCTAATAATACGCGTCGGTCGTTTATCGCTTTGCGACTTGTGGATTGCATAATTCCGTGGATTAATGAAACGCGGACGCGATGGAGCCGGAGCTCTTGCGCGGAAAACGAAGAGTCGTCCGTGAAAGGAAAACGCGCTTCGGGAACGAGTACGCACGAGCGAGGAGCAATTAATCAGACTCATCGGGTGGAATTATAATTCATTAAATTCAACGATACTCCCAGTAACGTTCGCGATACTGACGCGAAGAGAGCAATGCTCTTTGCGATTAGCGATCAGTCGCGCATCTCGTTCTTGAATCGTATTTTATATTTAAATCTCGCTCTTATTATTTGTGCCTTATGTCGAAAATGTATCGGAGAATAAAATATATGTCGGATACGAGACATTTCGTGAAGCATACACTTTTACACGTACATACGTAGGTCTTACTTTTTAATATTTACACGCGCGAGATGACTAGGGGTATTGATTTATGCAGGCATAAAGAAAAAAGTACACACGATATTCGACGTTACGAACGAAGCGGAGAACACGTTTTTGTCTCTCGAGAGAGAATTCGGACGAACACGGGGACACGAAAAGACGTTTCGAGTTTTTCACGGCCATCGAGATTCGTAGTGAGAGAGAAAGAGAGTGGGGTGTGTGTAAAGCACGAGCTTCTATGAAAATAGAACCGGCGATCTAGAATAGTTCCAGCTGGCCGGAATCCTGATTCCCTAGGGTGAGGGAAAGAGAGAAAGAGAGAGAATGCATTTTCTTCCAACGTTCTTACAACGTGATACCCTATTGATAAAAAATTTGCAAAGTATAATAATTACAATTTCGTAATGATATATCGTATGTCCAACGACTCGTGCCTCTAACGCGACATACGTATTTATTTAATTTCTACAGTTCTACAGTTACGAGTTCCTTGACATTACTATATTATTCATTAACATGCTTCTACTGTATTAGAAATGATTTGTTATTGATACAATCTTTGCACTATATGTCGATTATTTTATTTCTGTGTCAACCATCACGTTACGACATTTGTTTAAGAATGTAATTATCCCCCTTCCTGATAGAAGATTAAATTCAAGAAAGATTTCAGATTCCGGATGCTATTGAGCGCCTCAACAATTATTATCACGCGCGTAGAATGAGCGTGCGTAGAAAGGAAAAATAATATTTATGATGTAGGAGTAGCAATATGCGTTTATTTGCCGTGAGCTACAATAAATGCTCGGGCATGTGTGAGCACACGCATCTACGTGTGTGCACGCAAAAATGTAGCCGCAGTCAGTTGTATTTTTCCAAATTGCTCTCGTCCCGCGCTCATACGTGGTTCGTTTTGCAGTTAGGCTTTCACTTTTGATTTCGTTACTTAAATATTCCTGATGCTTGTGTCCGGAGTGTACCTTTGCGCGCGCGCAAAAAAAGAAGAGAAATAAAAAAAAATTACAGTCGCGGTCGGTCGTACTTTTTCGAATCGATCGGGAATATTTTTGTACCAGTGTTTATTCGCACGGTGCGTTTCGTAATTGAGAAATTTGCGTTCGCAAACCGTTTTTCCTTCCCGCTTGTTTTATTTATTTTCGCATGTAAAATGTTTTACAATACAGAGAGTTTAATCCTACGCATTTAACATTATAAATTCACCATTGGCAAATAACGACTTGCGATTTCCATTTCAGTAGGCAGCGGATTCTCGACCTCTCCTGCGTGCGAGTGCTCGGAAGAAAAAGAAAACAAATTAATATTTGCCGTATCTGCGTCGCGACTTATTTATGACTCAATCCAATATTTTCACTCCATATCTGTCTGATACTGACGATACCTGCGACTCCTTAATAGGGGCTCCATCTTTGACTGAGGCTCGCTAAACATTTTCGCATGTAATGTATGCGTACACCGAACGCGCACCTGTGCATACAAAAGAATACAATGGCACCTGATAGCGTATCTCCTCTCCTCGTTTCTTTCTTTCTTTCTTCTTTCTTTTCTTTCTTTCTCTCTTTCTTCCTTTCTTCTTTTCTCATCACTTTTTCTTCGCGCTTGCTCACGGGTGGCTTGTTAATTAGGGACAGCACTTCTTGCTGGTACTTGTGATATATTTTCAGCCGTTTTAGCTTCGGATTCAACGCTCGTTGTTTGAACAGACGGTGATTATAGTCGCTAGCTAATTACTCGCATTATAGCGAGTGAAGCGACCCAAGGTCGCGCTTATTTAATTCATCGTCCGTACGTTTTCGCGTAACGCGTTTCTCCATGTTTTCTTTTCTTCGGTTTTTTTATTTGTTAACAACGTAACAAAGCATCGAAGCTCTTGGATTCTTTGAGGGGTACTCGAATATTAAGAATTAGACTACTAGACTACAGCTTTGTTCTAAGCGAAAATGGAAGAAAGCTCTCCTCATTTGCGTGCGGTTCGCGAATCGATCTTGTTAATTTGAGTTTTTTTGTTCCTGCGCGATACCTGCGAGATTCTTGCGAGTGCCAGCACCTGACCACTACGGCCATCATCATCAACGAGAGGTCCATGGATGAACAAAGTTGTCGGGCGAATTTACGAGTATCATCACTCGACAGAGGCGGCGGTCGGTGGTGCGATATTCGCATGATTGGCATTATGCGACGCACGTATCGTCGGTGTCGAGCGAGCGACCGCAATGTGTCTCGCTTTGCGACGGATAAGGCCGTCGCGCGCGCCTCCTTCTTGATTAAGCTTTATCTCGTCCACCCACGACGACACGGATATTAAGACGAACAGGCGCGGAACTGCGAGATCCACTGTAGCGATCCACACGCGCATTTACTCGGACTCGGGCATGAGAACGAGGAAAAGAGAGGGAAGAGGACCCGAGTGTACGTACGACGCACGCGCGTGCGATTTTTTCAAGAGACATTCTATTTTTCTTTCGGAAATTTATTTTTCTTTCATATTTGTTTCGCGATTCGTTTCGCAATCGAAGAATTTATTCCCGAAGCGTACACTCGAAAAGAAAAGAAGAAAAAAATCTAAATGTATATCTCTCTCCTAAATGTATATATATTCCTGAAATCGTTTCAAAACAATCTCCGTTATTTAAAATTACGCTCTGCGACGTTTCCACAACGCGAACAACTCCGGTTCGACAATTAATTACGCTGCGTACGACCCTTGGGATCCTTGGGG